GATTGTTGCTTTCCCGTGTATCTGTCTTTCTTCATTGTAATTATCCATATCCATCCCATCTCTATCACCCGTTCACACACATATATACATACAAGCTCACTGAGGTTGTAATTCGTAGTTTTACATGAATCCACTAACATTTCCCTAAAGTGTGTAATTATTTTTTCTTGGTTTTGAAATAATATTAGTTAGGGATAAACGCGACATAGCTGTTGTTGCGTCGACGATCAACTCTTCTCTCTCTCTCTCTCTCTCTCTGTCACACACACACAATACCTATATGTATGTTTCAACTACCAGACGATACCGTATATTTTTCGTACAGGCCTCCGCTTTTAAAAAAAAAACATTATTATGAATAAAAATCAATTAAAACTATGTTCATGGATATATCTGTTGTTTTTTTGCCAGTCTTTTCAAGGGGTTCTTAGACATTCATATTCGCCTGCCATCTGATCTCATAAATAAAGTTTTCTAATTACCATCTATTTGTCCTATCCACTTTTTTCATTCAATGAAATTTTCAGGTTTTTCTTTATTTTTTCCCACAAAAAAACACACCATATACTACTAATTTGATCAATGGACTAAATAGTTATTTAATCTAATTCGCAAAATTTCCTCCGTATATCTTCAGTTAGAGTTAAGCTTATGTTTTTCATCTTCTAGATATTTATTTTGGTCTTGGCAGTTGACTTCCACTCTATGAGGTATATGTTCGAAGCCTTATCCTGCCTATTGCAATTTTGACAGTCAAATGATATCAATAGCCCTCAAACACTTGTTATGACTTATTATCTAATGTATGAATATGTACGTAGTTACTACGAGATCTACTGCACTCAGCATAAAGAACAAGATCCAGATTTTCAACATTAACGTTATGTCAGTGCTTCCATGTGATAGTTGAGAGACTTGGCGCGTTTTTAAAAGCATTTTCAACAAACTGCACACATCATCATCAACAGCTGCCACCTACGCTCACTTGATACTGAGAGTGAAGATCAGATGGCCAGAATAATAAGAATAAGCAACGAGGAACTCACTCTGACTGGCAACGAACCAACCAAGAACCCAACGCCCAAGATGGAATGAACTGGACATACACTGAGAAGTCCGTTTGGGGAAATCATGCGCTACGCTAGGCCGTCGGGTGGAATCTGAAGAGGAAACGACGAGTTAAGCGTACCAGCAGAGGGTGACATGGAGGAGATGGTGTGAGGAAGAAATGAAAGCTTGTGGGCAGCGGTGGAGCCAGGTTGAAAAGACTGTAGAGAAGAGAGTGCAATGGCGACGTGGTACTGAAGTCCTATGTTCCATTAGGAATCCAAAGGACATGTAATAACATAATAATACTACGAGAGTTCATTCTTAAATTTAGATTGGTTTTAGTAGTGAGAGATTATGCTTGAATTGTAGATTATAGCTAACAATGCACTACTACTCTTGATATTCTTTCCGTTTGTGAATTGAAATCTACCCAGATGTAATGCTTTTTGTTCGTGATCAATAGATAAAGTTTTGGAAAACCTATTCTGCTGCATGTTATTTCTATGTGTTTAGGGTAGAAAGTATGTTTACATTGATTGCTTCATAGCGTTCAACCCAGAGCAAATCTTAGTTCAAAAACTGTCTGACTGTTAATACTGAATCTTTATCATCAAAAAAATGACAAAATTTTGTCAATAACGACAGTAATAAGCAACTAAGCTATATTTTTTTCACTGAAATAACTGCGTGTCAAAATCTGCCACTCTTTACATCAAGATACAAACTAAAATAAATTATCAAAAGCCATATAAAGCCAAAAGAGGAAGAGTAGTGTAACTCATGAAATGTGATTCAAATGTTGAAATGAAGGTGACAGCATCACCTTGAATCTACCATTAGAGTTTTCGGTTCCTTTATCGACCTTAACGTAGAAGTTTACGATTATCTACATATTACTGTTTATTGACATACTTGTTATTCTCCTTTGTTTTGTTGGGTCGAATTGTTCTACCTCTATTAGCATTTGGGCTCCTATGCGGATGCCTGGATATTGCCTGAATGTTAATTATGATAATTTGGTTGGTTGTGACTAGCAGAAGAATCCAGGACATGCGTTTCGTCTTATTGGGGACTCGTCAACTGGATGTGCCTGCACCCCAGTGATGTTATTCCCACTGAGACTTGGACCTTGTACCCATCCCTTCAAACGTCAAGGCGTTATCCACTATGCCACAGAGAAACGATAGCCACTTCTTGTACAACGGGTGATAGCTATTACTATTTATTGGCATACTTGTTATTCTCCGTTGTTTTGTTGAATCTAATTATCTACATAGCTAAAATATAGTTAGAGACTTTTTGTATTGGTGTCACATCCTAATTTGGTTGTACTCAGCTTTCTTGAAACGTAAGTATGCTCCAATGATCGTGTTGTGTTGAAGTAAATATTGGTTCACTAATATCAAAGAACATATTTTCTTTCTGATTTTTGTAGATTACAATTATATGAAGCATAATAGCAAAAACCTGTTTGAATATTCTATCTCTCGTGTCTTTAAAAGTTAGTCATACCTGTGTTCGGTTGTCGATTATTGACACAGGCGTCAATAAAGGGATTTTCACCTCTACATTATATTACTAACCATATGTTGAAATTAGCTGATTGGTTAAATGACACAAAACTTTTTTTAAAAAATAATCCATTTATAGTGGTATATTCTCCAAGGAAAGCATTTTTATAGGGTACTTTATTTGACCTGAAGATGTAGTGGAACGTTGGAGAATATTATTACATGGGTAATATTTGCCAATCACTTAGCTCACAGTAAATTAAATCACTGAGTTCGGCAACGTTACTAGTTCTGGTGGTAATTATATTCGAATATAACTTGATCACTTGAAATTTAAAATACTGAAAAATACCTTTTAAAACATTTCTAGACTTCATCGGTTAATTTTTATCATAAATGAAATAAAAAATTAATGTCTTCACGTAATAGTCAAAATTTTTGAGCTTTGGTAATATTTTCAGCAGAATTACAGCCCATGATCCTACAAATACTTGGAACTATTGATACTATAGATAATAGTATAAAGCAACTTCTTAAATGACTTCAGAAATACCCCAACATATGAATTAACGAAGTACATAGCATTGATATTATGTCCTACTAGGAACCCTTCAAATTCCAGACTAGTAAACTCTTACGAGTTCAAACTAAGGCTTAATGACCTACATATAGAAGAGGGTGAGAAAATGGTTAGCTTTGATGTAACAAGTCTTTATACTGAAATCAATATGGCAATCAGAAGTCAACTAAATATTGACTCAGAACTTAATCAGACAACTAAGATATCAGTTGATGAGATCATATTAGGCGTACAGTCGTGACTGACCTCCATAGTCTTCAAGTTACAGGGCAAAATATACAAAAAAACAGAAGGAGTACCAGTGGGATCGTCAATATCCGCAATCATAACAAATATATTTATGGATGGTTGGGAAAACGGCTTTACGAACGTTTAATCCTACACCTATGATATGGTGGAGATATGTGGATGACACATTTACTGTATTGAAACAAGAATATATCTATAATTTCCTCACAAATATAAAGTCAGTCGTAGGTGCAATGCAATTCACTTACGAGGTAGAAAATGAACAAGGAGAATTACCTATGTTGGGTTTCAGGATAAAACGAAGGACAGACGGTGGTTTGGATACTACCGTCTACAGGAAACCGACACATTCCAACAGGTATCTGGACTTCAACTCATCCCATCCAATGTCAGTAAAGGCAGGTTTAGTCAAATGTCTAAGTGATGGAGCTAGAAAACTGACTTATTAGTGAAACGACCTAAACAAGGAATTGAAACACGTAAAAGAAGCTCCAATAGTTAATATTTATCCTCCACAGTTTATCAAGAAATTCATACGAACACACAAGAAACGAAAAAATAACAGTGACACTAGTACGAATAATAACAACACAAGTAGAAAGGAGTTCACAGCCTCCATTGTGTTTCCCTACAAAGAAGGTAAATCAGAAACTTTACGTAGAATCCTCAACAAGGCTGGGATTTGGGTGACATTTAAACCTACAAACTTACTCAGAGATAAGCTATGTCGGCTGGCTTAAGGATCCGATAGAGCCAATTGAGCAAAATAATCTAATCTATCAAATTCCATGTAACGACTGTGAGGTCAAGTACATAGGTCAAACTAGCCGGTCAGGGTCAGTTAGAATAGTGGAACATAGGAATTTAGCTAAATATAGAATGACAGACCCGAATAAGATCAATAATCTGGAAAAAAAACTTGGTTAATGCATTGCATGCATTAACACAACTACACAATAGGGTTAGATAAAACTACTGCACTCAAATCCAATATAAATAGGTGGAAAGAGAGATTGATTACTGAATCTTTGTTCATCGAATCAACACCCAACACATGTAAAGGAAATGACGCAACACCTATACCAGAGATCTGAAAAATTTTACTACCAATAACAGCAAATCATATGAGGTGACGTAACTATAAAAGTCAAATGTCAAAAGTTGTGTGATTATGTTGATATGATTATGAGCAATAATTTGTGCTCAAAATGTCATTAAGTAAATAATACTAGATCACTGTGAGTTATAAATCAAATAAATAAATCTAATATGGAATTCAATTCTACCACAGTGCCCATGTTTTACACCTATATTAATTCGTACATATCTATTTACTAGTCTGTGTTACACTTGTTGTGTTTACCGATGCTGAAGTGAGAGGGGGGGGGAAGGAGGTTCGGATCTCAAACCCATTGTTTGAAAGTTGAGTTCATAAAGCAGTGAACCATATTTACGCGTTGATATTATGTACATGATTGCATAGTTATTATATATGTATACAAAAGCTTTATAATATTGTTTTTTTTGTAGTGCTCATCTGACCAGATAAATGCTTTGAGACGGTTAATGGTATCTGTGATGATAAACCGCTGAATGGTTCACCTACGAAAATGTCATCAAAGTGTAAATATGAATCCAATACTGCTATTGAAGAGGAGGCTGCTAACACAATCACTTCCACTTGTGGTTTATGCGATCACAACGATATTATTAATTGTAATGAAGCAGGTTAGTTGTTCACGTTGATCTGTTTACAGTTGAATTCTTAATAACCTCTTGAATTGTTCTATATTTGTGTGTATAGTTCAGTCTTCACTATCTCTGTGGTCTTGTTATTCAATCATTGACTATTAGATCACTAAAGAAAACTCTTATTTATATACATCTTGCGTGAAAGAGGCATCCTCAACTTCTAATGACAGTTGTTGTTCACGAGCTAGGACACGGACTTCTACACTAAGCGGATGAGTTACAGTTCATTACTTACTTTCTACGAATTTCAAAGTGTTTAAGTCTATACACAGATTTTTATATAAATGTTAATTGTTTGTTTGCAAGTATTCAAAAAAGTAATTTTTACTAAAGTTTTAAGGTTGTCAACATGCGTCAAGTCTCAAGGAGCACTAATCCATTGTACTTGCAATATTAGATTCTTTTTCTGGTGTCAACATGTTGAACTTGTGTCAAAAACAGAACTCATAACAACTGGTACTAAACTGTTAAGGTCTAAATCCATCCTATATTGGATACGGTTGGATAACTGATTTTTTTGCCAGGTGTTACTCGGTCAATGATGGAAGTTTCGAACTTGTGACCCACCTACTAGTTGAAAGTTTACTACATAAACCAATGAGATAAAGTAGCATATACATCTATGGTTGATTAAGTGATGACTATTTGTATTTTGGTGTTAGATATTGAGAGTAAATCAGCAGGAAGCCCTGGAGGCTGTATCATTAAACTATTCAGGCCTATAAGATACGATGGGTAAACTTCAGCGGTGAACAGTAAGAATTACACAAGCTTACCGGTTACTCACTTGCCATCCATTCGCGTGAGTACTTGTACCGAATATGTTGATGTCTACATCTGCAGAAGTAGAGATAAATCTGTACAACGAGTGTGAGTGAATTGCTGTATTAACCGTTTATCACAATTTTCTAATGACTGTATTATTTGATGAAATAACTTACATAAGCCATCAGTAAATCACCAGCAATATGGGACCTGACAGTACTTCGTAACAACCCAAGTTACCATATCTAAAATTAGCGTATTAAGATACAAGACACTAAGATGAAAGATTAAGAAGTAGAGAAGACATTCATCAGTGATGGAGTCGAAAATAGAGAGCAAGCAAGAAAGAAAGAAACAGTAATATGCGTAAATTCATGTACATTGCTGAAATCGATTTTAAGCTATATCATCTACAGTCTCCAACCACCCATTTAGGGTGTCATGCCAACTTCTAACAGGAAGCGTATAGTTTCCCTAAATGACTGAGATTGAAAGTAATAGACTTAGTGAAATGCTGCTGTGTTTTATTCCGACTGTTTGGAACCTTTTTGCAATCTGAAACTATTTCAGTCCAACGTTTTGATACTAGACAGATGACGATTAGGCATGTGTAACACATGTCTCAGCGATCTTAGCTGATAAAGGTTACTAACCTCATCAACTGACTGTTGAGGTAGTTGCATTACACACCCTATGTTATGAGGACAACGGTGATCAAACACTTGAAACCTTCTCATGTCCCCCATCTTCAATGGCCATGTTTCACAGTCATATGGTAGAGGAGAGCGAACTTCAATGCAGTACACTCAGCCTTTAATAGGTGTTTGGATGTCATGGTGGTGGGGTAAATGGCGTAGGTTGACGAAGGTGCATAAATCCATTTGTATCCGTCCAGAGATTTTGTCAACGACTGACGCTCGAAGGTTGTTCTGTCTTGCAAATCCGTAGCTGGTACCTTGAAGTTGTGGTCGGGACGCACCAACAAGCTTGGCTGGTGGTAATACTTGTTCCCTTGGAGTCCTACCAAAAAAATCTTTTGGACAGTGTTAAGAACGAAGACAGTTACTGTTGCATTGTAAATAGCTTGGGTTATGAGGGTGGTCCTAAGGCGATGTAGTACTGTTGGCTGGACTGTGTGTGTGACAACAGTAACGTTTTTCCCACGGATAACCACCTGCCGATTCTGCTTCCCTATTGGAATTCTGACTAGAAAAGGTTGGCCCACAGAATGTAAAACATTTCCCTTTGCCTTGGGGTATTATTCAGCCTGTGGTATAGATTTTCTGGATGAATTTAAGCCGATCAAAGCTATACTTCAAATTGATACAAAGGCCGTGTTTGAACAACCGCAAACCGATATTCTTCGAGGTCTGTGGTCAGACGCCACTATTACTAATCCAATTTCTTTTTCAGGCACATCAAGTAAAAGTAGCCTTCCATGGTGTGGTCAATCGTGAAATAATAACCGCCTTCATAGCTCCGTCAGCAGTCACATTTCCCTTTGTGATCCATGGACTATTTTGGTTGAAGTTTCAAGGTACTCTATGGTAGATTAGGACCCCTTCTATGAGATGACTAATTAAATGGCAGTCAAAGATTCGAGTACACAAAATTATGTAACCTGCACATGTAATACGCAATCTGTCAAGAAAATTTTGGTCCCCTAAATAATTTCCTTACAGGGAAGTTTATAGAATCACTGTCTGAGAAATTGAATTTTGAAGTTGTGGGTATTCGGAAATATTTCAAGTTGCTATTCATCGTAGACTGATACCAGTTGGAAGAACAAAGGAAATCTAGGAGCACTGGACAGCTGCTTCGTCCTAGTATGGGACTCCTCAGCAGTACGCACTCACGACCCCGCCAGGGACCGAACCCACGACCTTCAGGTTTCTTGGCCAGCGCGTTACCATTGAGCCACTGCGTCAGAATTCAGTGGTCCATATTTCCAACTTCTATTAGCTCATGATATAGCGCAACCGTCACCCAATGTCATCGTTGAGTAACTGTCCTCATGACCATCAGGCTTTGCTCCCATACTAGGACGAAACAGCTGTCCAGTGCTCCCAGGTTTCCTTTGTTCCTCCAACTGATGTCAGTCTACGATGTCTGAGGAATCTTACAGATACACTAAGTCTAATTAAAATTTGATATTTGATGAAGATATTCAGTTCTCAAACAATGTTTATCTGATTTCGTGTAATGGTGTATCTTTGTGCTGATTATCTGTTCTAATATGCATATGTATATCAACCAACCATTGTGGTGAATAGTTATCGATACCCAATGTGTCATTCTCATATTTCCTTCCAATCAACCGATATGTTTTTTATTGATTAACTTCAACTAACCAGTGATATTAATATTGATACTGCATGATGATTGAAGGTGAAATGATAATTCGGACCACGACCGGATTCGGACCAGTGATCACGATATCCGACTGCTGACTAGATTCTTTTCCACTTCAATCATTCTAATTCAGTTAGATTTGGATTGAGATGAGAAGTCCTGACTAGGTAGCCAGTGTGAGTATAATCAAGCGATAGTAACGCATCACGAATTCATATGGTAGTCGGGTGAAACCCATGATGATTAAAGTGAAATAAAAATCTTGTCAACAGTCAGATGTCGTAGGTCAATTGGTAGAGCATCGGATTGGAAACTCTGGCGTTTGCTAGTTCGAATCCGGTCGCTGTCCAAATGTTCTTTTCACCTTTAATCATCACCCAGTATAAATGCTAGTCTGCCAATCTATAACTATCTTATTTAGATAGTCAAAATGATAATAATATTTATGGATAATTCTTAAAAAAATAATAACCCCTAGAAGCATAAACTCTAGCTAACATTGACTTAGTTACTCATAGTCAATTTTTTCAACTAGATTTGCAAGTTGGTCTATGCGAGTGGGTACTTTTCAAAAGTCTATGCTAGCTTCTTGAATATGTTTTTATTTGATAACCAACCGCTTGTTTAGTTGAATTGTAATGTGGGTCTTTTTTCCATTGTGGCTCACAAGTTGTTCTATGCATATACAGCTACTTACTTACCAAGGCATGTACTACATTATATTATTCTAGTTCTAAGGTGAACATACGGTTCGTCAGTGAATATCAACAAGGAAACTTGCAATACTACTTAGTGGTCCAAGTTGTCACATCTAACTCATATCAACACTTCCAGATGCAAAGCATCAAAATGAAAGACAGAGAAATAGGGTAAGTCATGAGAAAAAGTAGAAAAGGCGGTAAGATAATCAAGAAGTATGATATGGCAATGAGAATGAAAATAGTGTATGGTTACTTTTGTGCTGCTGCGATCCACTCTAAGCCATATCCCCTAGAATCTCCATTCACGGATTTTGGTTATCATTTGGGCCCTGATCTTGTTAGTCAACATTTCTGTACATGGTTGAGATGAACAGTCAGACTGATGCTATATTTCAATCTGATTGCCTTTAACGCTTTTCCAGCCTACTTCAGATAATATAGTGCGAAGGGCGGGCGGTGTAGATAGCCACTAGGTGTCTATAACACGTGATCAGTCTCTCTAGTTGATGAAAGTTGACAAGTTCATCAAATAACTTACCTCTTATACTAAAAACTCTACTTTTTAACGTAATAGTTCCACAACATACAGGAGTAGTTGTTCGTTTTCTGGATCCTGTAAATTTGTTGTCTTCCGTCTTCAGTTATTGTAATTTTTCAGCAGTTTCATAGCATACGTGAATGTCTAATAAAGTTCAATACCGTGACGTATTTCAAGTAAAATAGCCAGAAACCCTGGACTTACTTTTAATATTTGTTGGAACTCAATGACAAGACTTGCCTGGAACATCGAGCGCCCTTACATCAAATGTGCCTCAGAAACGTTGCTCTCTAGATATTCTAGCTATGAATACTCTCCTGTAGGAATTTATAACGTACACTGGTTGGTCATTGGATCTGTCGGTACTTGATAACGTGAGATTAGCTACTCTCCGGTGACAAATAAATGTAAAATAAGTACTATTTGGCATAAAAATGTGGGATTCGAGATTGCTCACGTGAATTATCCCTCAAAAACCATCAACATAGCTTCTATTTGTTCTGGTTGATAGTCACCTCTTCTCAAAGGCACCAAACTCCAACTATTGCTTCTATTGCAAAGAAATCGATATGACTTCCATGAAAAAAAGCAATTGCAGTTAACAATCCGTCATCAGGTGCTATGTGAGAGTGAAAAAAATTTAAGGAATAACTTTGCATAATATACACAATCAGTTTCTGAAATAGTAGAGAATATTTGTAGCTTAGGTGGATGGTCTTGGTTGTATTGCGTTTTCTGAGCCAGGCTGCTTAATCGTGAAGCTTTCATCGTCTTTCTAGACGATATCATCAGCACTAACTTCAGTATGAAGTAAGCTGTCAGTATCTCTCCGTGAGTGTTTTTTTAGTAGCTTGCCTTGACGAAATGGTCTGTGATTGGTTGTTTCCTTTGATTGTTGTGTCATTGACTGACTGTATATATTTTCCTGTTGGCTGTCCCTCTGCTTGACCTCTGACCTTCCTGTCGTTTATCATCTTTCTTATTAGTTGATCAATTGGGTCTATGTCTATATATCTGTTGATTGCTGACTGACTTGAATGCCAAGCTTCTAGGAATTCTCTGATATTCTTTGTGTTTCCTCTCTCCATCCAAGATTTCTACATTGTCGAAATTGAATTCATCTCCATAGTTTTTATCCATGTGCATTGAAATGAGTGGTAAAATGTTGTGTGTGACGTTTAATAGCCAATTGGTGTTCATGTAGACGAAGGCGAAGAGGGCGACCGTTTCGTCCAATCTGCTATTGACTACAGTTATTACAGTTGATTTTGTAAATAATATAGGGTTTTTCTTCTTTGCTTGTTGCATCCTTTGGTGTGGATGATAGTATTTGGAGGGAATTTTTTGGTTTATTACCCACCTAGCCACCAATTTCACCAAGTGGTCTCAGTAATCTTGCGGTGATTTCTTGTATATTCATTCTTTGTATATGGTAGGATGATGCGTTTATTGATCTCTGTCGATGACTTTGTAGTTGATGGTGTACGGGGTAGGCATCTTCTGATAAAGTTTCGCGGGTAGTCCTACTGACTAGAACATCTAGAAATGGTAGTTGGTTTTCGACTCCTTCTCCATTGTGAATTCGATGTCATTGAAAATATTGTTGGTAAAACTGTGGGTGTTTTCTATATCTATGTCTCACAATTCTTCTGCTCGACTGGCTGGAACTATGTGTCATTCATATGGGTCACTAGTCTGACCCTCGTTGGTTTTCTATCAAGTTCTCTTTAGCTAGGTAGTTTGGCCGGTTCTCACACAGTTAGCGTAGGTTGTTGGTTACTGTGCGAATATGCGTAACGCTGCTAATTTTTATATGGTAATGATGATGATGCAACCCTTCTCTGTGTTACTGGGTAAAATAAGGAATTGGAAAAGAATGATGCTACTTTGAAAAAGCACCATTATTGATGTCTTCAGAGCAGTTACAGTCTCATCGCGTGTTAAGGAAATCCTATTGGTAATGATGAAATGGCTTACTGGCTTAGGAGCTTGATTTTCAAGCACTGGGTTGAAATCCCGTCCCATCTACCGCGTAGTATCACGAGTTTTGAAACAATGTGTTTGAAGTGGCTGAGTCTAAGTAACTGACAGAATAATACGAGAATGCTACTAATGCAGTGATATCTTTAATACTTTTCTGAGCTGCGAATATCAGAGGACAGAGACTGTATGGAAAACAACTTTATTTGACAAAAACACAAATTATTTACTGATTTCTGCAAAATATAAAGCTACTAGGTCAGAAGTTTGTTACTTGTTCCAATTGGTTAGCTATAGGACAAAATTGTCCAATAAGGTTTCCTCTGCCGACACAGTAACATGAAACATGGTTGAAATCCAAAATGTGTCTACTTTAGAGGCTGATGACTTAGAATGCTTGTTTCAATGTAGGCTGCTTTTTATCAATATGGCTCATAGCCTAGTACATAAATATATATTGGATTGAGTTACATTGTTTTGTTATTGGTGTTAAAAAACTTTTCTATCTATAGTGAGACAAAATATTGGGGCTACCAACAGAGTCAAGTAGTTGAAGTACATGATGTCACACATTGTGTATCAATATTTCTGCAATCTGTTCTTGTGTGTTTATTGGAAGTATCCCAGTTGAGAGAAACTGATTCATTTGGTTGTCTAATGACCTGCGCTTTTCACACATGGACTTTAATGAGCCATCGATCAAGAGATGCTAGTGACTTGTGAGATTAACTATATCGTATTATAACGGAAACTCAGTTATTTAGTGAATTCATCATACATTTTAGTATAATTTTCTATACATGCTTAAATTGTTATTATGTTTTTATCATTATTAATCTACTCCTTAGATCTCTCAGTCAGATTTATTCAATAGGACTAATTCACCTTCCATGTAAAGTAAATTTGTTCATTAATTTTCTCTATGAAGAACTTCACCCCAAGTAGATGTGGAGAGTAACCCGTCACTGGTGTCTATACCACTGTGATGTAGTTAACAAAGTCTTCAGATCAATGTAGATGGTATCTAACTACTTATGTATCGTTCATTAGTATATTTTCTCTTCCTCTGTTTCGTTTTCACACCATTTCTTATTTAAAGAGAGAAATAGTACTTACTGGTTTTCTCTATATTTATCTATTTACTTTTGTGTTTTTTTTTTCTTTTTATTTCAGTTGGATCCTCCTGTAATACTTCTTCGTCTTTAATAACTGCTGATTCATCGAGTAAAACGGATGTTAAACATTCTGAAAATAGAGATCACATTTCAATGAGGTATAAGTATGCACTGAATGGCAACACAATGGTTAATTCGGATTATTGTAAGCCTACTAACACCACCACCACTACTACTACTACTACCTCTACTAATATCAGTACTATTTTTACCACTTCTAGTTCCTGCATCACTAAAACATCAACTATTCTTACGCCTACTAACACTTCCACTTCTGTTATAGATAGTGGACATACATCCTCAGGTGTAAATACTTTATCTTCCTATTCTTCCTCTTATCCACCAGCCACATTTCCATCTCATCGAAGAAGACGTGGTGGTGGAATAAATGGTGCTATGCATGCTACAAGTGGAGGTGCTAATAATAATAATAATAATAACAATAATAATAGTAATAATAATAACAAAAGTAAGTTATTCATTGTTATGATTTTAAGCGATTTTTTCACCATCATCATCCATTATAAACTGCACTCTCAGGATGCCTGTCTTTTTATCCATCTGATGAGTATATTAATTACTCAGTGAATATTTTTTTAAGTCTAAGATGAAGGTGTTATCTGATGAGAGTATAATATGAGTTGTGAAACATTTTGATAGCATATTTCAATTACAAATAGGTTTTGAGCAACAAATATTATCAAAAAAAAAAAGCTGCGTTTCCCCCTTCATCTGCATTATATAATTTCATGCTTTATGCGTTGAACAAGCTAATTTCTAATTTCGTTTGTTTTGCTGTTTCGAGACTGTTGATCCAATTCTAACCTTCTATGGAGTATTTACACGCAAGTCACACACACATACAAATGTATTTGTGCGCATTCACAGTTATATGTATATACTAGGTGGTTTATTGAAGGGTTCCCCGCCCGACACTACCAACTCAGCTATGAGGTCCGACTGCTGACCAGATTTTTATTTCACTTTAATCATCATGGGTTTCACCCGACTACCATATGAATTCGTGATGCGTTACTATCACTTGATTGTACTCACACTGGCTACCTAGTCAGGACTTCTCATCTCAATCCAAGTCTAACTGAATTAGAATGATTGAAGTGGAAGGCATCATATTCTCTATCATTTTGACTATCTAAATGAGCTAACCGTAGTTTGGTAGACTAGTATTGATACTGGGTGATGATAATGATAACCAATATGATGCTCCCCCTCTCATTCTAATTCAGTTAGATTTGGATTGAGATGAGAAGTCCTGAGTAGGCAGCCATTGTGAGTACGATTAAGCGATAGTTACGCATCATGAATTCACATAGTAATCGGGCAAAATCCTTGATGATTGAAGTGAAAAAGAATGTTTTCAGCAGTCGGATGTCGTAGATCAGTTGGTAGAGCATTGGGCCGGAAACCCCGGTTATCGCTAGCTTGAATCCGCCTGCTTTCCGAATGTATGCGTAACAAATTTATTGCTTCTTGTTAATAAATTTCTTGATCCATTAATGTTGCTGATGTGTTCTCTGCAATCTTCTTTATACCCAAATTAACAGAAATTTAACTATCCTGTTAACTAACTGACTGATTAATCAACCTGAGTGTGCTAACTTTGTCTTCACATACTTAAATCTTAAGTATGATTTGTTTAGTAACTTAATTGTATGATTGTGTAAAACAAGTTATAACTGATAAGGATTTAATATACACTAGTTGGCTTTAGTCGATTGCCAGAATGCCCTGGATCTACGTTTCGTGTTTGTATGCTCTCGTCAAAGAGGCGTATGTACGACTTCAAAGGGATGGATATCCTCTCAGAGATAGGAAGTTGCGTCACTTAGTGCTGTAGTCAGTTACCTTATCACTGAGCTATTTGGGCTGCCATTCATCGCTTATAGAACTGGAAAACATACATTGACCAGTCACTGGTGATGGGTAACCAAACAACTTCATGTTGCCTGGTCCTAAGTGCTGATTGAATTTTAGAATAGACCACTCATATTTAAGCAAGTAAACACTGAGCGATTCACAGTGTTGGCCTTATTTCTACAACGTAATTAACAGAACAGGTTAACAGGCTATATATACATCTATCAGACTCTATTGTTTATTATTTCACTTTGTTTCAAGCTGATAGGCAAAAACTGATAATGAATAACAGCTTGTCCTGTTTCACAGTTTCCATACGTCATTCAGCTTTCAGTTGTTAATGACGACTTTTTATTCAGTGGGAAGTATACTACTATTTTTCAACCTTGTCATCGACTTGCTTTTATATACAGAAGTTCCCTCCTTCAACTTCTCAGAGATTTATCTTCTAATTGAAAAGCTTTTGATCCACTAAGATGACGTAATTCTTTTGGCTAACGATGAATATTAGCCTTGAGGAACGATGTGAAAATGTTTGCCAGCGTATTTCAATTTTTAAACTGAAAGGGGCTTTGGTGCAACACTAATTTGCACCAAAATCCAATGAATGATGAATTGGAAGTACTATGGTTGGTTGTGTGTGGTCACCAATTCACTTACTAAATGTTGAATAATTCATGGTATTTCGATATCCGGAGAAACCTCCCTTTTGCCAACTTGTATCGCTTGTTGTGCTAGTAATATCTCACTTCACTCTTAACAAATGCTGTGTGAAGTAGCCTTTAGTTACGCATCTTAGTGACTATCATCTCTTCATGGTCTAGTGGATAACGCCTTGGCGTTTGAAGCGATGGGTACGAGGTCCGAGTCTCAGTGGGAACAACATCACTCATTCAGGTACAGGGACATTCAGCTGACGAGCCCCAGATAGGACAAAACGTACATCGTGTATTCCCCTGCTAGCCGCAACCCAACAAATTGCCATAATTAACGTTCAGGCAATATCGAGGCATCTGCATAGAAGCCCATATGCAAATGGAGATAGAACAATTCGATCCAGTAAAACAACGAAGAACTACAAGCATATCAACAAATAGTAATAACATCTTAGAGCTGTTGGATTTAGCTGTTAGAGTCAAAGGAAATGAGAAAATTACAGGTATTCAACTGGTAACTTCTGCGAAAAATTGCTTGATTGTGGTATGATTAGTTGGCTAGACAATGTTAACTTTAGGCGCAGAAAATTTGGCAATGAATTATGTTTTCAACCTCCATCAGTTGAAATAACGAAACGTGCTAATCACTGTTCCTATCACCTACCTCAGTGGGCTGTATTGATTAACGAAAGAATAAGATGAGAGGAAAAAATCATATCACAACAGTCAAACTGAAAAATAACATAATCCAATAAAACTGCTTACTATCGATTTGGGTCAGGTAATTAACAAATGAACTTTTCTTTGTGAGATTCTGTTGAAATCAGTTTTATTGGCTAAGTAAATATGACACGCACACAAATCATTTTATAGCTACTTTCTTCTTGACTATTCAATTCCTTCATCTAATTAGTTTTAAGTGAATAAGAATAAATTGAAAATTGCATATGCTGGTGCCTGATTCAGCAACACGTCTTTTTTTTTCTGCCTTTTTACCCTTATCCTCCGTGTAAAGAGTGAAACTTGTACCATTTCATTGTTTTGCTTTTTTATGCTTCCATCATTAACCCAGACAAATATAGGTAGTTCTGTGCACTATTGATCATGTAATTCGGAAGGATGTATACATTTATCAATGAGTAAGTAATTAGATGTTCATAAGCAAGAATAAAGTGTCATATTAGTTAGTTGGAGTCATTCGACACGGATTTCAGGTTTGTTGGCTGTAATGAAGTAAGGGTAGATGTCAGTCAATCATACAGATGTATAAATGATGTGTTCCAGAATTCGTGTAAAGTTTGAAAGTTGCCACACTTCACAGTAGTACACAAAGATTAAGTGAATGCGGAAGAGTAATATCAAAGTTGTGTTAGAGAAAATGTCAAGCAGTGAATACATTTGCACCCTTATGATCGATTTTCACCCATGTTACCAAGAGTCCTCAACCACTGATTCCTTTCGTCTCATGTACCCCAACCAGGCAGTCTACATCTTCCTACATGAGTTGGCCCACAGTTACGGATTCCATCGACTGATGCACGTCTTGGTCTGGCTGCCCTGAACCGTCTTCCAACGTAATCCAACTTCCCCTAGGTAGGATAGTGCTACGTTGAGGTAGGTGGGGGGGGGGTGGCTTGGCATGTCTTCCAGTATATGTAGAGGAAGCCATCTCAGTGGATAATGGTTGACAACGTCATCGTCATCAGTCGACTTACCTGTCTTGCCTAGTATTACAGTACAGTAGAGTACCATTCGCCTTACGTGAACATTGGTGTCACGGTGTTGATTGCACCAAACGCGAACAATGCTACTTAGACATGTATGGTGAGAAGCGGATAAACCCTTGATGTCTTTTACTTTTGATGAGCATGTTCCACAGTCGTACAGACGCATGAGATAAGGAAGTTGAGTGGAGTGTAGTCTATTCGTGTTTTGATAGATAGTCGGATATCTCATTTAAACCACTAAATGATAGCATGGTTGAGTGTTCATTTCTATTCATTCATATATGAGCACAATTGTTTCGTAAAGTAGGATGGAGTTAGTTGCCCCGAGTTTTTTGAACGTTAACACCTCTACAAATAATGTCACATTGTAAATATTATGCCATCTAGTTAAATAAGCATTAACAGTCACGCTGGAAGAAAACTGAACATTCCTTTTTATCACTTGCTGTCATTGTTTTAGATTATTCAAGTTTTCGATCGCATAACCGACCGGCTAACTTTGGTTTTAATAAGTCACTTCAAAATTCAGTCTGGAATCATCATCAATCAGCAACATCTGTAGCATCGAAATCTCACTCAGATTATCATCATCACCATCATCATGATGGATTACAAAATAGTATTAATAACAATCAAACTAGTCATTATCAACAACATCATCCATCACCTGTTTACTATCAACCTCATCCCCATTATCATCGTGGTTCTATCTCTGGTGCTACTGGTGGTGGTGGTGGTCCAACTCAAGATTTAGACATGGACTCTGAGATGGAAAATGAGAAGGCTTGTGCTACAGACATGTCAACGTGTTCTCTTCCAGTCAATGTACTGCTGCCTACAGTTCAGTCACCGTCGAGTTATTGTTCACAAAGTGATCGCCTTTTAAATTCACAATGTTACAGTCATCATCATCATCACCAAGTTCATCAACACCTTCAACCTTACGATGCTTATATGAATAAAGGTTTTGGTAGTAATACTAATGGTGCAATGTCAGTTGGCAATGATACAATCATTACTAATGAACACGAAGATATTGATCTAACTACAACAAATGTTGGATGGAGTACGCAAGACAGAATTATTCATAATCTTTTGTCGAATATTTTATCACCACAGGTAGTTTTGGTGTGATAATGTTTTTTTTTAGATGTGTAATGAATTACTGTTTTAATCAACTCATTATTATAATTATAATTATAAAAACCGGATTTCACCCTCATCATTCAGCCTCACTTCATTGTACTCAAATAATATTATCATTAAACTTTGTTTTCTTAACTATGCATAAGTAAATCATATAGATCTATATTTGAAATGTCTGTCACATACACGCATTACACCTATCTCATTAAGGTATTCTAGCATTTTCATGTGTTTCTTTCAATTTGGATTGTGTGAAAACAGAGTACAATAAAATCTGCAGTATCTACTCTTCATAAGTGATTTCATAACTTTTTTTAATTCTCGTGTTATTTGGATAAAATTACAGTATTTTAGGATTTTTTTCACTAACAAATGTTCTCAAGAGTCCTACTTTAACACAGCGGATATTACAATAACCCACTGATCTATGTTGATGGAAGACTGTAGTCATTAAGGTCCTACCATACTAGAAAAGTTCGCTGGATTATGGCATGATAAAAAAAACAGTTATCTTTGTAGTGTAAATTGCTTTTCTTTAATGAGGGTTCGTGAGTGAAGTCATACTACAGGTTAGACGAAAGTGGGATAGCAGTAAGATGTTTCAGGAGAACAACCAGCAGTCCATACTGGTACTGTTTTCGCTTGCAAGGGAAAGAAATAAGAAAATGTCGAAGCTAAAAGTAGCATACTTCTTACCTTGCGATATTCCAGTGCCGGCGATAAGGATTTTTTAACTGAATTTAGGGCAGTCCCAAATTTCCAGTGATGTCATGTGTGTGGCGAACCTCAAACGCATATCCTTATCTGTCTGTGGTCAAGCACCACTACAAATAATTCAATTTCTTTCTCATGTGCCTCGAGAAGAACTAACCTTCCAAGGTGTGGGCGATCGAGAATTGTTAACCACACTCAACTCTGTCAACATTCAAGTTCCTTCATATCAGTGTCAACCTTTCACGTCGTTACTTTCCAATCTTTCTTCACATCCCTTGATCAATTCAATGTTTTTACCTAGTCTTTGATTTTCTTTAGCTCTACAGCTCTTGATAACTATTCGATTTCACTAAACGGTATTCTTGGTCTCTTGGAGTCACGCTGCAAACTACACATTAGAGCTTTCAATATCCACAACCTGTATTAAATCAGCCGACAAGCTTCGCTAGTTCAAACTCTGACATCTTGGGACACAGCTGTGTGTTACGTTTGTGAAACACGCCTACATGATCCGAGTGTGCTTATCCAAATAAGCTCATCCGGTCAGTTTGATGAATCTTTAAAATTCACTCTTATCCATAATTTAGTTTAAAAATAGGTGGTAAATTAGTTGAATCTACTTATCATGTCTATTTGGAATTTTTATTCAACTTCATAAGTTGACTAACGATGAAATTTCTGCTGTAATACAAAAAGCTTGCTTAGTCTTCATCAACCTATGCCATTTATGGTGGTGCTCATTACGGGCCGAGTGTACTGCGCTTCAATTAACTCCGGTTTACTACATGATAATGAACCATGGCCACTGAACGTTAAGGATATGAGATTTCAAGTATTCCACCCGCATCACCTTCGTAGCATAGGTTATGTGTTATAGAGCCACCAAATCATTAAAATAGAAGTCAGATGTAGAGTTCTAGTTAGAAGTGGAAAGTTAGTTAGATCCTCATCAACTGAGTTCGCTGTGATATATGCCTTATGCATGTCTAGTTGCTGTCTACCTCGCTGTAAGTTTAGGCTGCAAAAACGTAAAAGGCAGATAGATTAAAACACGGTGTCAGTCTATTGAGTTTCTGACTGTTAGTCTGAGTCGTGTAGGGAAATTTTAACTTTCCAGATTAGAGTCGGCATGATAACCGAAATTGGTGATTGGACGTTCTAGGTGATATATGGCTAAATATCAATCTAAGCGTCACAAATGTATCCACCTACACCATCACCTAGATCGCAATACTGAGTTGTATCATTGCTTTATTACTTCTTGTCCTCGTATATCAAACTCTATGGCTTTTTCTTATTTTTTGCTTACTTCTTTATCGTTGATGTGCATGCCTACTATCCTGATATTCTGATATAAGTCAAATTGACCCTCTACACCAGGTATTATGTAGATATTGACTGAACGTAGGATTACTAGCATCCGATGGAAAGATGTAGGTAATTCTAATGCAAAGCAGCTCATGTTTGGACGTGGTGGAGATCATCATTTATCGAGCGAATTCATGTTGGAACAACTGCTCTGGGGATTGGTCATACTTTACAATTCTGTCTCAGCTGATCCCATATCTTTTTTGTTCGTCTGCCATGGAACTGTTTCTAAGAGGCGGGCAGATCGTCCGTGTATAACGTGACACCGGGGGATTAAGGTTGGATTGGCATACGTGGATGCTGTCTGTAACATTATGCAACTCAATACTTCAAGGCAATAGAAGGCATGACTTAGGGTCGAAACTAGCAGCTAACATGATGTGACTTTCTTGTTTTTTCTGTTATCGATAAGCAGAACAAAAGTGGTGGGTGTTTTCAATACAGTTTCGAGACTAATTCTATGTTCGTTTCATTTCCTTCTCTTTATATAACTTTTATTTCTTTTGAATGTTTTTATGGCAATTTGTACGGCACATTTCTCGGTACCCATATTGCCCCGAGCCCTGCTCCACCTACTGATGTTAGGCACCTAGGTAGTATCACTATCAATAACACACTAGGCGTGCATCATTGCCTACTTCACGGATATGGACAAGGTTGCTGAGCGCACTTCGATTCCATTCGATTTTGTGCTGAAATTATTTTGAAGGTTTCAGAGAAGTACAGTTTGCTTTGTTAGTGTCGAAAATACGGTCTAAAGAACGTATGCGATTGAAAATAAGTAAGTAATTCCAAGACTACTATGAAGCTACTAATTTTCTTTATTTTACCTTTAATTAGCTACACAGAGAAGTGTTCATTAGCTGTAGGACGTTGAATTCCTAGAAAAGCAGTATATTTATTCATCAGCTAAGCATATCCATGCTTTAATTTTAATTCCAAGAAAATTAAAAATTAAATTTTATACACGCCTATTTTTAACACTTAAACTTGTAGTGGTCACTTCTCATTATGTGTATTCATTTTGACCAAACCTGTGAAGTTAACCATTTATAGGTCTATGCTAGCTCACTTTTATTTAATTCAGACTAGATGGATACAAATAAATTATTTTCATTTATTTACCTGGTTCCCGTCAACTCACAAAAGAAATCTGACTTCAAATTATCCGAGCTGCGAAATTGGTATAAATTCGGGTGAAATAAACCTACATTCTGAGATTTTTATGGTCGACGGGACCTGGGCGAATTTTGCGTACATTCATTAGTCAAATGTACGTACACTTACATCATTTATGGTGCCAATGACATGTCTGAATGCCTATTAGGTTTCAGAAGTACTGCAAAGTAGTTCGTTTTATCCTACTAAATTGTCGCGTAAGTTAATTTACATACTAGTCAACTTCCATAGATTGAGATAACTGAGACATGTGTTCATCCATACGGAATCATCGTCTACCACGATGCGCTATTTTATTTGAAGTAAAAATTGGTTGGAAAACAGCTAAGAATCATTAGGCTAAAAAATATCATCAATCCATAAAGTCACTCAACTATTTTTGTAACCTGTGTTAGGCAATGAAAACTTTAACGCTGGTCAAATTTGATTGGTCGGTGAAATCAATTCAGAGAGAGAGAGAGAGAGAGAGAGACATATGTGAAAACTGTCCTTTCAAAAATGTACCATCAACTAACAAGGATATCATTTGATTATCAGAGATAAGCGTGGTTTAGCAGACTAGTATTTATACTGGATGATGATTGAATGTATAATCAAAGTGTTGACCTCTGCTGGATTCAAACCAGCGACTACCAGGTTACCGGCCTGGTGCTTTACCAACTGAGCCATGAAGTCCGACTGCCAACTAGTCTGCCAAACCATGGCTACCTCAGATAGTCAAATGATAATCAAAATGATACTCCCCCTCTGTAATTCAGTTATATTTGGATTGGGATGAGAAGTCCTGACTAGGCAGCCAGTGTAAATACGATCAAGTGATAGTAACACAGTACACATTCACATAGTAGTCGGGCAAAACCCTACTTAATTGAAGTGAAATAACCATCAAGGTGTTTAGTATTACTGCTTGTTGTTGCGGTTAGTTCATTCGGTCTCTTCAATGATAGAAAACTGCACAAAATTGCACGAAAAGTGACTATTATAACTCAGTAACCTAGTGGGTAACATTATGATGTGTATGAAGCGATATATACTAGCTTCGAATGTCAATGGGGACGAAAACAGTCAATCGGAAACAGGTATATCCACGTAATGAGTCCAAAGTAGAATGAAACTCGTATTCTGAATCTCACTGTCATTCATTATTGTTCAGTACTGTCAAATTATCAACATAGTTTATAGGCCTATGCAATTTTATTTACTAAACCATTAGTTGACATTTTCTCGTTTATTTTTTCAGGTTACTGAAGTTAAATCTCATAGTGCATTAATCCAGCTATCATTTCCACAAGATTTGATTCATTCATCGATTGTAACGCCAGAAACAGAAACATCACTGTTGACTACAACAACAACAACAGACATAAATTGTACTTCGATAACAACACTAGTAACAGGCACTCTACCATTGATCACAGCAACAACAACAACAACAACAAAAGCCAAATCAATTCCAACCTTGTCCTCTGATAATGGCTTATCATCATTGACAGAAAGTAATTCTAATAATGATACTGTAAATTCTTATAAAGCTACATATTCCCCTTCAAAGAATCTACACAATGAGTACAAACCATCATCATCATCATCATTGACGACGACGACGCCGATAGCAACAACAGCACTGTCAACGACAAAGAGGAATCTGTCCAAAGGCGATATAAGTAATCATTCTGCTACTAATAATGATAATAATAGTAATAATAATGAAAATGATGAGTATGGCAGTGCAAATGATGAGTTGAACGCCAACAGCAATATAACCACTTCCAACACCGATACTAATAATGATAATATCAATCAAAATGAACAGTATCAGTTAACAATTGACCTAGATGCTATACAATTTGAGTTACACTTAACTGAACGATGCAGTACACCACAATTTAAATGTGTTTTCATGTAAGTGAATTATTATTTTATAGCTTTCCTTACTGAAAAAACTGTGTGTTTGCCTGGGCAACTGTTAAAAGCCACCCTGGCAACTGTTAAAATAATCAATCAGGTTTCTGTATTTTGGCTGGGAAGACAATTTTTTTATAAGATAGAGAAATGTCATTGGTTGTTCCGTAAGTTTCTAGGGTGACCTTTAAAGTCATTTTTTGCATGTTTACAAATATTTAAATTTGTGATATGAATCAAGTGTTGTTCTGTGTGTGTACATCATCAGAAAAATTACAGGACAACCACACACACACACAAACACAGATCAAATATTGAACTACGACAGTAATAATCTTACAGTCCGTAGGAAATGTTGTGTACAAACATTATTCTTAAGAGCCAAAATACATATTGCAACACAGAAGCACTATGGATAGCCGAAGAAAAATACCTGTACAAAGTATTCAAAGCCAATGGCAATCTATCCAACCTAATCAAATAAGTGTTTATCAGTAGGACAGATGACATGGCAATTGTCTCAAATCAGTAGACACGTTACACTACCCTACATCAAAGATATCTCAGTAACAGTCAACTGATTGTTTCATTCTTTCGGAATCAGATTACCACACAAACTAACGAAATCACTACATACCATATTGTGCAAACCAAAGGATCCATTACTAAAAGAAGACAGGATAAATATAATCTACAAAATCAATTGCAAACATTCTTCATAACATTGTGTTGGACAGTCTAGCCGTTAGATTGCCCAAAGTATTCACGCATACCAACTAACTGTAAAGCGACGCCATATGGCCTCCTTGGTTTCAATGCATGCAGACAATCGCGATCACAAATTCAACTAAGAGAATGTGAAAATCCACCAAAGAGTACGTTCCAAAGCTGCAAGAGAAGTTCTAGAAGCATGGGATTTAAACGAAATGTCAATCAACCGACGTATAGATATAGACCCAATCTACAGTCTACTTTGATAGAAAACAGTCATCCATCAATCAAGAGAAAATTGACCAGACAAATCAATAATAATGAACAGCATGATAATAACAAAAAACACAATTTCACTCCAATAAATAATATCTGATATCATGACTGAAGGGAATTTAATGTCAAAGAGGTTAGGTGATGAAGATACCAAACCAACAACAGCATCAACAACAAAATACATCAATCATTATTAACGGGAGAAATTTAAAGGAAGTAGTCTCTCTCTCTCTCTCTCTCTCACCTACACCACCTACCCAGGCAGGGTAGCATCGTTTCAACTACAGGCGACACATGCACAAATGAGGATGTCAAAGCCATGATCACAAAGACAGCAACACACGCCTCCATTAACCTGAAATCAGTGTGAAGACCTACTCCACTGCACTTCACTCAGCATAAAGCGTCAACAACATCCTCATTCTCAACACTAACCCCAAGTCAGTGCTTCCATGTGATGATTGAGAGAGTTGGTGCGTTATGAAAAGCATTTCCAACAAACTGCACACATCATCATCAACAGCTGCCACCCACACCCACACTCACTCGGTACTGACACTGAAGATCAGATGGTCAGAATAATAAGAATAGGCAATAAGCAACTCACTCTCACTGGCAACGAACCAAACAACCAACCAACCAACCAACCAACCAGGAACCTATCACCCAAAAAATATGCAGAAGAAGGTGGAGATGGATATACATACAGTGAGAAAACCATTCGGATACATCAGGCACCATGCCAGGCCCTCGAGTGGAAGCCAAAGGTGAAACGATGAGTTGGGCGTCCGAGGCTGAGGGTGACATGGAGGAGGTTGTGTGAGGAACAAATGGAAGCTTGTAGGCAGAGAAGAGAGTGCAATGGCGACGTGGTACTGAAGCCCTATGTTCCACTAGGAACCCAAAAGACAACTTATGCTAATAATAATGATAAGAATCTTTGTATAATAATTGTATATAAATGATTAATTTTAAACTTATAGGGAGGAATAATAAAGAATATTTGTTCATCTTGTTATTTGTTCTAATATACTACGCCGGGACTACATAAGTAAAAATACACCTTATACAATGAATTATCGGGATTCATTAATTTATCACTTCATAATATTGCTATTTGTTGATATGCTTGTAGTTCTTCGTTGTTTTACTGGATCGAATTGTTCTATCTCCATTTGCATATGGGCTTCTATGCAGATGCCTCGATATTGCCTGAACGTTAATTATGGCAATTTGTTGGGTTGCGGCTAGCAGGGGAATACACGATGTACGTTTTGTCCTATCTGGGGCTCGTCAGCTGAATGTCCCTGTACCTGAATGAGTGATGTTGTTCCCACTGAGACTCGGACCTCGTACCCATCGCTTCAAACGCCAAGGCGTTATTTACTATATCACAGTGGAAAGATACTCATTTCTTGTGCGACGGAGAATTGCAGGCATATCAGCAAATAGTAATGACTAATATCCATTGTGTAAGAGGTATTTGTCATGCCTCATTGACCTAGTGGGCAACGCTTTGGCGTTTAAAGCGATGCGTACTAGGTTCGAGTCACAGTGGGGGCAGGACCAGTCACTGGGGTGCACGTACATCCAGCTGACGAGCCCCATATAGGACGAAACGCTCGTCCTGGATTCCTCTTCTGGCCGCAATAAATTAATTTGTTACTTAATAATATTGTTGAGATAACCTTAGTTTGACAGATAGATTATATGATGAATAATTGAGGTTGATCTGAAATTCGTATTATTGACAGGCCTCATTGTCTAAAACAATCCTAACTGGATGATCATTTCTTCTAATCCTGTCGTCGCCCAGATTGTTATTTCAATTTCAACGTTTTTCTCTCATTGGATTCAGGAGTGTTTTACTTCTATCTTTATTGTCCAGTGAAGATTTTAAAAAAATATTATAAAATACTTATTGATGGTTTATTTCGTTGGGATATTTGTTGTTTTTCCTAACTGATGAAGTCGTATTTATTCACCTCTTACTTTATTTTGTTCACATCTTTTCACTAGTCGACATGTACCTTTCCATATATTACAAGAATATTACAAGGCGAAAGAAAACAGTATTTTTTTTTCTTTTGCCTATCGCGTTACATAATAATGTGAAACTGATTGAAATTTACTTAGGCCTATCTCTCTGAATGTATGTTGATTACAAGTCTTTGGTTTGCATAAGAACAAGATATGTATTAGCTAAGGAGAAATATTTCTTTTCAATGACTTCATAATATCAAGCTGTACAGTCGTATTTATACTCGATAAAATGACAGATGATTGCACTAAAATGTTGTTCAGTCAATATGCAAAATATACAATTGGTGAAGGTGGTGATATTTGTTCAAGTCGAGGAGATAGAAAACGGGCCACTGTGAATAAAGAGGAATAAATTGATAACAAGTGGTGAGATAAGCGACAAGTGTTGTCAAAGAATTGTAAAACGGTGATAATTTAACTGAAACATACAACATAGATCAATGAATAAGGAATGAATTGGTACTAAATAGTGAAATATAGGTAAAATGTTGTCAATCAAGTGAAAATTAGTGATAATCAAAAGAGAAGTATACCAAAGTGAACTGAAATTGACAAAATCAATAAAATGAATTATTAAGGCCAAGGTAGAGAAAGTTATTTCACAAAACGTTTATGAATGCAAAGTTTCAGTTTTTGTTCATGTATAGCTAATGCTTCAGCTATGATGGAAACGTAAACCTTTTGGGTAGTTTAACTTGTAAATTATTTTAAAGAATGAATCTTAAGGTGGTGAATTATCTAATTCAACAAGGTGTTCACATATGGATGAAGTCGTCTTCCTTTGTTTGCCTTTTATAAGCCAAACCGGGTAATGTTGAGTTACACATTTTTAGAGGAAACCCTTACAACGTTCAATATGTTCAGCTTCACAGGAGCATATGGACTTGTTTATTTGTATGCAGGTGTAATTGCCTAAATTCATTTCCATAGAAAAGATGTGTAATTAATTTTCACCTGCTTATCTGTTAAACTGGTTAAATATTTATAAGTTGAAAATTCAACATCAAAGTAGTCGATAATGTGGATAGTGAAATCTTTAAACTATTTTCAACCATCTGTATAACTCATAAGTATACTTATCTTGATTATTTTATTGGATTTAATGAAGAAAAACTGGTTTGATTTATTGGATTTTATACATTCTGTTGTCTCCAAGTCGTAACTGATGATGAGTATAAGAAAACTGCACTGGGAAAAAAAGCAGCTTTTAATCTTACAGAGTGTGACGACCAAATTTTTTTTTTAATTATTAGGGTAAGACTACCCAATACACTAATACAAAACCATGGGGGGGGGGGGCGGAGGATCATTGTCTCTTCCTCTCTATTTTCGGTCATTGAATCAAGGGGTTGAACTCTTCTCATGTATATCGACGTTCTAATAGGAAGACAGTATATTCAGTTCTTACATAATATATGTTATTCATAATACGTGGTGCATAGTCTGTCAAGTGGATACTGAGTTCTATTCTCTTTTTCATCTTCTCCTGTAGCATAAAACTGTAATGGTTAACTTTACTGGTCATCGACACATGACATAGAAGAGAAGTAAACAGAGGGTGAATTGCATTAAAATTAACGATAAGGATACAGGAAAAGAGATGATAAATAAATGAAGATTAGTAAGGTGTTTTGAATTTCAAAGATGATAAATACTTCCCTGTTTTCACATTGTTTCAGAGTTACTGATTATTTGATAGAATCACCATGTGAGCAATATCCAGGGATACTAGGCAAGAAAGGTGACTCTTATTCGAAAACTTTGTGAATCTTCACCTAACTGAGGTCGCTTGAACATGCGTTACACATTTCAAGCCCCTGTCTGCCTCTATGTCCGAGATTAAATGAAGTAGGAGTAGGTTGAAAGAAGGCTCAGGGTGGGCAGACTAAGATGTAGGTAGCATCAGTTGATGAAGTCTCTGACTGTTTGTCTGATTGATCGTCTTCAAGACGATAAAAATCAGCAGTTGGGGTGAGATCCTTGGTGACATACCTGAAAATTGATCACAATGACATCTTTGACGTCTTCTAAAACTTGAATATTTTCACTAACTTTTATCTTTTAATTATTTCTCCTCCTATATACTTTTGTCAACTTTGATGTAAGTCTTTTTCTACTCACTTTGTTTATTGTATATTACTGTGATGTATGGCAAATTGAACTGACGCCTTATTGTGCGTGGTTCTACATTGATTCTATGTGACTGATATATATCCCTCTACAGTATTGACTTTTCAAATGTGAGCTAAAGTGTTTAGATCTTGAGTTGTTCAAGAATGTGACTGGATTCTATGTCAAGTTGAACACTAAGTTCACTGAAGGTATACACATCTAACTATCTCTACATTTGAAATCAAAGTTCCTAATGTTATTAAGATTAAAATTATAATATTAAATAACTAAACTGTATTATCCAAGCTCTTTCTTATCATAGTCCAGTCAATCTACTTGTATATTAGTGAATATTGATGTCCCTATCAACATTTATATTTATTATAGTACTCATTAAGTGGGCGGATATGTAGTTTAGCAGTTTATTTACTCAACTATCAACAAGTAAGTCATGCGTTAAAATTCGACTCTATCGATGCAGCTCTGAGATTCCAAGAAGATTGTTAATATCCCGACGTTAAAACTATTACTTTTTTACGCTATCTTCTACCTTATTATTGTTCACTTTTAAAGAGGTTTCATCTACCCCTACATTATTTCGGTGCTTATATTGGTGTGCGTTTTTTTTTATCGTAAAGAGCTTTGACGCATAGAGTGGACATATAAAAGGTAAGTTTGGCGGGGGTAGCCAATGTAACCAGTATGAGTTTCTGGAAGGGAAAATGACAAAATTCAGTTTGGGGGTTTGTGGGGATTTATTGATTTTAAGTTGGTGTTCATCATGGACTGATATCAGTTGGAGGAACATTGGAAACCTGGAAGCACTGGACAGCTGTTTCGTCCTAGTATGGAACTCAGCAGGGGTCGAACCCAGGACCTTCAAGTTCCATGACCAGCACGTTACCACTAGGCCAATAACTCCTCACAAACCCTCAAATTGAATTGATTTGGTGCTCATTGGTGATTAGCTTCGAGAGGTGATTCCTGAAGTTCTAAAGAGAATTCATGACCGGTGGGGCAAACTTGGTGAACATGAGGACAAAATACTCAACGATGACATTGGGTGATGGTCGCGCTATGTCGCGAACTGACAGACTTAGTGGGTCAATGGTAACCTGAAGGTCATGGGTACGCATTACTGAGGAGTCCCATACTAGGACGAAACAGCTGTTCAGTGCTTCCAGGTTTCCAATGTTCCTCCAACTGATGTCAGTCCACGATGAATACTAACTTGCAAATACAAAGAGATGAAACGTGTGTCGATGACTTAGCAATCACTAACAATATACTTAAGTTTGATATTCATAAAAAATACTTGGCTAACATGCGGATTACTGTCTATAACTAGAAGACAAGGCAATGTGAAAATAAAAACTGAAAAGTGAATGAGTTAGGTTTCGGTTTTGCTATACTACTTACTCTCCTTGATGAAGAGGCATTGTTGCAGTGCTTACATGTGCTTGAGTTAGGTGGAGCTCGTAAGCCAGTTATATTTGAGTGGAGTAGCTACTATTGAATACATACTGCCCTGATCATGAGCCGTTTGGATCTCACCTCCAAAACCAATAAGGCAGGTAAATCTGAATCTCACTCCGTCCAAGGTTTGAATGGTTACTGCTCAACTCAAATTGTACGACTATACAGCCTGACCTCTCAGTCTACAACTAACATCTTGCTAAATATTAACACACAGAGTATATCATTCTTATTAAGTTGGTAATGAACAACATTTGAGTTTGTAGTGTATCATAAGTTCTATACCTACCTGTTCAATGAATTATATTAACCACACTAGCTATGTTGTTAAATACCCTTTTAGAATTGCTTTCAATCAGTCTGGTACATAAGATTATATATATCGAGCTATGAAAACACACTTATTATGCGAGGTCTCATAAATCTAACTGGTTGGTCGAATCGAAGTAGGTGTAACATAACTCGAACCCAGGACTCATTGGTTGTAGACTAAGTGTTCATACCAGCGAATCACATTTCTATATCACCTTTTCGATAAGAATTGACTTAAAATTCCTTCGGACTTCACTTCATCTTTTTTGTTTTCACTACTTTTCGACTCCACTGTCTATTTCATTTGTTTACTGTTGTTATTCTGATTTTTTTTTGATGTTGAAAACTTTACTAGTGGAGAAGCTACATTCATATCACTGCAAGACCTTCGTCCCGGAACAAATTATTATGTAAAGTAAGTATCATATCCATACATTTTCTGTTTTTTTTTCTCAAAATTACTTTTTTGAATTTACAGTGTTATTCATGTTTGAATGTGTTGTTATTTACAAAAAGATAATGTTGATCAGTTTCGTGAATGCTTCTTAGTGAAACAGATATTACTGATATGGGGATAGAATCATAATCATATCATCCATAAATTCCACTTGAAATGTCATCAGCCCATACGGGTTAGTTGGTGACACAGTCTCAGCTTAGATACAAAAAGCTCCTTTGGCATTGACCAACTTGGGTCACCTGTGGCATCGACTGGCGAGATATCTAACTAACTATCAAAGGAAAAGTATACACCACTGTAGTCCATTTTGTCGTGTTGTACGACTGTGAAACATGGCAGTTAAAAGTAGAAGACATGAAACGTTTATCGCATTCGGATCATAGATATTTTTATAGGATTGCTCGCGTCGGATGAAATCATCATGTGAGCAGTGTTTAGGTCAGGCGAAGGATACTAGGCAAGAAAGGCAAGTCGATTGATGACGTTGTGGACCATCGACGACTGAGATGACTTGCACTCATACTGCATACACTGAGCCACCGCCTACCTCGATGTGACATATTACCTATGGGAAGTTGGATAAGGTTAGAAGAGGGCTCAGGGTGACCGGACCAAGACCTAGAACCGGCCTACACATATGATGGGAATCACTGGCTGACGACTGTTTGTGACAGGCCTGAAAATATATCACAATATAGCATTCCTCCTCACTCCTTCACATCACACTAACGTTTATTTTCAGATTATTTATTTGCTCACACTACTCTATCTACTTTCATATCACTCTTCTCCTATCCTACCCACCTGTTCTTTGTGTACTACTGTATGTCAAGTGTCAAGTGTGGCAAATTGAGTCGATCCACCTGTGTGACAGGTTCTACCTTCATTCTCTCAGTCACACAGTCACGTCCCACAACCCATACATATCTGATGCGTTACTGAAGCTCGAGAAAACCAGTCAGTTTCCATACATCAACGAGGATGCACGCATCGTATTTTCACCCTACGACAGGTTGTAGAACACAGGCATACCCACCGGTGATCGACACTTGCCACATTTCTCCACCTGTAAGCGGCATTCGACTCTGTCGACCGTCAAGTGTTGTGGCAGTCTGAACATGCAGTGAGGGAGTATCGAGCAAGTATGTAACGCCAATAAAACAAAGATCTCTACTCGAAGTCACACAGTTGTGTAAGATCTTATGGACACTTGCCATCAGAATTGACGACAACTACTGGTGTCCGACAGCCATGCTCCCTGTCACCCTTTCTATTTCACTTCCTTATACATGTACTGATCGACATAACCTTAGTTAGGTATGTCTGACTTCACAGGGATAGATTCACCTACTACTACTACCACTCCATCGAGGCCATCTGCTTGATTTCCAGTATGCAGACGATATTGTCTTGCTGGGTGAACACGCTGGCAAAATCCACGGTCTTCTCCACGTGTTCACTACAAATATCAGTATGTTCGGCACCTGTCAAATATGAGTGAGATGAAGGAAGCTCCACAACTCATCTCCAAATGATTTTCATTTAACGATACACAGTGAAGTCATCCAATGTGTCGACCAATTCACTTACTTCACTTCGCCACTTCCATCAACCTGAACATCCTGGTTCCTAACGAAATCTCACCTCGCATACAAATGGCTCGTTTCACATTTCACAACTCCCCACATACACGACTACCTACACATCCACCTACCTACCTACCTACCTACCTACCTACCTACCTACCTACCTACCTGCCTACCTACCTACCTACCTACCTACCTATCAATCAATGCACGAGGAGACTGCACTCCACTCAACTCAACTCCCTTATCTCATGCGCCTCTACGGCTGTGGAACATGCCCATCAAAAGTAGAAGACATCAAGCATTTATCCGCTTCTCACCATACATGTCTAAGTAGCATTGCTCGCGTTCGGTGCAATCAACACCGTGCCACCAATGTTCACGTAAGGCGAATGGTACTTTACTGTACTACACTGCACTGCACTGTACTGTACTCTACTGTTCTGATACGCAAGTCGATTGATGACGATGACGTCGTCAACCATCATCCACTGAGATGGCTTCCACGCATACTGGAGGACATGCTGAGCCACCCCTCCCTCATCCACCACTCACTATCCTACCTAGGGGAAGTTGGATTACGTTGGAAGACGCTTCATCACCGTGGCCACACCAACACATCGCACCAGTAGATCAAATCTCTAACTGTTCGTCTGTCTCACCCGTATCGGAAATTTAACACTACCTGCTTCAGGTCCTCCAAACGATAGATCGATCAATCAATCAATCACTCAATCAGTCAGTCAATCAGTGCTTGACAACTATTGGTGACATGCCTGAAAATCCATCACGATCGCCCAGTCACCCCTATTCACCCCTTCACATCTTCTAATGTTTGGCATATTTACACTAACCTTCACATTGTTTATTCTCTCTCACACTACTCTGCCTACTTTCTTATCACTCTTTTCCTATCCTATCCACCTGTTCTTTGTGTGTAATACTGTATGTCAAGTGTCAAGTGTGGCAAATTGAGCCGATGCATCTGTTTGCCAGGTTCTACTTTGGTGTTGTAAGTTTGTTGATCAGAGTGCCTTTATTGACAAATCAGAAATATTAATGAATATTCATTTGATGGTTGTCGTATGCTTGACCGGAATCGCGGAAAGCGTGGCTTCAGTATATTTTTCAACTCTTGAGAAATTAAAGTTCATCTGCTGTGGGAACTGGAGGTTGAAGACTGAATTTTTTGACAGGATAAGTATGCATAAATACTGTTTAGGGTTTTAACTTAAAGTACAACTTTTTTTCCCGCAGTAATTTCCGTTTGTTAGTAAATAGATGGCAAAGAAGTACACGAAGAGAATTAGTGTAGTAAATCTGCGTTATTAAGCTTCTTAATCTATATAATCTTCTTTCACTTGTATATTTGTATATTTTTGAATAAATTTGATGCTTTAAACTTAGATTGCATAGAGTAATAGTAATAGTGAGTGTTAAATGTTAATTTAACCTTGACCTATGACCCGGTGTTATATTGCAAATTTTAACATACTGACGTGTTTCATGTGAAAGAAAATCATGTGAGTTGCTCTTTTGCTCACTGTCTAATTCATTTCGCACTCATCATGTGTGTGAATATGATAAAATATCGCCTTTACTTAGAGTTGTAGTAATGAAACCAGTAACTTTATTATTTTTTTAGTAGGGTAGTAGTGTGTTTGATTAGTATCGAAACTACAGTTTTGAAGCTGGTATTCCATGTCAATTGGTTTGGAGCTATCAGTAGCAATCCATGCTTGACTTGGATATTTGCGCTGGTTAAGAGTCATTGACAAGGGTTATACGTAGCCAGGAGGCGACTGCTGTCACCTCATCGATCCAAACCCCCATTGTTCAATAATACAGTCACAGAATTTAGCACTAGATTATTCGCGATTAGACTCGATACTTTATTTGGTCAATGGAGGGTAATCAATCTCATTGTCTGTCAATCAATTTAACAATTTGTAGTTACCAAACTAGTAAATATGGATATTAGTTGTATTTATATAAATATCAGTTTATTTAAAGTGAAATAATGTCAACATTTTGAGCAGAATTCTGATTCGAAGTTCTTCAAGGAAATAATCAAAAACAAAACTGATTCATATTACTGATAATTTTTATGATAATCACCCATTTCTCATAAGTGAGAACATGATGCTATTATTACATATTAGCAATGTCGATAGTTGTACTTAATTCAAATTGACACTTCTGACACTTGTGGAAGGAGGGGGAAGGTAGAAGTGTAAAACTTGGGTACTATGGTCGAGTGTAATTCAATTTAGTCTGTTTATTAGAAATATCACACAGTGAAACAGTAAAATTTACTGGATAACGTTTCGGACACAATTTATTGTCCATATATCAGGTAACTCCACAACTGCGAGACAGACTTTATATATTCCTAATTTTCTCTCCTTCTCTGTGATGACAAGGGTAGTAGAATTTTCCATATATCTAGGACAGGTGCAGAATCATTTCGATTGCATGTGTTTGGTGTTGATTCAATAAACAAAGATTCGGTTATCAATCTCTCCCTCCCTCCGCCCAACTAAGTTAGTTTTCAATACTATCACCCTATCCCCCCACCCTACTGTGGGATTGTGTGTCATCGCATGCAGAGCTATAGCCGAGTTTTTCTCTAGATTTCTTATCTTATTAGGATCTACTGATCTTGATTTCGCTAAGTGTTTGTGCTCTGTTATTCTAATCGACCCTGGTCGACTGCTTTGACCTATGTACTTGACCTTGCAATCATTGCAAGGAATCTGGTAGACCAGATTATTTTGCTCAATCGCATCGATAGGATCTTTTAACCTACAAAGCTTGTTTCCAAGTGAGTTTATTGGTTGAATGCCACTTTAATTCCAGCCAGCCCTATTGAGAATTCTTCGTAGTGCTTCTGAGGTGCCTTCGTTGTATGGTAACACAGCAGAGGCTTTGAATTCTCTTTTAACTCTGTCACCATTATTACCACTAGTAGTGGCGCGTGATGTCTCCGAATGGTTTTCTCACTGTATGTATATCCATCTCCACCTTCTTCTGCATATTTTTTGGGTGATAGGTTCCTGGTTGGTTGGTTGGTTGCCAGTGAGAGTGAGTTCCCTGTTGCCTATTCTTATTATTCTGACCATCTGATCTTCAGTGTCAGTATCGAGTGAGTGTGGGTGTGGGTGGCAGCTGTTGATGATGATGTGTGCAGTTTGTTGGAAATGCTTTCCATAACGCACCAACTCTCTCAATCATCACATGGAAGCACTGATTTGAGGTTGGTGTTGAGAATGAGGATGTTGTTGACGCTTTATGCTGAGTGAAGTGCAGTGGAGTAGGTCTTCACACTGATTCAGGTTAATGGAGGCGTGTGTTGCTGTCTTTGTGATCATGGCTTTGACATCCTCATTTGTGCATGTGTCGCCTGCAGTTGAAACGATGCTACCCTGCCTGGGTAGGTGGTGTAGGTGAGAGAGAGAGAGAGAGAGAGAGAGAGAGACTACTTCCTTTAAGTTTCTCCCGTTAATAATGATTGATGTATTTTGTTGTTGATACTGTTGTTGGTTTAGTATCTTCATCATCTGTGTCTTCTCTACGTTCACTTGAAGTGCGGTCTTGGCTGACTTAGCTGTTGTGTCAAGTTGTTTTTATTTCGCTTGTAGATCTTCGAGTTTGTGCTACAAGACATTAGAGATAAATCATCAGCAGCGAAATCGAAATCTTCTTAGGTCTTTGCATCGGTCAAATGGAGTATGCCCATCTTCTCACAGTTTGTTGCATCATCCAGTCCATTCGGCCACAATCACGAATATCATGGGTGATAGTAGACAGCTTTTTCCTACTCCTGTCTTCACTTCAAAGGCATCACTGAGCTTTCATTTGTGACTTACGTGGCGTTTTCATATAATTATTGAATGAGGTTGATAAAGGTTTTTTGTACTTCGTAGTGTTGAAGCAACTGCCAAATTACTTCAAAATAATTATTGCATCTGAATAATTTTAATAGGAACAGTAATAGAAAGCGACAATGTGAAACAGGCATCTGGTTTAAACTGGTGAACTAAAAAAATATCGAGCGTAATTTTAGTGGTAGTAGTTTATTCAGCAGTGCCAAATTCTGCAGTTCGACGTAGTCATCCAAGGAACAGTAATACACTGTATTTCTTTGCATTTATGAGCCAATCTCTTACCGGCGTATCGTTTATTCTTTGTTTCAGTGTTAGCTTGAAAAGCAGTAGTTTGGAACTATTTTAAAAGTGTGTACGAGTACTGGACGCATTTAAAACACATATTTATTTGATTAAAATAAATTCGAAGAAATAGATTTGATGAAATGAATTCGGTGAAAAATTTTCGATTGCCCAAAGTTTAAACAGGTCACTCGCCAGACTTGAATGGTGAACTATTTCAATATGAGTCATTTTTTCATTCTTTTCTCTCTTTGACAGAGTATGCTGTAACTATTCTGGAATACGTGGAGATTTCAGTCCAGTTGCCCATTTTATTACACTACCATCTCAGCCGAGTCCACCACGAACTATACAAATAATATGTCAGACACGTAATTCATTACATATAAAATGGGGCCCTGGCATCGACAATGGTTCACGTATCACATCATACAAGTTAGAATATGCTCAGGTGTCGACAAATTCATCTGAAATTGGATTAGATAAAAATGTAAGCTATTCACATGTTAAATGTATGTGTATTCATTGTGTATGTGGTTGTGTGTGTTCCTTGAACTCGAAAGCTGTCCAAGTGACTATCGAATGGCAGCCAGCATAACACACTATAAACTAGCTGTTATCTACTGCTAATAATTTTGATGTGCACTGCATTATTTACTTTAGTCTCGATAGGTTTACCCAAGCATTAAAGACGTTTTTTACAGCATGTGTTGTGTGACTCGGACTTGAATTCAACCAATGGATCTCGGGTTCGACTGGATGGTATCATTAGCCCCTCATACAATAGGTGTGGCTCATAGCCCAGTACTGGAATACATTATTATATTTAAATTAATACGATATAGTAATATGAAATACTTAATTTGGTTATACAGCCTAACTTGAATGGAAGAAATAAGATAAGATAACGAATATTGTATTCTACTTCCATTTACTATTCGGTGTTCAGGTGTTACTAATCAAGTAAATCTACCTTGATATGTCTAAGTGATCACACATCTGCGACACCCATACCCACATTCTATTTCTACCGTTTTGAAAATGACTGAAAGGAAAGGCCCCAATGTCACACAACGTAAGCATCATGAGTTTGCTGCATGAGTTCACTTAGTAGATTTTGTGTTGAAATGCAACCCGCCTTTATACCGAAAATCAGTATTTCAAGTGGATGTTACAAGATTTAAAGTCAGTTTCATTAATTTAAATCTATATTCATACTTCATTTTATCAGGAATATATGCCAAAATATCTTATGATGACACACTTATTTATTTATTTCATGGAATTCCTTCCACGGATAAATTCGTTTGGAGTGCGAATAACAGTTTGCAGGAGAATAATATCAATTCATTTCATCCTCATGAGCTACTTACAACTTACTACCAAGTTAAATAAACGTGTGCGCTTCAAATACGTTTATTTGATATATGTACTGTACTACTGATTGACGTGGGTAGTTGTAGACTTATTACGTCGATCAGCGATGCTCCATAACCCCCCATTAGCGTGACGTAAACATTGGACAGCCGTTTCACTCGTGTCAAATCAAGGTCACCACTGATGTGTTCCGATTGATTCAACTCAGAGAGCGCTGAATAGTTCGAAACAAGCTGAATTCTGATTAGCTACTTAGGTGGAGTGGTTGTATTCAGAAACACTGAGTCAGTCAAAATCAATATAAGATCTGACATTACTACATGATGGAGTGAGTTGCAAAACCGCACATCAGCACACCAAGAGAAAGTAATAAAAAAAATAGTAGAAAGTCATCAAAAACAAGAAGAACAACAAGGAGGAACAGACTGATAATGAAATTTAGTATGGTGATTAAAATGCACCACTGAAATTAGTTCTGAGCCATATAACCTGGAATCTCCGACCACCGATTTAGAATATCACGCTGACTTTTGTCGAGAAGTTTACATTTCCGTACATGGTTCAGACCCACAATCAGCGACTCGATGAACTGATGCAGTGTTTTAGTCTGCCTGCCTCTAACTGTTTTCCAACTTAATGGTATATCAGCAAACATTGTGAGATGAGTCAGATAGGGAATAGGCATGTGTAACACATGTCACAGCTATTTTAGTCGATGAAGGTTCATAACCTCATCAGTTAATTTTTCTTCTCCACCTAGAACTCTTCGTTAGTGGGATGGTAGCATCAAAACACATGAGCTGTATTCTGAAGGGCATGGTGATTTTACACGTGAAGCCTTCATTTATCTTCCACGTTTAATGATCATATCCCACAACAGAGAATTGCAGCAGCAATACACTTGGTCCTAAATAAGGAATCAGATTTCGTGGTGACAGCATAAATGGCATGGGCTAGCGAAGGCAATGTGAATTTTTTATATTCATGCTGAGGTTTCGTTCTTCCGACTCACCGAACATGGGATATGATCAACAGGTTCAGCCACTTGACTCCCTGTTATTAGGAAATGCATCAATGCAGACCAGTTGTGGAGCGACAACCCGCATTTCAGTGGTTAGTGACGCTTCCCAAACACTCTCAAATTGCCACTCAATGGGACTTTGCATCTTGTCAGCGTCTTCATCTAACATGACTACACAATCTGAATACTCTAGACCCACCAAGGATTTCCCTTTGATGAGACCAGTCAGTCGCTGTAAAGTCACACTTTATCAGGTCTACTATTCCTGATCTCTGTTTGGGCATTCAATGTTTGCAGAACCTATTGACTCCCCTACGGTCAGCAAGAGAAAATTTCTCCTCTTTCACGAATACTGGGACAATCAGTGATTGAAATCAGTCAAAGGGGATTATATCTGATTACTATACACTAGCTGACACTTTATTTCGCCCAACCAATAATGCTGGACCACCGTCCTGAAATACCTCCAGTACTTGTCCGTTGGGTCTTGTTGCTCTTCCTCCTTCCATATTACTTGCAGATTTTTTGATTTCTGCAAGTGTTGGAAGCCTCGTCTCGATGTTCCATTCAGGATCCAAGTGGGCAAAGGTACGGTAAATAGAGCCTAGTTGAACTGTTCCTCGAAGTGTTCCATTTCAGTTCTCTCCCCTGGGAGTGAATTGCAAACGCCCCCTTCTCTACTGTGACACCACTAACTATTGACTTTTTTTTGCCTCATTGTCCTTAAATCACTCTACCGTTGCCTATCACCTCTGCATTCTCAATCTCTAGGTTTCAGTACTCGTATATGTTCATGGTTATTGAGTAAACTTCTCGTCAGTTACATGTTATATAGTAGTTTACTTTTCATCAAACATTTCCTTTTTTTAAGGGGGGGTAGGAGTGGAGTTCATACTGTTACTCAACAGTTTTTCTTTGCACTTTTCAAATAAATGAATATAAATTTTGAACTTTAATTATTATTTATTACCAGTAAATGTGTTTTTTCTTCAGATAACATCTTTTTTAACTGTAGCCTAATGTTGTGACTTAATTTTTCTACACAAAATTGATTTATTACATGGTTCTTTTGTATGAATCGTTTGTAATCATTTATATCATAATGTAGGTAGCCACTGATCAGAGTTCCATAAGTTAAAGTGTGGTAAATATTTCATCCATGGTACTTAATATTGGATAATTGAAGACCAAATGGTATGAAATAACGGTACCTTTGTAAAGTATACTTCAATAAAATCTCTTAATGTTATCGATGAAAGATATTCTATGTTTTAGTAAGTATTCTATACTTCAGTGTCAACATTGATATTACCAAGTTATTTGACTGAAATTAACCATCCATGAAAATAGATTCGGTGTATATAAAAACTGATTTGTGGACGATAATCCAAATGCTGAACCACGGTGCAATATTTATTGACTTAACTACTTGATTTTCAAGTTACATATCCCATGTTCAAACATGGCATCATTTGTCCTGATCTCGGGTGAAACTACAAAGCGTGATACATGGAATATGGTTTATTGTCTAGCATATAAACTTCTATTGACTTACTGACTTGTTCCCCAATGTTGATTGAACTTTATAATGAAATCAATACTTTTGAGTATGACTCAACTCAACTCACTTCAGTGGAAGATAAATTTGTGGATCATATCTTTCTTGTAGTGTGCACATCACTTATTATCAGAGGTAAAGTCGGTTTGTTACAAAGCAAGTTAGGTGTTAAAGCTAGCGACTTGTTACAATCAAAGACGCCTTAGTAATTAGCTATTGTGGCCGTAACTAATCTCTTAATTAATGGAGTTACATACACTGACTAATCACTGAAGGATAACCAATTTGACTTATTCCCGTCCTAAATGCTGACCGAACTGAATTCTACTAATCAAGCTTTTATAATATGATTACTAAGCTATTTAAACTTATCACTGCAATTCAGTTTGATTGCTTTTAGAAAGTCACTCGTGACCTGAGTTGCATACTCACCACCCTTTGTCTGAAGAATGTATCTGGAATTTTAGGGGGAATTAACTCCCGTTACGCAGTCAATACCTACCAATAGCCTTAGAAAAACAGTCGAAAGGATTTCTGAAGTGAAGTCTTCTACATTAGTTCCGCAAAACTTTAAGCCTAAGCAATCAGAAATAAGCAGCACAATATTGTTTACTATTCAATCACCAAGCGATTCACTTTTTGTATAAATCGCATAAATCAGATAGGTGGGTAAAAATGGGTCCATGAGTTGAAGTTTATTATTACCATTATTATTATTATTCCCTTGGGTTCCTAGTGGAACATAGGGCTTCAGTACCACGTCGCCATTGCACTCTCTTCTCTGCCTACAAGCTTCCATTTGTTCCTCACACAACCTCCTCCATGTCACCCTCAGCCTCGGACGCCCAACTCATCGTTTCACCTTTGGCTTCCACTCGAGGGCCTGGCATGGCGCCTGATGTCTCCGAATGGTTTTCTCACTGTATGTATATCCATCTCCACCTTCTTCTGCATATTTTTTGGGTGATAGGTTCCTGGTTGGTTGGTTGGTGGTTGGTTGTTGGTTCGTTGCCAGTGAGAGTGAGTTCCCTGTTGCCTATTCTTATTATTCTGACCATCTGATCTTCAGTGTCAGTACCGAGTGAGTGTAGGTGGCAGCTGTTGATGATGATGGTGATGATGTGTGCAGTTTGTTGGAAATGCTTTTCATAACGCACCAACTCTCTCAATCATCACATGGAAGCACTGATTTGAGGTTGGTGTTGAGAATGAGGATGTTGTTGACGCTTTATGCTGAGTGAAGTGCAGTGGAGTAGGTCTTCACACTGATTTCAGGTTAATGGAGGCGTGTGTTGCTGTCTTTGTGATCATAGCTTTGACATCCTCATTTGTGCATGTGTCGCCTGCAGTTGAAACGATGCTACCCTGCCTGGGTAGGTGGTGTAGGTGAGAGAGAGAGAGAGAGAGAGAGAGAGAGAGAGAGAGACTACTTCCTTTAAGTTTCTCCCGTTAATAATGATTGATGTATTTTGTTGTTGATACTGTTGTTGGTTTAGTATCTTCATCATCTGTGTCTTCTCTACGTTCACTTGAAGTGCGGTCTTGGCTGACTTAGCTGTTGTGTCAAGTTGTTTTTATTTCGCTTGTAGATCTTCGAGTTTGTGCTACAAGACATTAGAGATAAATCATCAGCAGCGAAATCGAAATCTTCTTAGGTCTTTTCATCGATCCAGCGTATGCCTCTCTTCCTGTTAACTGCTTCCTAGCACATAATGCTGACTACAGTCTATTATAGTATTGAATGGCCAAATTTTATTAGGTATTCTGCTAAGAGCTTTGTAGGTGTTGTTTGGTTTTTAGAAATGTTTGCATTATAAGCTGATGTTAATTGGAGAAGCATTGAAAGCTTCGAAGCACTGAACAGCTGTATCATGCTAGTTTGGTTTGCTCAATGATATGGATATATTTGAACAACACTTTGATCTATAGTATACAACATTACTATCTACTCTAATCGATTTGTGTACAATTTTAACATGGATTGCATACTTACATAAATTTTATGGTAGTTCTGTTGATTTAATGTTGATTTCATATTAAAGTAAGGTCATTTATAAGCTAATTAAAAATATAGCAAAATTGGGTATATTATTCTCTATCCGATTTTCAGTTATTGTTTGTTTTCCAATTTTTTTCTTATTGTAGCAGGATCCGGAATTTTTTGAACCTATTCAAGTGTTCGGTAGATCATATAAGATAAATCAACTGTCTCCGTCTACAGAATATTTGATTCGTGTCGCAGCAATAAATCAATACGGACAAAGGTAAAAGCGTTGATATGCGCTTATTATTATTATTATTATTATTATTATTATTATTATTATTATTATTCAGATAGGTGTAATTCCACCTACATTGTGTATGTGGGTGCACGTATGTATACACGTATCCAATTTACTCCTACTGATCTATTTCCTTGGCATCGTTTACCGAATGTAATCACTATGTTTATTATCATTATTATAACTATCGAGATAATCATTAAAACTGGCTCCACTGAGCTTTAACCTATTTCTAAAATGTTTACTTGCATATTCTTGTCGCAGATGTTCTAGTGTTCATATACTTCATAGGGATTGCATAAGACCTTCTGTCTTGTTTCATGTAAAACAAATTGTTACAAATATCTTTGACCGTGGCTAGTAGAAACAGTGGAATTTATTATTAATGTTCTGTCTAATGTGTTACTAAAGGAAACTGTATTAGTTTGGAAGAGGGTTTAAGGGTGACAGAACCAAGACTTAGCATCAGTCGATGAATCTTCTGACTGTTCGTCTGAGCCGTGTGGTGAAGATGTAGACTACTTTGGTATAGGGTTCTCCGGGTTACATGGCTTGAAATCGGTCACAGCGGCGCAGATGTATTCACTCTTTAGTGTCTTCCAAAGTTTGAATGCTTTGCCTAACATTCATTTTAAAATCCACTCTCCTTTCATAAATACACCTTTGTTTAGTTTGATATCATTCTTCTTCTATCCACCTGTATACTACTGTAAAGTATGACAACTTAAATCGATACGCTTGTGTGGGAGGTTCTACTTTAATTTTGTCTGTGTTTCTGCCAGTTGAATTCGCTGATATCTTGATGATTATTGGTGATGTTAACTAAGTGACTTCTGCTTAGAAATGCAATACATTATTAACTAAGAGGTTAGTTTACAATAACCGCCTATTATTCATTTTGTTTAGGTTGAATTCATGGACACACGTTTCCTCCAGCTTGGAACTCATCAGCTGGATGCATCTATGCATCCTGGTGTGTACAATATGAACAGCTCATTGTCATTTCAACTATATTCTACATTCATTGCATCAATCTGTTTGTATACTACTTACGCTAAAAACACTTTCCTGTTTGTTTTTTCGGAGTTTTTTTTTGCATCACCACGTTTCTCAGTCTAACTGAGCGTTTTTGGTTTTAAAGTCTTCAAATCTGGACATCGCACTGACTCTTGAAGTCATTCAGTATTATTCCAAGCCACGTCTATGCATTTAGATCTGTTGATTTTAGTCTTCAAAGTGCCGGGGAACAATAGTTAGGCAGACTCTAATACATACTTCTCTTTTTTTCGTTGACAATGTTACCTTCCTAGTAATGATAGATAGTGGCTTGCAGTGGAATCCAGGATGAGCATTTCGTCCTGTTTGGGACTCGTCAGCCGGATGTACCTGCCTCCGAGTGAGTGATGTTATTTCCACCACGATTCGAACTCGGGACCGATCGCTTCAAACGCCAGAGTGTTATCCACTAGACCACCGAGCCACGATAGCCGCTTCTTGTGCGCCGAGTATAGTTCTATTATTATTACTTGTATTATATCGTCGTTACTTGGATCGAATTGATCGGTCTCTATTGGCATATGAGCTCCTTTGCGAATGCCTCGATATTACCTGTGTTTTCATTCTGGTAATGATGGATAGTGGCTAGCAGTGGAATCCCGGTGGAATCAGCATCATTCACTGGAGGCAGGTAAATCCAGCCGACGAGTCCCAAATAGGACGAAATGCGGAGCCTGGATTTCACTGCTAGCCACTATCCATCATTATTATAATAAGCTTCATATTCCAAACATTTAATTGTGTAGACACACTTATTCTGCGTCTTCTTAGGGATTATATCTTTCACTTTGACTGAAATCTTTCCTAGTGAATTTCAAGGTTTAAAACAGACTTTATTACCATCCGAATATGACCAGACGAAGACGTGGTGCCAGTCTATGAACTGTCTTACTGTTGGTCTGACCGATGCGGGGAGATTTAGAATGCCTGGTTGGGATCCTTGAGGTGAAAAGAATCAGTGGATGAGGTCTCTTGGTGATATGGCTGAAAACCGGTCACAATGGCGCAGTTCTGTTCACTCCTTAACTTCTAAAGCTTAAATATTTACACTAACCTTTATCGTCAGATTGTTTTTTTCTCTCATACTACTTTATCTACTGTGATATCACGTTCCGTATCCACCTAATCTTTGTGTACTATTGTGAGGTGTGGTAACTTGAGCGGATGCACTCGTATGTGAGGTTCTACGTTGGTTCTGTTTACCATCAGTGTTATGACCGAGTGGTGGGGTTGCGCGCGTGGGTATAATGATACTGAGACTCAATACACACCTCAACCAAATACCTTACGAATGACTTCCCTCAGTACCTTCTGCTTCACCTAGCCGCGAAGAAATCAGAAGACAAAGACGGCCTGTGACTACAAGAACAGCGACAAAGTTTATTAGACAAATACATATATGTATTTACAAAACTCTCAGAAAGTGAAACTATAAATGAACCAATCCGATTTCTTGTATGAGGTCGAACTCCTCCAATCAGGTTCTCACATCAGCGCATGCATAAATCACGACCTGAACATGATCTGATCATGACTTGAAAACAACTCCCCTTTTGGCTGCCTTTTGTCGCTACGTAACAATCAGCTTGGTGACCTCGGCAACCTTATGAAATAATCCGTTGTCCGTTGCAGATTGGAACTTTCATTTTGCATTTTTATATCAAAGTCACTTCAAGTCTTGGCAGGTTATTCAATTTTCATGTGTAAACCGATAACTGATTCTAGACTAGACAGTGCTTTATATGATGTTTTTTTAACACCAGCAGTGATGTGAAGAGATACGCTGTCGACCTAGTCATCTCTAAGCCCATACTTTGATGCATCTGTGTACGTTGTTAAAAGTATTGGAGAATAGTGAATCTCTCCCCCCCCCCTTTCGGAATAATTGTGATCCCAAAGGTGGATTTTTGCACAGTTTATATGGATCTTGGTCAAGATTTGATCGGATATTTTCATAAATATTAGGCGCCGAGTAAAATGTTGACAGTAGATATAAGTTATATTTGGACACATCTCACGGTGTTTAAAATAAGAGATTCCAACGTTTCCCACGAAAGTCTAATCCGAGCTTCCTCAGGGAAATAATCAAGATCTACATTATCATAGATATATGTATAACAGGTCAAAAGTCGTATAGTTCTTCTCATTGTTTGATCGTGTCTGATTATGATTGTTTTTCAATGAGCTTATTAATCATTCACATACTGATACCATACGATGCATGAATGTAAGCCTGTGTGTGTGTGTGTGTGTGTTCTATGTTAGATATCGGTTAGCACAAATTAATAGAGGTCATATATATCATAATTTTCATTGCATGAAGAATATGTACTTGTTGTATATGGTACAAAATATGTCATTTTTGTCAATATGTAAAGACAGAATGAACTGACGTTGATAAGACTAGACAGTCTGTTTCCTTTGTTTCTTGAAGGTCACAGAATAGATAGTAATAATAGCAATAATGATAGTTATAATAGTGAAAAACGTATACGTTTATAGCACATTGTTTATTGTAGCTGATGGTTTGAATGATGAAAACAGATTATACTGGATGGAGATTGAGAGTGAAATGAAAATTTGGACCACTACCGGATTCGAACCAGCGACCATCGGGTTCCCGGCCCAAGGATCTACCAACTGAGCTGCAAGTTCCAGTTGTAGAACTTTCGTTTCATCGAGATCAATTTTGCCTGACGTTTCTATTGAGTGCAGTACTATAGCTAATCTATTCTGCAATCTCTGAATGTCAGCTGAGGTCTTTGGAATTTGTTTCAGACCTTGTCCATGTTTCTTTACCCTTACATTCACCTACTTGGATGTTTCCCTTACATATAGAGTGGTATCACAATCTGAGCAACTTATTTCATGGACACAATTCTGTTGATTTTCTGCAGGTATTACGTCGTTGACCTTCATCAAAGTAGAACGTAGATTATGTGTGGTACAGAAATAAGCCTTTGTTATTATTAGTATTTGTCCCTTGGGTTCCTAGTTGAACCTGCTCCACCACTGCCCAAAAGCTCGCATTTCTTCTTCACATGATCTCCTCCATATCACATTCGGACGCCCAACTCGACGTTTCCCATCAGGGTCCCACTCAAGTGCCCGGTCTGGCGCGTGATGTCAACGAATGGTCTTCTTAGTGCATGCCCAATCCACCTCTACTTCCTTCTGCATATTTATTGAGCGATAGCTTCTTGGTTGTTTCGTTGCCAGGCGAGAGTTTCTTGTCGCTTATTCTTTCTGACCATCTGATCTTCAGTAACGAGCCAGAGTAGGCAGTTGTTGATGATATCTGTAGTTATTGGGAATCTTCTTCTGGGGTCTTTTCAGCGGTCCAGCCAGCGTATGCCCATCTTCTCACTCCTCACGGTTCGTTGCATGATCCAGTCGGCCACATTGAGGAAGATCATCTGTGGACGTAGAAGGCCTTGTCTTACTCCTGTCTTCACTTCAAAGGCATCACTGGGCTTCCCATTGTGAATTACTTGGCATGTGGCGTCTTCATATAGTTGTTGAATGAGGTTGATAAAAGTTTGTGGTATTCCATTGTGTTGAAGCAACTGCCAAATTACTTGTCGGTCGACGCTGTCGAAGACGGGCCTTTTCAAAGTCGATGAAGTTAAGGTAGAGAGTTGACTGCCATTCTACCCTCTGTTCTATGATGATGCGTAGCGTAGTGTTGCAATTTGGTCCGCACATGATTTATTTTTCCTGAAACCAGCCAGCCGGCCTGTTCCGGTCGTAGTTTTGAATCCAGCGCATCCTTTATCTCTCTCTCCAGGATGATGCGGCTTAATATTTTGCTTGCTGTGGGTGGACAGCAGCATGATTCCTCGCCAGTTCTTGCAAACACTTAGGTCGCCCACCCTTGTTTGGGAGTTTGGCAAAGTAGCCCTTCTTCCAATCACCAGGTGCCTTCCCTTCCTTCCAAACCTTCTGCAGTAGTGGTGTGGTGTGAGCATGTCCGCTGTTGTCCCTGAGTCTGTTTTCAGTGCTTCTGGCGGAATTCCATTTGGTCCTGCTGCTTTCCCGCATTTCAGTAGCCTTATGGCATTCAGGACTTCTACTTTCGTCGAAGGGCTTGTGTTCACTTGTAGTTCTGTGGCTGGGCTGCAGGTGGTATTTCTGGATGAGTTGCAGTTGGTGGCGGTGGTCGATTCAAGAGCTTTTTGAAGTGGTCAGCCCATGGTTTTCTTTGTTTCTCTTCTTTCGTAATTAGATTTCCTTCATCATCTTTTATTGGTTTCATCTGTGTTGTTCTCTTTGCGTATAGTAACCTGGTTATTTGATACAATGTGGTCGGGTCCCTGTCTCTCCTACCTGCAGCCTGTTCTGCTTCACTTGCCAGTGTGTCGTAGTGTTGTGTGTCTTTTGTCTTTCCGTGCACTCTTCTTCACTTCTTTGTTCAGTGTAGTGTTTTTTACGTTGTACTCAGTTCCTCTTGTCGTTGTTCATTCTTGCACTACTTCATCTTCTGTTTCACCATCTTCCTCTCCCTCCTCTATCAGCTTCCATGTGTCCATCGAGATCCATTCCATGTCTTGTCTCTTCTTCCTTCCTAATACTGTTGTGCAGGTTTCTTTCCACATCTCTTTCAAAGAGTTCCAGTCTTCTTCCACACAGGTTTCTTCAGGGATGTTGCTCGATATCTCCCATTTTGTCTTGATGGCTGAGGTGGAGATTTCCTTTGTAGTTTCATCCTTCAGTTCAGTTCAGTTTCTGTTCTAGGTGTTCAACCTGAACTGTGATTTATCACTAGCTTTTTTGAAGGCTTTCAACTTGATTTTGAAGGTAGGTTCCTTGCACTAGGTAGTCAGTGGTGTGAACCTACATCTACTCCCCTTCTTCATCTGATCTTGTGTCCAGTAGGCTATGTCTCTATCTCTGCTTTCTTCATGTTGCGATGAAGTCGATCTGATTTTAGTTTGTCCTGGTGTCTGGTGAAATTCATGTCGCTTTGTGAATCTCTTTGTGCTTGAACACACTGCCTGACTCTAATCACCAAATCGTTGAATGCACAAAATTCTGCAAACAATTCTCCATTCTCGTTCATCACCTCACCGAGCGCTTCTCGACCCATGGTAAGTTCTCTTCCTGTGTTTTCCCCTCCCAGTTTGGCATTCGCCCATTAAAATGAATTTGATGTCGCCAACTGAGGTGGTGTCTTGTCCAATGTTGATTGCAGTTGTCTGTAGAATTCCTCCCTTTTTTCTTCATCTGCATTATTTGTAGGTGCGTAGAGTAGCATTGAGTGATTGTGACTTTCCTTCCGTTTGAGTTGAACCTTGCTGTTATGATCCTGCAGGAGGTTGGTTCCCACTTCATGAGAGAGCCTTCGATGCTCTCGGGCACATGCTTGTTAAGATTTCCTCCGATGTCTCTTTGCGATATGGAATCACCATAGTGTTTAAGAGTATTGGAGGACATTTCGGACTATTCTTCACGTCATATTTTAAGATTCTCTTCATAAATTTATCGGGATAGTTATTTGGTTTAAGTATAGATTCAATCACTTTTAACTCATTATGTAGTGTCACCAGACGATTAGCTCTGTGATGAGCTTCTTAGGAACTGTTAATTTAATGGGTTTAAGGTATGCGTGGAATAATAATCAAGATATCTATCTGAATTTCTTGGCTTTTTGAATATACATATCTTCATTTTGTTATTGTTCTGCTGTCTTTTGACCATACAGTCCAGAAAAGCCAATTCAGTCTCTTCAGAGTACGTGATATTTTTTGACACGCTGTTTATATGTCTTAAACGTTCTTCCAAGTTATTTCGCTTAACAATAACAGACGTATCATTCACATATCTCAACTATATTCTAGGAGTAATAGAGTATTTCATCATAAAATTATTTTCTATTGAACAACTTAGCAACTATCAGGGATACCAGAGATCTCATTGGAATGCCTTCTGTTTGTCTGTATTAATCTTCTCTAAACACAAAAGAATGTTTATCTTAAACATAATTCTAAAGATTTTATAATCTCACTCAGATTTGATGGACAATGAGTATCTAGATCAGTATCTAATACTAAAACATTATTTATAATGTCGAATAGGAACATTAGTAAATAAAAAACAGACATTAAAACGTGTCGTTATTTCATTATCATCAATACAGTTTGCTATGATTCTGTTCCTGAATTCATACAAGTTATTTACTCCTTTTTCATACAGTTTTAAGATTTGGGTTAAATATTTTGCCAATTTGTACGTTAGTGAGTTGGTAATATTGACAATTGGTCGTAATGGAATATCCACCGTGTGCATTTATGGTAACCCTATAAAATCTCTAAGGGTTACAGCTTTTTCCGGATTTTAACATTTTGCTGGTCTATACTTTGAGTTTATTTAATGTAGCACGTATTTTTGTGATATAAATTTCCTGATAATGATCGGGCTCGAGATATTTCCTAGCCATTCTCTCATAATCTACAGAATTCATAACCACTTGAGTATTTCCTTTGTGCACTATGGTTATGATGGTTGTTTTGTTACTGCATAGCTGTTTTCAATTGAAAAACAATCATAATTCAGATACAAGTAAACAATGAGATGAACTATATTATTTTTGACCAAGTGATTTTATAGACCACCAATTAGATTTCTCTACTTCGGCTGGAAAGACAGGTTTTCTATAAAATAAAGTTTTAATTGATTGTTTCACTTGTTGCCAAGGTGACTTTTAGAGTCACTTTGACCTGTTATACATGTATATATGATAATGTAGATTTTGATTATTCCCCTGAAGAAGTTCGGACCAGACTTCCATGGGAAACGCTAGAATTTCTTATTTCAAATACGCTAAGATTTGTAATCAGACTGCTAAACGTAATTTTTTAATGATTAAGGAGCGCTGGAAAGACTGACTTTCAAGGCCATCCTAGCGACTGATGAGGTAACCAATTACTTTATTCTATGAGAAACAACCTTCCCAGTCGAAATTCTGAGATTTGATTGGTTAATTTAGCATTTGCTGAGGTGGCCTTGAAAATCACTCGCTGGAACAAAATCTGTGATTGAAATATACCGGCCGTTAACAGTCATGTTCACATGAGTAAGTGGAGTTAAAAATAACACCTGTGAAATATTTATATATAAAAATAAGTTAAATTACTATCAACCGAGATGGAGAACACAATTGCACCGAAAAATGATGTCCGCGTTTTCTGAATAATATTTATTTGATAGAAACGGTTATTGTATCTGCTTGATGTTATTAATAACCGTATTCAAGGTAATAATATGAAACAGCCAGCCAGCTGATACTGGATGGGTCCCCGGTCCATAATGAAGAATCAATAGAAATGCAAGCATAATTTTGGTGGTGGTGGTGGTGGTGGTTCATTCAGACGGTACAAAAATCTGAAACTCAGACGGAGAGAAATATGATGTACTTTTGTGCACCGAAAAGTTCATTTCCATATAACGTAACATTTTTCCTCTGCTTTGTTATTGAGTCAATAAACGGAAAGCTGAAAACAGTTTAAAAATGTCCCAGAGTACATGATACGTTCAGAGGAGATATTTAAATGATTAAACAAATTGAAAAGAAAGAATTTTGGTGAAAAAATGTTCGATGGATAAATTTGGTAGTCCAAGGTCCAAGGAGGCCGTCGGAAAAAATTCAAGATGTATGGCTGTTTTTCAGTGTTTTCTTTTTCTGAAACATCTGTCAAAGTGAACAGACAATTACACATAAAAAACAATTTTGATTTTTAATGAACATTATTCCCTTAGCGGTATATTTATGAACATATAGTAGAAAGTGTTATTGCTTGTATTACACCGTCGTTGATTGGACCGAATTGATCAGTCTCTGTTGGCATATGGGCTCTTGTGCGGTTGCTTCAATATTGACTGTGTTTCAATTATGTATAGTAATGATGGGCAGTGGCAGGCAGGTACATCCAGCTGACGAGTCCCAAATAGGACGAAATGCGCATCCTGCTAGCCACTGCCCATCATTACTATATAGTAGAAAGGTTACAACATTCTAGAAATAATTTTCAGTCAAAATTCATCTGTCTACATCTACACCATTTTAAACCATATCACAAAGCGTCTTTAACCATCGGTTGTTAGCATGTCGAGAACCTTTAGTCAGATAGACTACATCCTCCAACATTCTTCAGACGAACAAGGAAAGACTTCCTGAACTTGCATCATTTCTTAATCTGGCCAACATTGGCTTATTACATATCTGAGCAAGACTACTTGTCTTATGTTTACCATTCTATTTTAGACTGCTATTTATAAAGTTCCTTCTATTGTGTCAAGTCGTTATACTTTCTTCATTCAAAAATCCAACAACTGTTTATCATATATCATTCATTTTATCAAAGTGATATAATGCTACATTACTGGAAGTGTCCTCTTCTTGATTAAAAATCCAATTGTTGACTTGTTTTACCTTTTTTTCCCTCTGCTTCCTTGAGGCAAGCATATTAAACCTCGTTACTTGTAGCCACTGAATATATATATATATATATATATATATATATATATATATATATATATATATATATATATATACCTTTCGTTATTACATTTCTTTTTCCTCTCAAGTTCCTGGAGTCCAATACTCTCAGCATCAACATCTGGTAGTCCACCAGACATGCCACTACCACCATTCTTAATACAAGCTGATGTCCATTCATTAACACTTGGATGGCGTCCACCAACTAACTTATCTGATCAATACCAGTACCACAATCATCATCATCATGATATTACATGTGATCAAACAAATTCATCTAGCTATATGAATCATTTGAATCCGATTACGTACACTTTAGAAATGGATGATCAAGCTATGGGTCATGGTTTTGTCACTGTTTTCGATGGTACTGGTACAGAGCATTGTATTGATAATCTACGTCGTAATACACGTTATCGTTTCCGATTAGCAGCATCTAATGTGGATGGTAGAAGTCGTTGGAGTGAAACCATAACCTTGACCACTCTTCCAGATCATCCATCTCCACCAAGAAATTTAAGAGTGAGTTATGATTGATATATATATATTATAAAAATGAAAACTTTTAATACGTGCCGATGAACTTAGATGTAGGGTTGCAGGTTCCAAAAAACTCATGGTTATTTTGCAATTGGTTAAAACATTATTTGACTGACGATGGAGTTATGACTCATTGGTTTAGACACTTGACTTCCGACCTCATGAAATATGGTTTCGAATCATACATCATCTACTGGGGTCTGGATAGCCACATAGTATCAATAAACCTCGTGCAACAGGTGTGGCTCACAGCTTAGTGCATAGACATGCACATGGTTGCTGAGTACACTTCACTTCGCATGAATACGTGTTATCATGGTTCAAAGAACTACAATAGAAGGAAAGCAAGAAAAGAAAACAAGGATCAATTGCTATCGTATGCTATTTAGATGGAAATCATTTTATATCATGTGATGTAATACTAATTTGTTATAACTGCTTTATTCTATATGTGTGTGTGTGTGTGTGTGTGTGTGTGTGTGTGTGTGTGTGTGTGTGTGTGTGACCTGATGATGATGATAACACTCTCTAGACATGCTGCACTTTACGAAATGCTTGAAATGATGGTTTCTGTAATTTTCTGAATGGTTTGTGATCTGGAAATCAAGTTTCTCTTCATTTTTTTTGAAGCAAACAGTAGACCAGTGTCAAGACATCCTACTGTTTCAGGAGTTGACAGTAAATATTCACTTGTTCCAATGTTATATAAGTAAGTAATAGGTTTCATTGGTTGAAACATTCAGCTGACTAACATCATCTCAAAGTTGAAATATAGCTTCGAAGGATTGGTAATTGTTCAAAACCCCATTGGAAACCATCTCTTATCTCCCTAATGCCACATATGAGTACTTCTAGTAGAGTGATTAATACATATAGACTGAAAAAGACTGATGACCATCTAGAAACCACTACATATCACTGAGTATCTAAGCTAACCATGTTGTACCTGAGGTATTTGACTTGCACGTCTTAGTTGTGACCAGTTTTTTTATTCTTCAGGAGTTAACTGGGTTGTAAAAGTCAAAGCGATTTAACTTAAAGATTTCATGCTAATCACTTTTCACCATCCACTATTAAACATGATATACTACAGTGTTGTCTATTAATCTAGTTGTAGTTTACTAATTATGATGTGTATAGCTCGTTCTTGACGTAAGTAGAGATTTTGATTGAAGTCTGTTACGGATAGCCTGAAAACATCGTGATAATTGATGTCAGTTTTACATCAACAGCTGCCGCCTACACTCACTCAATACTGAAGATCAGGCGGCCAGAATAATAAAAATTGGCTACAGGAAACTCACTCTGACTGGCAACGAATCAACCAACCAACAACCTATCGCCCAACAAATATGCAGAAGAAAGTGGAGATGGATTGGGCATACACTAAGAAGACCGATTGGAGATATCACGCTCCAGACCAGACCCTCGAGTGGAAGCCAAAGGGGCGTCCGAGGCTGGGGAAGATTGTATGAGAAAGAAATGGAAGCTTGTGAACAGTGATGGAGCCAGGTTGAGAAGACTTCAGAGAAGGGAGTGAAGTGGTGATGTGCTACTGAAGCCTTATGTTCCACTAGGAACCCAAAGGACAAGTAATAATAATAATAATGTTATTTGTTTGTTGAGTTATGCAAAACCGAGCTCAAGAAAAATCCATGGTATTTTATATGCCTTCAGCGTTTGTATTGAAGCGGAGTCACGATTTTAAGGAAAATGGATTCTGTATGGAAAATATCCTAAGGGGAGGGATTCAATTTATTCCCTTGAAATTACCGTTGTTATTAGCATGTTATACTTTTAATGTGATGTTCATCTGGTCAAGCAATTTCTGAGATTCCCTGAAATTACTTTAAAATGCTTGCAAAGTAAAGTTTTCACGTGCAATGTTTACTTATTAAGTATATGGTTCATTTACTATGCTGTGAACTAAAGTGATTTGAGTGTTCACTGCTATCTGACTGTCAAAGCCTAGCAGGTAGCAAGCAACATTTCAAATGGCTATTTCTGAAGATGTGGATATTGAGGAGCTTACCCACCAAGTCATAACTTTAAGAGTATTTACCTCTAGTAAAGCAAGCAGTTTGAATTATGCATAAAGTTTGAAGTGGAGTAAGTAGGATGTATATATCAAAGTTAATAAACATTGATAGTATAAAGTTCTGTAGGCGAAAAATAGCAAAGATACTGTGAACTGACAGCCTAATTGATACATGGAATGTATCAAATAGCAGTCAATCTAAAAATGAGAAAATAAGATAAATAAAACTGACAACACAATAAGTGTAAGGTTTCAAATGGATCACACTAGTGCACATTTTTTGATCTACTAATGTTATCACAATAATAATAATAATAATAATAATAATAATAATATCTAAGAAACGTTGGTAATAGCAGTGTTACAGGAAATTATATGAAACAAGCAGCTTTTGTTAGGTTATCATCTAGTTTGAAGGGAAGGGGAGAGAATTGAAAAGTATGCATATTTTGTGATGATGGGGCTTCATTTACACAGAATAGAAATCTGCAGTTTGTACTAACCATTGTTGTGTACATTTCAGTTTACTGTAGTGGTTTCTTTTCAATTTGACCGGGTACAATGACAGGTTGGAAGCTCAGTGATGCTTTTGAAGTGAAGACAGGAGTGAAACTATCCCCCATGATACTCCTGATTGTGGTCGACTGGATCATGCAGCAAACAGTGGGGAGCGAGAAGAGGGGGATACGCTGGACTGCGGAAAAGAACCTAGAAGATCTGGATTTCGTCGATGACTTGTGCATGATGTCACACAAATTTGAAGATCTACAGGCGAAAACTAACAAGTTGGCAGAAGAGGCAGAGCAGCGAAGACGGGACTTCAAGTGAATATAGGGAAGACAGAGGTGATGAAGATACCGTACCAACAACTTCAACAACAACAACAAACTCCAGTCACCATCAACGGGAGAAACTTAAAGGAAGTAACCTCCTTCACCTATCTAGGAAGCACTGTTTCAACTACAGGCGGCACAGACGAGGATGTTAAAGTCAGAATCGGAAAAGCAAGACAGGCGTTGATTAGCCTGAAACCAGTGTGAAGATCTACTGCACTCAGCATGCGGAATAACATCCGGATTTCCAACACCAACGTCAAGTTAGTGCTTCTGTATGATGGTTGAGAGACTTGGTGCATTACGAAAGGGATTTCCAACAAACTACAGACATTCATCAACAACTGCTTACGCTCGCTACTGAAGATCAGATGGCCAGAAAGAATAAGCAACAAGGAGCTCTGGGAACGAACCAACCAAGAAGCTATCGCTGAACAAATATGCAGTGGAAGGAAGTGGAGATGGATTGGGCATACACTGAGAAGGCCGACTGGGGACATCACGCGTCAGGCCAGTTGCTCGAGTGGAACCCCGATGGGAAGCGACGAGTTGGGTTTCCCAGCTGAGGGTGACATGGAGGAGATCGTGCGAGGAGGAAATGAGAGGTTGTGGGCTGTCGTGGAACCAGGTTCAAAACATTTTAGAGAAGAGAGTGTAATGGAGACGTGCTACTGAAGCCCTATGTTCCATTAGGAACCCAAGGGACTAATAATAATAATAATAATAATAATAATAATAATAATAATAATAATAAATAACAATGACAGGTTGAATGCATTTTAAAAATACACAAGAATACATAAAATGATTTGAAGATATATTTAAATAATCTTAACCAATTGAAGAGGGGCAATATAACTGAAACTTTTAGTAACCTACAGGTTTAAGTAATACTGTTTAAGTTTATGTGCTAGACTAATAACCACATGTTAATAATGTATTACGGTATATGATATTCACCGGTTATGTCGATAAAGTATATCTTAAACTTTGAACTCATCAGTTGTAAGAAAAGGATCTAAACTGTTATTTTTCAACCCTATTTTTATTTCTTTAGATTTATGGTTCACTTTTACAGCCAACTCGATTAGCCATAACATGGGATGTACCAGAGGATGACGGTGGGATGCCTATCCAAGCTTATCGTTTAGAAGCTTTGCTACCCTATAGCAATAGTAATAACAATAATACCAGCCTAGTTAATGGAACTTTAACCAATGGATCAAATACAAAGTTGAATGATGGTACTTATTCTTTGGAAAAAATTGATGATCATATGGATGTTATTAAAAAACTAATATGCTGGCCGCATGTTACTGGTGAGTATAATTATTGTAAACCTTTAATTAGATAAATGTGCTCCGATGCATTAACTCAATGCTAGCTTGCTCACTGCGAAATCTGAACGTCCTAGGTGAAGAGTCCCTAGTTAGAACAAAACAGCTTCCAGATTTTCAGTAGCTCTCCAACTGATATCAGTCCGTAATGAATACCACCTTGAGATAGACGTATCATTTTCAATAGGTGTAATCCATACACTTATCTAGGATTATTTAGTTTCATCAATTAGAGTAAAGCAGATTGGTGGCCACAATGCGGAGAGGTATAATGAACTAATCAAGCGGTAATTTTTAGAAACCAATCAGATTGAACTTATGTTCCTATTTTTAAGATTATTGTTAACATCTTGTCGGAATATGAGAATGTTTTTTAGCCTCAGCGTATAAACTTCTCATTGTAAACAATAAGATTTACAATGTTAGTTACTCATCATGGGACTGACATTAGTTGGGGAACCTTTGAAAACTTCTTTCATCCTAGTAGCAGTACACACCCATGACCAGCTCAGGGGTTGAACTCTGAATCTTCAGGTTTCACAGCGAACGCGTCAGTCCTAAAAACTGAGATCCTAATTCATCTCAAAAATATATTTACAATCTAAGGCGAAGATATTTAACATTGTTAGCAACTTTATTGCTTTGTTTTAAAAAAAAAATCAGTTTCAAGCTGTGTTTATAGTCTTTTACTCACCTTTTGTTGAAGATTGACGTCCAGATAGGGTATAATGCAGTCCTATGCTTTAATTGGACAGTAAACTGGGATCACATTTTTTGCATAATGATATATATATATATATATATATATATATATATATATATATATATATATATATATATATATATATATATATACTGAACAGTGTATAATAGATTTTTCTTCTCTTCTAAATGATAGATCAAATTTGAGATTTGAAGTTTTTGATCTAATTCTACTTTTTCAATTTCAAGGAACCTTATTCTTGTGAATTTTCTGTTTCTATACTGCACTCATAACATTCTAGCAGTACTGTTTTTAATCTATCCTGTGTTGAATATCAGCCGATATTTTTACCAACTTGTACCTACTTACAGTTTCCTATTGTTTACTTAATTCAATTGAATTGATCGTTTTCTGTTAGCATATGAACACTTTGAACGGATGCCTCGATATTAACGGAGTATCATCTACTAGACATACTGGCTTTGGAATGTCATGTGTTAGGCTCGAGTTTTATCGAAGATGATACTGAGAATGTAGGTATATCCAGCTAGCAAGTTATGGATGAGACGAAACATGCGTCTTGGATTTCACTGCAAACTACCACCAATTGTATATTATCTTTATGCATCTAATTTATTCTATATGTATGATAACTGATGCCAATAGTTGATGACAAAGCATCTTGTTTCACGAATAACACGATACGCCTTTGTGTATGTTACATACAGTTCTTAAAGTCTAAAATATGATGGAAGGTTCATCACACCACAATATTTCGGAGTTGATTAATTATCACCGAAATGTTGTTAAGTGATCTCAAGGTAAATGATTCATACTTAAAACGTAGAAGAAAAAGACTGAATAAATTGAAAGTGATACTCTAATTGAACGATATGTCTCTCCAAAGTTGTTTGGTGATTATTTTTGTCGGCCGTCATCAATAGCGCTTTTATTGTTCAAGATTGAAATGTATGAATAGTGATGTCATACATATTTGTACAAATTAATTCATTTATGAGCCGCTATGATTCTATTTCATGTTGGTCACAGACCTTTCAAACAGTTTATCTCACGTTCGAATCCTAACTGACCGACTGAATCAACGTAGAATCTCGCACACAATCCATTGGTTCACGTTGCCACACTTGACACACAGTAGTACACAAAGAACAGGTGGATAGGATAGGAGAAGAGTGATATGAAAGTAGATAGAGTAGTGTGTGTGTGTATGAGAGAGAGAGAGAGAGAGAGAGAGAGAGAGAGACTAAGCAATGTGAAGGTTAGTGTAAATATGCCAAGCTTTAGAAGATGTGAAGGGGTGAATAGGGGTGACTGCGCGACTGTCAGGTATGGCAACAATAGGCCTATCGTCTTGAGGACCCGAACCAGGTAGTGTTAAATTTCTGATACGGTTGAGACAGACGAACAGTTAGAGATTTGATCTACTGGTGCGATGTGTTGGTGTGGCCGCGGTGATGAAGCGTCTTCCAACGTAATCCAGCTTCCCCTAGGTAGGATAGTGAGTGGTAGGTGGAGGGAGGGAGGGGTGGCTCGACATGTCCTCCAGTATATGTGGAAGCCATCTCGGTGGATTATGGTTGAGACCGTTGCCAATAGACTTACCTTTCGCATCCTATTACGAGTTGTAATTTCGTTTGCTTTAATTTTACAGGTGTATTTTGTAGGTTGGTATGTGGTTCCTACTGCTGATAGAGAAGTTTCATTTTAAATTTACTTCTCTGCAGAATATGATGGTGAATTAACTGGAAAGCCAGTCATAACCTAATAACAACTAATATATATTATATGTAAATAGCCAATATTGTGGTTCTTTAGTCGAATGAATAAAGCTTTTGTGATTGAACACATTCAGTCCTGGATTGAGTTGTGAGTTGAAAAGGCATATTTTCAACAGTGGTAACAGGCTTAACTTGAACGTCGGAAACAGGGTGTTCAACAAGCAAGCGTATTAACTCTGTCAGAAAATGTAAAGATATGATAGAAGTAGTAAACTAAGCTGCAGAATTCTAAATTTTTCATTTTATTTTTGCTTTTTTTCACTGTCTTCTAAGCATCACCAAACAAATGATGATAGCGTTTTGTTTAATGTGATATTCAGGTATAAATATTTGTTGATTAATAAGGATATCAGATTTTGGTAACTAGTTGGCTTCTTTATTGACCTGCCTTATAGGTCTCACTCCTTCCGCCTGACTAGAATTTTGTTTACTGAAGTTCGTTGGACTGTGCATATATGCACAGAATGTATGCTTGTGTCTAGTAGTACGTCGATGCGTTATAAATTTATGCCAACTGAACCTACTTACTATTACATTGTTTTGACATCCAATTAAGATGATGCTGACGCTATATATTCGGTGTTTTTATGGTCTAAAATAACATAGAGAAGGATTCTTAAATTAAGTGTGTGTCTGGTGAAGCATATTGATCGAACTACATGGATTATGTACATGTATACATCTTCATATGCATGTACGTCTATCCTTCTTGTGTGTCCTAGAAAGGTGACCGTCTAAATGAAACAAACAAATGTGAATAGCAATGAAGTCCAAAATTTATGGGTGTATATTTTGACCAAGTGAATAATCAACACACTCGGTGAATTGAAGTTGTGAGAGGTATTTGTTAGACTAATATGAAAAGCGAAATTCACTAATTTATTTGTAGTCTTATGGAGGAGAAAAACCATTTATATGTAGTGATATGTATTTTTTATAATGGATAACAGTGGGATCGAGTACGGGTGTTTCGTCCTGCTCTGAACTTGTCACCTGGTGATTGCTCGTTTTCTGACCCATAGCTCCTATCTGGACATGGTGATCATCACACTTGTATACTACATCAACCTAACGTGATATGCCGATGGAACCCTAGTTACTCTCCAGGTGCTAACATGCTAAAAATGGCAGTTGGATAGTGGTAGTGGCAGTTAATGTTATGATGTTATGAAGTACTGCTGACTGGCTGAGTTAAAATAGCAGTAAGGTTTTGCCCACAGATGACCAGTAGTACCATGATGATACTACCCTCCTTATAGGAAACAACTGAGGGCTAGAAAAGAGTGGTCCTAGAAACAGCATATTCTTCTGGATATTGTGGCGTGCCGGTGCTGGTGGTATGCGTTCATATTTGGGTTAGTAAAAAAAAAGTTAAAAAATCTCTAACTTCTAAGAAGACTACAGTCAAAAGACTGCAGAGAACAGAGTGAAATAGAGACGTGCTACTGAAGCCTTATGTTTCACTAAGAATCCAAGGGAAAAAAAATAAGTTATCGGTCGCAAGCTACTATCCCATGGGCTCTGCGGTCATGCACTAACCCTTCTTTTTCAAGTGCTCCAAGAAGAACTAGCCTTCAAGGGCATGGATAATCATCCTTCCATATCCTTACCTCTTAATCTTCTTTCAAGTCTCTCGGTCAACATTCCCATATCATATTTAATTTGTGTCAGCTCTGCAGCTGTCGACAACGATTCGAGTTCATGTAACAGCATACCGGGTCCCTTCAAAATGTTCTTCGAATTGTATATTAGTGCTCTTAGTGTTCACATTCTTCTTGGAATCGACCAACAAGCTTCGCTAACCAAAACTCTGTCATATTGGGCCATGAATATATGTTCTATGTTTGTGAGACTCAAGTCCAATTATTCACCTGACTAATTTAGTTAAACCACAAAACTGACTTTTGGAGTTTCTGAAGATTCGACGGCTAGTTCTCGCAGTCTTGCAGGTATAAGTTTATCATTAACCCGCAAGACAGAAAGTTCACTCTTCGACTTGATCACCGTTGACAGTCGCCTATGCACTTTCCGACTAAAAACAATAGCGACACTCTCCATTGTTTCTTCGTAATCTCTGCTTCCACACCTAGTCTATTGATTTGTATAGGGGGACAGATAATAAAGCATGGTACAGAAATGCATCTCAATTCAAGTTATTCCACTTCACATCAGCATAGTGATGAAAGGTGAACAGATAACGAGTGAAATAAAAGTAGACAATTGTTTAAAAGGAAACAGAATAAACTAGTGAAGATTAGAGGGAAGGTTCAGAATCCGGAAACTGACAAAAGTTTAAGCCAACTAACCGATACACTTCTCAACACGCTTCAGATCAGTTATCAATATCTTCATGAACTGATACCAAATCTTGGATCAATCATTCTTAGCTGTCTTCCTTATCTACGCCTACTTTAGTTAACATTGTATGTATGCTGTGGGAAAAAAAGAGAACAGATGAATGTCGTGAATATAATCTGTTATACTTTAAATGCTATTGGAAAACATTTCATTTCTCTGTTCTAGCAGTTTAGCTGAGCTTTTTGTGACGGTGCTTAATTTATGTTAGTTTGTAAAAGCACCGTTAACTACTGACAGAATCATTTTTGTGCATTTCAGACTTTTGTATTTTTTACCTAAAGAAATTTTACTCATTTTACTCATGAATAAATGGTGATATTTTGTTGGTTAAAAATTACTACAAGTCACTGACGGTAAACAGACTTAGTGACTTTCTTTGCCATTCTATTAACCTTACTACAGTGAATAGGAAGTCGACGCCACGGAACAGTTGCATTGAGAAGCTCGAGTATCCAAAATTCATCACTACACTGTATCCATTTGTATCCTAATATACTTGAATGTTGAAGTATTATGCATTAAATTTGTTTGATGTCATCTGATTACAACTTTGTGAACTTGGAAGAGATATTTCTCAATCTACAAAGCAACAAGTGAAAATTGTTTATCAGAGGTGTTTAAAAAGTGGTGAGAAGATAAAAGAATTAAATTAAAGTTTCAAAACTAATCAGCCATCTAGAAAGTTTCCTGATACACCTGAAAGATAAATACCCTAGCATAACTCTGTCCAATAATCAGGTGGAGATTTAGTCATTAAGACTGAAGTTTTTTAGTGACTTCATCGGTCCAACATGCTAATTACTACCAAGTTTCCTCGTAAGCTTCGAACAGTTTCAATCTATTTCTGGTCCCGATACTTTAGAATACACAGTATAGGCAACAAGAAGTGATATCGTAAGAGCAAATAGTCTAAATTAAAGAACTATTGAACAATAGGGAAATAACACTTTTAGTACGCCCAGATAAAAAGATGATCAGAGATCATTGTTTGAGAGCGTTAGGATTATATTGATAAGTTATATACAATTCTAAGCGGTAGAAATAATTTTCATAAATCCAGAGACTTGAAAATACTTTACTGAGAAGATTGTATTGTTCTCTCTATTCATCAATAAAGAGGTATATTTCGTCGGTTAATCTGTTTTGGCATTTGTAATCAGTTCGCTAGTCATGTCTTCACTAAGTTCTGGTATCATCTGTGCAATTTTTTAGAATCATTGAGAAGCTGACAATGCTACCTTATTCTTTTCACTAAGATTCATCTGTTGTCTTCACTCTTCATGTTTGTGTGTTGTTCAGAGGTCGGATCACCTACACTTTAAATATCTGAAGCCAGTATTTTTTCATACACCTAATCTCTTTGATCTCATATAAGTGCAGGCAATGCATTTCGAAACCAATCGGTAGATAAGCACTGAGCAGTGATTCAACAGGTCTTGTTCGAGGATTAATTGATTTCAAAACCTTTTTTCAAGCTGGTATCATGGTATCAATTGGGGAAACATTAAAAACCTGGGAGCAATGGACAGTTATTTCCTTCTAGTATGCGACTCTTCAGCAGTTCACACCCATGACCCCCAACGATCGAACCCAAGACCTTCAACTTCGCCGGCCACTACGGTTACCATCGAGCCACTGTGTCGGTAACCAGTGATCAATATTTCCTACTTCCTACTCCAGTTCACGATGTAGCGCGATCTGGATGTAATATCGTCGTTTTGAGTGACTGCCGTCATGTCCGACTTTGTTGGGCACACCGGTCATGACTTCTCATTAAAACTTCGAGAATTACCTTTTGAAGCTAGTCATCAATGAGCACTTAATCAATTTAATTTCTGGGGTTCAATCTTTTTTCAAGTTGGTATTCATCATGCACTGGCATCAGTCAGTGTGCGCTGTTGACAAGTCACAATGAAGGGCAAAAAAGCTGCCAAGTACTTTTAAGTTTTCAATACTCCTCCAGTTGATGTCAGTCGGTGACGAAAACCACTTTATTATTTAGTACTACAGAATACATTATTTCGTTGTTACGTAATAACATGATTTCGTTTGTTCAACTTACTTCCCTTTTTTTCAGCCTTAAAGCCTGGCGCACCTATTCTGTCCGCAATAAATTCATCATGCTCTCCTAATATTATTTCTGCTAATACTTCTTCTTCTTCTGCTGCTATTACTACTACTACTGCCAATGTTGTAGATGAAAATTATCTTGTAAATAACTATGATAGTAATCATAAAATAACGTCAGATATGACGAATGGAAACAGAAAGTATCAATCACGTATTTTTGAAATGGATTCCAATGTCATTGATTGTACTAAGTCAACAGAGAATGCTCAGAATAATAATAATGATAATAATGGGACTACTACTAGTATTACCACTATTTCCCCAACAATCACTACCTCAACTGCTCATAACACTGACTATGATTTGGAATTGAACTATTCACATACTGCATGGTTTATTATCTATGAAGGTCCTGAAAAAGAATTACTCATTGAAAATCTACCACCTGGATTCTGTTTGCAATTACGTGTACGTGCATCTTGCTCATTAACAGATAATACAAATCCACTATGTTCAGCATTTTCTTCTACCTCTTCTTCGTCTTCATCCTCGTCATCAGTGTCATCAGGAAGGGTTTCTGTTTTAAATCTACACAATTATTCAACTGATATGTCTTATAGTCTAGCAAGAAGTAAAACTGTTGGTATGAATGCTGCTGTTACTACTACTACTACTACTACTGCTACTGCTAACACTAGTGCTACTACTACTAGTGTGGGTGGTGGTACAACTGGTAGCGGAGGATTATGGGGTATGGCAAACTGTCCACCATTGAAAATACGTATGCCACCTATTCCACCGTCAGCACCATGTTCTGGTCCACGTCTTGTTGGTAAACCAAAGCCAACCTCATTGCATTTATGTTGGTCTCCACCGAAACAAACTGGAGGTGCACCGATTTTAGCTTATGAGGTAACGAAATTTCCTTTTAAGAAGGTATTATTATTATTATTTATTATTATTTGTCCTTTGGGTTCCTAGTGGAACATAGGGCTTCAGTACCATGTCGCCATTTCACTCTCTTCTCTACAGTCTTTTCAACCTGGCTCCATCACTGCCCACAAGCTTCCATTTATTCCTCACACAACCTCCTCCATGTTACCCTCAGTCTCGGACGCCCAACTCATCGTTTCACTTTTGGCTTCCACTCGAGGGTCTGGCATGGCGCGTGATGTCTCCGAATGGTTTTCTCACTGTATGTATATCCATCTCCACCTTCTTCTGCATATTTTTTGGGTGATAGGTTCCTGGTTGGTTGGTTGGTTGGTTGGTTGTTTGGTTCGTTGCCAGTGAGAGTGAGTTGCTTATTGCCTATTCTTATTATTCTGACCATCTGATCTTCAGTGTCAGTACCAAGTGAGTGTGGGTGGCAGCTGTTGATGATGATGATGATGGTGATGATGTGTGCAGTTTGTTGGAAATGCTTTCCATAACGCACCAACTCTCTCAATCATCACATGGAAGCACTGACTTGAGGTTGGTGTTGAGAATGAGGATGTTGTTGACGCTTTATGCTGAGTGAAGTGCAGTGGAGTAGGTCTTCACACTGATTTCAGGTTAATGGAGGCGTGTGTTGCTGTCTTTGTGATCATAGCTTTGACATCCTCATCTGTGCCGTCACCTCTTTTTAAGAAGGTAGTTTCTTATATAAACAATTGTGGTGAAGATGATGCTGTTACTAATACTGAAGAAGATACTGTTAACATCACCTGGAGAACCGTTGAAAACCTGAAAACATTGAACAGTTGTTTTACTCTTGTATGAGATTCTTCTGTTCATGTCAATCTCTGGAAGTGTTTTTATCAGCAATGGAATTCTTGTCAAATTTTAACTTAATGTTTATTGTATCTTCAGTAAAGATTTTTCAAATCTTTGAAGAAAACGAAGTTACAAGTGTATAAAGAAATCCGTCAAGTAAATTCGGCTGATAGTTATTCTTTGTGGAAGTGATGAAACAACATCCATTCGTCACTATTTACACCCTATCATCTAGAATTTAAGTAACAGTAATGATTGTATTTTGATATTGTGTAATCTTGACAATATGATGAAAAGTACGGAAGGAGTTGAAGACAATGCCTTATTGCGTGGGTGGGTTTTGAATATTGTTTTTCTCTTATTTATACTCATTTTGTAATTAGATCTTGTACCGCATATGTACACACACACACACACACATGCCTACATACACCACTGAGATCGTTAGTATATCTCAAATTAAAAGAAAACCAGTCGATTCGTTCAATCCTATTTTTAAATATTTTGGCCAACGACAATATATTCACGTGTGGGCGTGTTTTTATGCGTTTTTTTTTTAATTTCCTTGTTTTGGGACACTGAAATTGAGAGACAAGTGGGCGTGAGCGTAGACCAAACACACATAACATATGTAACGGCGAAAATATATTTCCGTGCATCAATGTGTTCGCGTTGCATAATAGAGAGAGAATAAGGATTTAGTGGTAGTGTTTCGACAAAATATTTGTTAGTCAGTTTTTGCTTTAGTATTGTGTTTAACAAAAGCGCTCATTGATGACTAGCTTCAAAAGGTGATTCTCGAAGTTTTAATGAGAAGTCATGACCGGTGTGCCCAACAAAGTCGGACATGACGGCAGTCACTCAAAACGACGATACTACATCCAGATCGTGCTACATCGTGAACTGGAGTAGGAAGTAGGAAATATTGATCACTGGTTACCGACACAGTGGCTCGATGGTAACCGTAGTGGCCGGCGAAGTTGAAGGTCTTGGGTTCGATCGTTGGGGGTCATGGGTGTGAACTGCTGAAGAGTCGCATACTAGAAGGAAATAACTGTCCATTGCTCCCAGGTTTTTAATGTTTCCCCAATTGATGTCAGTCTATAATGAATACCAACGTGAAAGGAAATATCTCATTGTGAATTTATTAGTATTAATTCCACCTAGTGTTTCTTCACTACGTCATGTGGCGGATTGCTTAGATTTTAGGTCACCAAAAAATTTTCCTCTAATATATTTCATCTAGTCGCTTTTTTTAATACTTGTTCTCATCATTCAAATATCAACAAATCGTTAAACGTACTTTGGTGGATTATTTAAATGTCTTAAAACTATCATTAGACAAATTAAAAAATTACCAGAAATTATTACAGTAGATGAGAGTGGACACCTAAGATCACCACTGCCAGCACTACCGAACTTACTGGTGCTTTTATATTCGCAACCAACGCCCCCCACTCCACCCGCGCCGTTGTAAAAACGTACTCAAACTAGACGAAAACTTAGAAACATTAGCACAGGAGCTCATATGCCAACAGAGACTGATCAATTCGGTCCAATCAACGACGGTATAATACAAGGCATAACACTAAAACTATACCCGTCGCGCAAGAAGTGGCTATCGTGGCTCGGTGGTGTAGTGGATAACGCTCTGGCGTTTGAAGCAATCGCTCCCGAGTCCGAGTCCCGGTGGGAATAACGTCACTCACTGAGAGGTAGGTACATCCAGCTGACGAGTCCGAGATAGGACGAAATGCGCATCCTGGATTCCACTGCTAGCCACTGCCCATCATTACTATACATAATTAAAACACAGGCAATATCGAGGCATCCGCACAGGAGCCCATATGCTAACAGAGACTGATAGAATTCGGTCCAATCAACGACGGTGTCATACAAGCAGTAACATTATAGGCCACTGTTATTAATAACACCATTTGGTTTCAAAATTATTGTACAAAGAGTAAAATTTTTTGAAATATCCATTATTACTTGGAATAAAGTGATTATTATTGTGATGTGATACAGCCGGTTAAGTTTTTTTACTTTATGAAAAAAATCATTTTTCAGTGACATCACGCTATGTGCTGCGTATAAACAGTTCTTTTAAGTAGTACATATCTTAGTGTAAATTGGAATCAAGAATAATAATATAGATCAACCAACTGTCATGGCTTCATTCCTTAAGGTTGTGGATAGCTGACCGATCCTACCGACTGAAATACTGCATAACTGTCCACCTTGTTACATTACAACATCATGATACTAGGGCATCAAGATGAAAGATAGAGAAATCCGAAAAAAGTAGTTGAAAGGATGAAGATAGTCTATAGATGTATATATACACCGCTGCGCGATCATCTAGTCTCCAACTATTGTCACATGGATGCTAACCAAGAAGTTCACATTTCCTTACGCAGCTCAAACCAACAATCAGAAACTTGATAGATTCACACCACTTTTTAGTGTTCAGTATGAGTATTATTCAACTACTGATGCTCCTTGTTAGTATATTTTATGCGTTATACGCTTTGAAAGTTTAAAAAAGGTAAACTTTTTTAATATCTTGTATTTTACTTGGAAGAACGGTTTGTCAATAAATTTTAAAATGAACTTGACTTTACTCCTGTATTGTAAACATTTTACTGACTAACAGAAGAATCCAGGACTCGGGTTTTGTCCTTTTTGGGACTATCAGCTGGACGTATCTACACCGTAGTAGGGAGTGCTGTTGTTCCCTTCAAGACTTGAACCCAGTATCCATCACTTCAAACCACAAATCGTTATCCACTAAGTCACCTCTTGTACAATGGGTATCAGTTATTGTTTACTAGGTGAATTTTCTTTAGATCTAGAATATGCAGATGACATAGTCCTGTTAGGTGAAGGCGCTGACAAGATGCAGAGTCTTCTGAACATTTTGAGTGGGAATTTGAGAATGTTTGGGATGCGGTTTTCACCACCCAAATGCAAATTTTTGCTCCAGGACTGGTCTTCAGCGGTACCGCGGTTAACAATAGAGAGTGAAGTGGTTGAGTGTGTTGACCACTTCACTTACCTGGGAAGTAGGATCAACCCTGGTGGGTTAGTTGCAGATGAGATTTCTGCACGGATACAAAAGGCTTGATTGGCTTTTGCCAATTTGTGCCACCTATGGCGCCGCCGTGATATTCGTTTGTCTATTAAGGGTCGCGTATACTGCACAGCAGTCCGCTCTGTTCTACTGTATGGCTGTGAAACATGTTCATTGAAGGTGGAAGACAGGAGAAGGCTGGCTTCAGGTGTTTGACCACCATTGCCTTCGTAGTATAGGACGTATTCCGTGGTGTCACCACGTGAGTAACCCAAAAGTCAGGAGTGGAGTTTTAAGGAGAAGAGGTAAGTCGGTTGACGAAGTTGTGAACCTTCATCGACTGAGATGATTGGGACACGTACTACGTATGCCTAGTCACCGATTGCCTCATCACACAATGTTGGCTGAGGTGGGTCCAGGCTGGAAAAAGGCCTGAGGTGGCCAGACTAAAACATGGCGGCACCAATGTATGAAGTCTCTGACTGTTGGTGTAAGCCATGTAGGACGATGCAGACTAGGTGGTTGGGGTCGGTGGGACAAGAGGAACCAGTGGTTGGAGACCCTAGGTGATATGGCTCAGAACCGAAGTCAGTGGCGCAGATGTATACACACATTATCGTCATCTTAACAACGCTATACCGAATCTCACTATTTTGTCACTCCTCTTTCCTTTCTTCTCATACTTTATATTTCTTTTGACTGCATTCACTTATCTTCATCCTTCATCCTTCACCTCACTACCTTTCTACTTGATGAACTGACGTGAGGTGTGGCAACTCGGACTGTTACGCAGTAATGCCTGGTCCTATGTTGATAATGATGATGATGATGTTATTGTTTACTGATTCTTGTAAATTTCTGTGGCCTTACAGGGTCGAATTACCCGAACACTATTGGCAGATGGGATATGAGAGCCACCTCTGTTGTATGGGGGCGAATGACACTAAATTAATTCAACTAGTTATGGGTATTCCACATTGTTGATTATCATGATAATGAAGAATAATTGTACATAGTATCTGCAATGACTTCATGTATCAAAAGCTTAACCTTATTGTACTTGAATACTTGTGTATACATAAACACTTTTAAAGTGAATACTACTTTGAAAGTAGTATTTTGCGTCATAGAATAACATTATTTGAAGAAACTGTTATAAAGCTGGCAACAATAGACATATCTTTCATACTAATTTTGAGACTGTAGTTTGTTGCATATCCATCATTCTGTGAGGAATCTAAATCAAGACTTTCAGGTGTTGTGGTGATCACATTTCCATTCATCGGTAATTGAGAGTTGATTGATATCACAGATTATAGTTTTTGTTGTTGTTGGAATTTCATGTCGAAGCAAGTCATTAGTAAGCATATGAAGGTGTAAATCACTTAAAATTAGTCATCAACTTTATTTGTCTTTACGTCTCAGTCCAGCAGTCAGCTTTCAATAACGGCTACTGGTTTAACTTAGTTGTCAGGAAGGACTTCAAATAAAAATTATGGTGGAGCAGAGTGGCCAGACGCTTAATCTGATTATGACTGGAGCACGTTTACATCATCTACCGTTCAATGGATAAAATAAAAGCTAAATTCCATATGAACTATTTGTTTCCATTCTTTATATTGTCAGTCGTGCAATTAATGAGAGACAGTAGAAGTTGACTGTTGTTCTCATTCTGATGTAGCCCTCTGTTTTGACGTCTTTTTACCACTTTTGACTGTTTTCTTTACCTTTCGTCTTAGTGCTTTCTCGGTTGATGTGGTCTGTTGTGTGGCAGTTTGAACCGTTACATAGCAAATACCTGATGGTGTGTTTTTTCTTTTCTATCTCTCTGCCATTGATAGCTAATGTGTCGACTTATTTGTTTGAAATATTAGTTTCGGAAAAATCGCAAAGAAGATGACAAAATAGGATTTCATCGAAATACATCGCAACCGAAATAACTATCTAAAAATGTTGAATTTTTATCTCGTTCTTTTTTGAACTTCTCATGAATAGGTACAGAAAACACCTCCAAAGCGAGGAGATCAGGCTAATCATCAACGTTATATTCATCACAGATCTTCAGGGCTCTCAACCTGATTATGAAGAGGATCATGAGAAATTTTCATTGGCAATGAGTTTAAACTATAAAATCAAACATACTTCGAGTGTGTTTTTAAATATTATTGACTCACACACCGTCATCAACTTCTAATGGTAACCGCCTTTAAATCTCACTTCATTCTAACTGGATTAATGTATTCCGGTAAACATTAAGCTATCAAATTGCAACAACCGAGGTGGTTAATTTATTAGCTTTGGATTTCGAGTAATTGTTGTCAAATTCAATTTCCAATGGTTACGTTTGTAGGAATAAGTCAGAAGTTAGCTGTTTCTTCGGCATATGAAGATATTTACTACTTTTAGGAAATACTTCCCATGCTTCTTGACCTAAAGTTGGTCTTGGACTCTGTCGACTGAGACATGTTCTGGTAATTTTAAAAGAGTACCGAGCGCTAATCGAAACTCCCTATCCTAACTCACGCAGGTGTGTAAGTATATAAGGAGGGTTTTCATCTGAGTCGACGACAACTAATGATGTCCACCAAACATGTCCGCTACTACCGTTTCTGTTTAACTTCATTATTGATGTACTCATGGACATAACTTCAGGTCCCAGTGACTTGTCAGGGATTAATCTTCTTCCTGGAGTGCAACTAGTTTATTTCGATTATGGAGACGATATTATCCTGCTACATGAAGACGCTGGTAAAAACAGGGTCTCCTGAACTCCTTTAGCAGAGATCTGAGTCTTTGGCTGGCATACATTTCACAACTATCAACTGTAACATGATGTTTCAGAACTGGTCTGAAACCAATCCCAGTTTGATGATAGAGGATGATGTGGTCGAATGCGTCAACCACTCCACTCAGTTGGGAAGTTGCGTCAACCCGAACAAGCTGGCTGCTGACGAAGTCTCAGCTTGGATAGAGAAAGCTCGTTTGGTATTTACCAACTTGTGTCATCTCTGGCGCGGGCTGGCAAGATATCTGACTGACTTTTAATGGACTAGTATTCTGCGCTACAGTCCGTTCTGTTCTGTTATACGTTTGTGAGACATGGTTGCTGAAAGAAGAAGACAGGAAGAAAGGATAGGTTTTCTATTATTCATGTCTTCGCGGCATTGCTCGCTTACAGTGAGATCACCATGTCGATGACAGACGAAGGCTACTGAACGAGACAGGCAAATCGGTGAATGACATCGTGAACCTTCATTGACTGAGGTGGCTTGGAAATGCGTTGCACATGCAGGCCCATTATCTATAATTACGTGCGACATTAGCTGAGGTAGGTAGGATTAGGGATGAAGAAAGCTCAGGGTGACTAGAGCAAAATGTGGTACCTGGGTTCTTCAAGACCGTAAAAATCAACAGTTGCAGATTTTTGGTATCATGGTGCAGTTGTATTCACTCTTTGATGTCTTCTAAAGCTTGCATATTCTTACTAATCTTGATTTTCAAAATCTCTTTTCCTCTTATACCCTTTTGTCAACTTTGACATCAGCCTTTTTCTATCCACTTATTTTTTGCATTCTACTGTAAAGTGTGACAGTTTGAACCGGTGTGTTTGTAGGTCAGGTTCAACGTTGATTTTATTTATCTCTCTGTATTGCTGGTCTAGGGAGCTTTTTAGGAAAGTGCAAGATCATCTAAAGGTTAGGAAACAGTGTTTAGTCTATAAATCATACAATGCAGATATACGTAGGCAGTATCTTCTTCTTCTTCTTATGATTCTCTAAAACTCAGCAACCTATTCAACTTTGACTTTGCTCATTCCAATATTTTTATCCTTGTAAGATGTGCACAGTGCTCTGTTATTTTATATGTGAAAATCTCTGTTTGACTTATTAATTTAGACAGTCAACTTCCAACTCAATGAGTCAACATTTTGAGGTCCAATCTATACATTGAGGTTCTTACAGCCAAGTAATATCGTCTGCTTTCATTGCTCACTGCAAGAAACTGCATGTAGCTGTTGAAAGTATGGTAACAATTTTTTTTTTTACTTGGTAACTTATTTTCTGATTGTCTACAGAAATGTATGCATATTAGCTAGATATGCTGATGTCAATATTTTTGTCTCTCTGTCTATTATCTGCACAGGTTTGGCAGTTGACATTAGAACTACAAGTTGGATTGATGAAGAATCAGAAGATAATCAAGGTTCAAATCTTTCAATACAAAGATATTGCTCTTCTACACCATCGTCTTCATTAGAAACATCCTTCATGCGTTCATCTTGTCATAATCTAGAATATGATCCTAACTTGAATAAGTATTTAACAGCAAACAGTTGTCAACCAAACCATCGTCAACCATTTCATCTGTATAGATCTTATACGGATCCATCATTGAACATGAAATCTTATGCATTGAACAGTGATAATATAGTAAAGCTAAATTCTTTATTTAATGATTCTTCATTATCATCAACTGGTCGATTTGTATGTTCTGTACATGAAACTGAATGTCGTTTACTTGGTTTGATACCTGGACAAAATTATGCTTTTCGTGTTCGAGCTATAATTGTGCTGGTAAAGGTTTATGGACAGAATGGATATCTTTATCAACTCCACCAAGTCTACCAGGTGTACCAACATGTCCACCTAGATTATTGCCTAAATCATCACGTACAGTACATATCTCATGGGATCCAGTTACTTGTATCAATGGTGCTAAAATATATGAATATCGACTTGAATATCGTCAGTATTATACATCATTCAATTCAACTGATTATTATAATGTTGGACATGCATCGAATATTCCATCTGAGAAGACAGTAATATGTAATTCCTTTTGTACTTCTCTTGACTCTTCATCAGGGATTGATTCTACAGAACAGGCAGATAGTGATTCTTTTTCCAGTTGGTAAGGAGTAACATATTTTCATCTCATTTTCTATTCTTCTTATTACTTATATGTTTGAATGCACTCTAAATACACCTAGTTCGTATTTTACCTCGGCGTAGGTTCTTATTCAACTTCAATCATCATTTCATTCTGGAGATTTGTGGAGGTTTCTGAAGATTTATTAATTGATTTCAGGTTGTAATTCATCATGGACTGATATCAGTTGGAGGAACATTGGAAACCTGGATGTATTGGATAGCTTTTGAGTGGTGCGCACCCATGACCTTCGGGTTCCGTGGCAATTACTCACTATAGTACGTACGGGAAAGATCTTTTGTCTATCCATCTTCCTCTCTGTGTGCGCGCACGAGGAATTACATATATGACTATTTCATTTCCTCTTGGGGATCAATCAACACAATATTGTCTGTGATTTTATGGTGCAAGTATTATTATATTTTTTTGTCTCCTGGGTTCCTAGTGGAACATAGGGCTTCAGTACCACGTCGCCATTTCACTCTCTTCTCTACAGTCTTTTCAACCTGGCTCCATCACTGCCCACAAGCTTCCATTTATTCCTCACACAACCTCCTTCATGTCACCCTCAGTCTCGGACGCCCAACTCATCGTTTCACTTTTGGCTTCCACTCGAGGGTCTGGCCTGGCGCGTGATGTCTCCGAATGGTTTTCTCACTGTATGTATATCCATCTGCACTTTCTTCTGCTTATTTTTTGGGTGATAGGTTCCTGGTTGGTTGGTTGGTTGGTTGGTTGTTTGGTTCGTTGCCAGTGAGAGTGAGTTGCTTATTGCCTATTCTTATTATTCTGACCATCTGATCTTCAGTGTCAGTATCGAGTGAGTGTGGGTGTGGGTGGCAGCTGTTGATGATGTGTGCAGTTTGTTGGAAATGCCCCAAATTTCTGAACATAGTGCTAGTAACAGACTGCATTCCACTTAATCTCAAAAACATAATCGTAAGGGAAAGTTCAGTGTCAAAACGAAAGTCTTCCCACTTCAGCTTTATCCATATACACATACTTTGAGTTCTAACTTTGTACAAAGAGTACTACGCACTTACGTGAATAGTTGTAGACCATTCATACCGATCAGTAGTGCTCGTTAGTCAGATCAACAATTTTATTCAGTCCCAGAAAAAACTTAGTATATTTGTAAAATATGTGGATTATTCACTATTTCCCCATGTACACTGGAACTCTTAAGTTCTTATAGAGTCATCAGCGCATAAACTTCAAAGTAGGTGAAGGAGATGTCGAACTTATGACCCATCGAAGTTATTTATTCGATGATAACGACTATTAAATGAATCCAGAATGCATGTTTCGTTTTATTTCACACTTATCAACGAAATGTAACTGTATCCTAATGACTGTTGGTTTTCCCACTGAAAACAGGACCTAGTAACTATAAAGTTATTTAGTTACAATCACCACTTTTTGAGCGATCGATATCAACCGCAACTTTAACAGCTTAAAATAACAGTACAAACCATAGTTCGTACTTATCCTTTAAACAACTTGTTTACTATGCTACAACTCTACACATTGAAATAATGCAAAAGACTTGTAGCTTATAATGAGGATAATGGTGGTTTAGTTTTGTCTACGGTTTGATATTCACGAAGTTGATGCTGAAGATGTCACCCAAGCCTAGTGATGAAACATTCACAACAAAATATCAAAGCTTAGAGAACACCGAATCACCACAGTGGTACTGTCTAATAATCGTTCTGTTCCCCTGTTCACAAACAAATATGATCAAACTTTTCTTAAAAATGCAGTAAGTGCTAATGAAGTCTCTTAGCCCAGTGATGAAACCTACAAGAGCAAATCTAACGGCTGGCAGAATACCAAAAAAATATGACAGATAAATTTGAGTTGAAATTTAGAAAGTTTTTTTCCAATTTTATGAGATGTAGATTTTAACAGCCTGGTATATTATGTCAATATGATTACCATCATACAGAGCCGTACCTCATCTTGATCATTGGCTGCTACTCTGTCGTGGCAATCACCCTTGCATATCACAATAACTCATCGAGCTATGCTGGTGGAACACTTGCTCCCTTGAGGTTCTACCATACCAGAAACGTCTGTTTGATAGTGGTTAGACGAAAAGCAGTTACCGTTGTAGTGAAAATTACTACACTATGATGGGGGTTTGAGGGCGAAGTTGTACTGCTGCTGGCTGGCTGGAGTGTGATAGCAGTAAGATGTCTCCCTTGGATGACCAGCAGTGCCACACTGATGCTGCCATCCCAATGGAAAGGGAAAGGTTAAAAAACGTCGACCCATAAAAAGGCATATCTCTACCTGTTTTACGGGCTTCCGGTCCCGGCGGTATGGGTTCCGTCTATCCGGCGTTAGAACAATAAAACCTCAAGATAACAGCCTGAAACAGATATTCGTTGAACTTTGTTGTCACAGAAATCTCTTTCAAGGTACCTTAAGAAGACCTAGCCTTCTATGGTGTGGGCAGCTGGGAAGTTACAACCGCCCGCTCGCTTCAGTTGTCAGTGCATCATTTGTTTAGACAGACAGCTTTCATTCAATAAGTCACAACTTTGAACCCCACTTTACCTACCTCAGGTAGTATCAGCAGCTCTCAAACAGTAGGTATAGCTGTTAGAAATGCCTATATCGCTTATATTCCATACTTACAGTTTGGGTATATTTGAACTGTTTTACTTCGTGCTCCTTTTCCAGCGCATAGGTGATATTTCGTATGACTTGGCTCCCTGCTCTTTAAATGTACTAACTATTCCTTGCCTTTCAAGTCTACTGTAAACTCTATAAACAGGGTTCGTTGTCAGCAATAAACGTTTTCAGTCCAAGATGCTATAAACTCAGTTGATTTCCAGTCTTCATTTCTCTTTACGAATCACTCGAGTTGAACCATCTCAACCTTCGACTATCAATCGTTAAGTTTTATTGTTTGTTATCACAATTTCGCATCTCATAACAATAACTTACTGTCTAATGCATAAATATGCATATGGTTAATAATTTACTTCACATTACACTTGTTAAGATGCAATGTATTTGATGATAAAATGTAAATTACAAACAAACTATTCTGTCTAATTTTTTCTTCTTCAAAGTATTTACACTTTTTTGAATTCAGGTCAAAGATAAATATAAACAGCGTTTTTACTTCAACAAGTCAATAACAAAACATGATTTACAGAATAACATTTGAGTATGTTATATGGTGAATCCTCTTCAACTATAGACCATCTAAAGCTACATTAAATATCGGAAATAATAAGTCAGTAACATACTTTATATAATCAAGATGAAAACAAAATCCATAAATCATAGAAATAAATTGGAGCAGAAGAATATAGAGGGCTATTTGTAGCTCAATTGGATGGTCTTGGTTGTATTGTGTTCTCTAGGCTGGGTTGTTTAGTCGTGGATCTTTCATCGTCTTTCTAGTCGACATCATCAGCACTAACTTCACTACGGGTGAGCTGTCAATATCTCTCCGTGAGTGTTTTAGTAGCTTGCCTTGACGAAGGGGTCTATGATGGTTGTTTCCGTTGATTTTTGTGCCATTGACTGTACAAATTTTCCTGTTGGCTGTTCCTCTCCTTGACTTCTAACCTTCCTGTCGTTTTTTATCATTTTTCTCATTGGTTGATAGATTACGTCTATGTCTATACATTTATTGACTGCTGACTGACCGACCGACTGACCTGAATGCCAAGCTTCTAGGAATTCTCTGATATTCTTTGTGTTTCCTCTCTCCATCCAAGATTTCTACATTGTCGAAATCGAATTCATCTCCATAGTTGTTACCCACGTGCATTGAAATGAGTGGTAAAATGTTGTGTGTGACGTTTAATAGCCAATTGGTGTTCATGTAGACGAAGGCGAAAAGGGCGACCATTTTGTCCAATGTAGTGTTGACTACCTTGCCTGGTTAACTAGTTCACTAGTTACTAGCCGGTTCTAAGCCCGGGTAAAGAGGAAAGGTTGGGCATAGGGATAGCAACCCTACCCGGTAAAACAAATCTAACCGCTAAAGAAACTTCAAAGCACAAACAAAATATAAAACATAAAAACAAATTTATTCCTCACTGGAATCGGAGAGGCGAAATGACGCCAGTTGGTGAAAGCCCTCGGGAAGCCAATTGGCCGATGTGCCTTCTAGACGACATCATCAGCACTTTCAACAAAAAAACTTAAACACCTTGTTTGATGATGTGGAAATTCCATCAAGTCACCAACGGAATTCTTAGAAAAGATTCAAAAGCATTAACATGGAAAACAACGAATTAATGGTATTCTCCAATGTCACAGCACTATACACATCCATCGAACCCCGATTGACCAAGGAAACTATATCCTTCCTGATCAATGAAGACAAAAACCTTTCAGAACATACAAAACTTAAATGTTCAAATCTGATGCAATTCATTCACCTTTGTCTGACAACATACTTCCAATTCAATGGCAAGATATACAAACAGATGAAAGGAAGTCGAATGGTGTCACCGATATTCGGACTAATTGGAGAAGCAGTGATGCAGAGACTGGAAGCCATCATCCTACCTGTGATCAAACCAAAATTCTGGATTTGCTAAGTGGACGACACTTATGTCATCATTAAAAAAAGATGATGTAGAAAACACCTACAGTTTGACTAAAAACGTTTTCAGTGACATCGAATTCACAATAGAGAAGGAGTCAAACAACCAACTACCATTCCTGGATGTTCTAGTCAGTAGGACAAATGTCGGAAAGCTGGAAACCCAAGTATACAGGAAGCCAAGACGCACAAGATCAGATGCGCGCAGACACTATTCAAAAGAGTGAGAACACACTGCAGCACAACAACTTCACGGAGAAACGAAGAAAATTACTTGATGTCTATCCTAAAGAAGAACGACTACCCACGAAACTTTATCAGAAGATGCCTATCCTGTGCATCACCAACTACAAAGTCATCGACACAAATCAACAAACGCATCGTCCTACCATACATAAAGAATGTATCAGAAATCACGAAAAGATTGCTGAGACCACTTGGAATTGCTGTGGCTCATAAACCAACAAATTCCCTCCAAACACTATTATCCACACCAATGGATGCAACAAGCAAAGAAGACAAAACGAATATCATTTACAAAACCAACTGCAATAACTGTAGTCAGCACTACATTGGGCAAAGCGGCTGCCCTCTTCGCCTTCGTCTACATGAACACCAATTGGCCACTAAACGTCACGACATTTCATCACTCATTTCAATGCACGTGGATAAAAACTATGGAGATGAATTCAATTTCGACAATGTAGAAATCTTGGATGTAGAGAGGGAAAGACAAAGAATATCAGAGAATTCCTAGACACTTTGCATTCAGGTCAGACAGCCCACTTCATACTGAAGTTAGTGCTAATGACGTTGTCTAGAAAGACGACGAAAGCTTCACGATTAAGCAGCCAGCTTAGAGAACACAACACAACCAAGAATATAGAAGGCAAATGGAATTTCAAGGTGGTGCTGAAGTGCTAAATTGTACCAGTGGAAAAACTAAAGTTATTGATTGATGATGGAGTTTCGTTCTTCTTCAAACTCTTCAGTTTGATGCACCTGCACTCCCACTGAGTGATGGTTTCCAGTTGGTTCGAATGTTATCGGGGATGTCACCAATCACTAGGGTTCAGATACATCTATCTGACGAGTCAGAAGATGAAATGCTTGTTTTTGATTCAACTCAACACTTTATATTACTCAATTTTTCAGCTATGCATTCAATAAAGAAAACATCAGATGCAAAGTCGTGTCTGTTTTAAAATTTCTCTGTCTTATAGATTTACGCTGGTCCAAAGTTATCATTTGAACTAACAGACCTTCAACCGGCTACACTATTTGCATTTCGTTTCTGTGCTGTGAATACAGCTGGTGCTGGTCCATGGAGTCCTATAGCTAAGTGCTGGACACCATCTGCTCCACCTGATCAACCACACGGTTTATGTATTCATGACTTAAACTCCGATTCTGCTTTGATTTTATGGGTCGCACCTCAGTGTAATGGGAGTCCTATTACAAGTACGTTCGTACATTACTTTCTTTTTTAAATGAAAGAAATTTTTCAGTCATTTTTACTCTTAAATGTGACATATGGTGATATTTTTGGTATGACATTTGTGATTGAAATCGACTCAAAATATCCTTGTTCGTTTATCGATCTTTGGGATGTGATTCGTCGGTCTAGACAATCAATTTTCAATTAGTGGATAGCAGGTTTGAACTGTGCTGCACTTACTGAGCCAGTATCATTATCCCTCAGACATATCAATCTGGCTAACTGCGTACTGTGAGAATATGCACATAGTTGCTAACTGCAGTCGAGTTTTTTTAATCAGTATTCTACTGCCACCACTGAAATGCATACTTATTAAAGTCAGGTTAGATGTTTATGAAAGCATTGGTTTGTAAAATCCCTTTGAAGTTATATACAACGAAATCGAGGTAGTATTCATCACAAACTGAAATCAATTGTAGAACTACTGAAAACCTGGAAGCATTGGGCAACTGTTTCCTTCTAGCATGAATATGGAACTCAAATAAATTTTCAAACAAGCTCAAGAATAAAGTTGTCGGGTGCTCATAGATGCATTTCGACAACTTCATACTGATAAATATTGTATGCCTTAAAACAGCTAGTTATCTATATAGACTTTGACAAAACAATAAGAAGATATAATTCTTCTCAGTCGGCTAACGTAGTTGTGCAACACATTTCAAACAATCTGATTACACATGTACCATATCATAAGTGTTTATATGGGAAGTGGTGAAAAGATGAGAATATGAAAAGAGGCCTTAACTAACAGGCAGTTTAAGCCACCTTCAAAAACAGACTTTTATCAATTCAGCCCTCCTATGTGTCATCTTTTCACAGTCTCACTGCCTTATCTCTTCATAACCTCTCACAGTTGTACTACGTAATGGGTTCGAGTTTCAGTGGAAGGAATACCACACTCACTGGGGTGCAGGTACATACAGCTGACGAGCCCCAAATAGGACGAAATGCGCATCCTAGATTCCCCTGCTAGCTACCAAGTAGGCTATAACAAAATTGTTTTGTTTTACACTCATTGGGAAATAAAAGTACAGTTGAACTGAGTAAGTCACCAATCTTCTTTTCTACAAACTATTTCAAAGTAACAAGCTGGGAAGTCATCGTGAGTCAGGCAAATCCTTTGTCCAGAGCGTTAGCTATACACTTACTGTCGACAAGTAGAATACGAAGCGGAGATCCTATTTGCACTCCATTCGTCCATCAAACTATTTCATCAGTGAATGTAAGTTGAAAGCTTTGTGTATAGACCTTAATAGTAACTGTTGTTATGATACTTTTAATATCCCGTTGCTATACAGGGTCGAACTTCTCGACTTCTGTTTGCAGATGGGCTGCCATGCGGATGCCTCAATACTGCTGAATATTCATGATGTTTTATTGATCTTGGTGACTAGCATCTGTATAAGAGCCCATCAATCAACAGAGGTCGAGCAATTCGGCCGTATATAGCAACAGGAAATTACAAGTACCAGAACTCATCCCTGTTGCACAAGAAGTAGTTATCGTACCCCAGTGGCCTAGTGGATAACGTTGTAGCGTTTGAAGTGATAGGTACTGAGTTCCAGCCTCAGCTGACGAATTCTAAATAGGATGAAACACGGGTCTTAGATTCCTCTGCTAGTCATCGAGATCAATTTAACTTAATACTAAGTTTCTAACAAATTTTGTCAGTATTCGCACTAATTATTGTGTACTGCAAAGTGAATAGTTGTATTGTTTTACTCATATGATACACATTGGAATATAGTAGTTTCTGGTTGATATGATATACATATTAACTCTATTATTAATGTATCAGGTTGATTTAAATGTGTAAACATTTTCTTCAGTTTCATCTGAAGCTCACTTTTTTTCTGAACTTTAGACATTATTTTTATAGCAATGAATAATAAAACTCAGCAATTCCATCTAGTTTACTGTTCTATGCTATGAAGAACATCATTTAGTATTGGGGGTGAGGGTGGTGGTGATGTTCGAACCCACACTAAAATGAAGCAATAAGCTGCTGCTTTATTACATCTTTGGGTATTATCACAATTTTTTTTTATAATTAGAAGTATTATAAGAAGTTTTTATGACATATCGGTTTAAGTAGTCAATTTCCAACTAGTCTATCATGGATTCAAACACCATTCCACCTACCGAGATCTAAACAGTTAGATAGTGTCTTTCCTCCTCATTGCCTATTGCATGAAAATGGAAGTGGTGTTTTTCAAGTTGTATTCATCGTAGACTGACATCAGTTGGAGGAACAAAGGAAACCTGGGAGCACTGAACAGCTGTTTCGTCTTAGTATGGGACTCCTCAGCAGTGCGCACCCATGACCCCACACCAGCAGGGATCGAACCCCGCGACCTTCAGGTCCCGCGGCCAGCGCGTTACCATTGAGCCACTGGGTCAGAATCCAATGCTCCATATTTCCAACTTCTGTTAGCTCACGATAATAGCGGTGTTTTTATTGATTCATTTCGAGTTATTGTTCTCTTTCTTTTTTTTGGGGTATCATTTTATCTTGTTTTGTAAATCATCTTATTCTTGTATATTTCTACTTTAGATCACAAAGTAAATTATCTTTATGTTTGAAAATTATGCGCATTAATTAGGTTATACAATTGAAATTACCCAATTTGGTCATATTAAAAGTAACAATAAATCTGCATCTGGAAATCGTATAATGCCACTGTATCCAGATGTGAATTACATTCAAATACCTGCACCTTGTCTGTCCAATTACAATAACAATCAAATAATGAATTCAATTGCCAAACAGCAACATCCATTCTTATCAGTGATGGATACTTCTACAACTACTGTTGGTGCTAATACTACTGCTACTACTACTCATAATAATAGTAATAATAATAATACCCAATCACAGAAAAAAATGATTCAGCATTATTTGAGTAAATTGAAGCCGTCTACAACTTACATGTAAGTCATCTTAGTACTCTTGTTTTTGTTGGTAATTAGAGCTCTGGTTCCCATTAGTCTATTCTTTTTTCTTTCCAACAGTGGGTCGTGGACTCGAGGCTCCCCTTCATCAGGATGAGGTTGATTGCCTATGGCACAAACATGCACACAATTGCTTAATTAGTCGTATTGAGATTTTTGTTCACAAATTAGTGTTTGAGAAATATCTAAATGCAATGGGCCTGTCTCGCTGTTGAGATTATTTCCTGTACTGATAGAGGAATTCAATGTAGTGGATTCAGTAAACATTTACGGCATCACAGTATAGTGTTTTTAATACAGTTGACTGACTGACTGACCTGACTAAATCAAAATAGAACCTCACACGTACCTGGGTCGGTTCAAGTTGCCAGACTGTACAATTCTACTCAAAGAACAGGTGGATAAAGAAAGACTGATATGAAAGTAGACAAAGTTGTGCATGAAAACAAACAATCTGAAGATAAAGGTTAGTGCAAATACTCTGAGCTTCAGAAGATATCAAAGATCCGACACATCTGCGCCATTGTAACTGATTTCCAGTTATGTCATGAAGAGTCCTCAACTACTGATTCCTTTCATCTGGGGAACCCAACCAGGTAGTCTACATATCCTAACACGGCTGAAACCAACAGTCAGAGACTTCATGGTCTAGTGCCATGTATTTGTTTGGTCACCCTGAACCCTCTTCCAAACTAATCCAACTTTCTCTAGCTAGCACGGCACATCGAGGTACGTCGTGGCTCGGTATGTCCAGTGTATGTCGAAGCCATCTCAGTCGATGATGGTTGATAACGTCGTCAATCGAATTGCCTGTTTTGCCTAGTACCCTTCCCCTGACCTCATCATTGCTCATGTGATGATTCTATCAGACGCAACCATTGCTACGAAAACATCTATGATCGAAACCCCTTTAATCACTACATGTCTTCTATTTTTGATGGCCATGTTTCATAGCAGTTCAGTAGGCAGAACATACTTGAGCGGAATATACTCTACAAGATACCTTTTTCGCCATATCCCTCATCACTAATCAACATTAACCAGTGAACCATTAGTGCACTAGATAGCTATTTTGTCGTGATTTGGAATTTCTTAGCAGTGTGTTGATCTTGAGATTTTAAAGTTCTGGCCTCCATCTCATATGACTGCGCCCTTCTGAAGTTAAACACATCATCTTTGAGCTGTGTCCTCAACGATATTCTACTATTGTCATTGAAGTATAAAAAAACGTGGTTAAAACTAGTTCTACATAAAACTAGCACTGTAAAATAATCTGTTTTATCCTGATCTCTCTGTCGATTTAACCATTCGATTGAGATAACAGTAGAACCTACTCATTGTAGTATGGTATCAGTGATATTCAATGGAACCGTTTTATTTCTGTAGATGTTTTAACCACAAAGTATTCGTCATATCCATGTCGAAATGGCTCTGTATCAACCTATATCGTATAGATTCTCTGACCATCAATTTCTATTGTTCTATAAACCCTATGCGGAAAGGTAATGTTGGATCACACAGCTTAGTCGAAGACTTTACAGAATATTGCCATATCTAGATTTATTTCTATTTGATCCTATTCTATGTAACCTAATGCGTTGAGGGGTTTTTAAGCTGTCTTAAAATCCATAAGATGTGTTCCAGCTGCTTCAATGAGTTTAAAATTTGTACCTCACCAAACGATCTTAAGTAGGACACATTCTGTTTAACCTATGCACCACTTATATAGACGGTTTGATTGTTCATGTTTACTCTCCTGCATATATCGTCACTACGATGCACTCTCTACCCTATTATCGCTTAGTTTCGTTCTGACATAAATATTGTCGTGCGTAGAAATGTCTGGTTGAAGTGTTATTATTATTATTATTATTATTATGGCAAATGTTGTTCTATATATGTATTCACAAGACAGTATTATTTTATGCGCAAGTGTATATTGTAATTATCAAATAATTAGGACATTTACGCCTAAGTCTGTTTCTTTTTCGCCTTGTTGAATCATCATTGTTTAATATCATGGTAACAATAATTTCTTTGTTTGTTTGTTGGCCTCATTTCATTCTTTTTTAAAGGTTTTCATGTGTGCTCATTTTACCGATGTTAAAAAATTGACCTGTTCAATTAGGATTAGATTCATCTGATTTATTGTAAATAATAAAATTTAAGATTTTCATCCGTTATTTATAAACGTTATCTGAACCAGGCAATATCGATGTTGAATTTGACAACACACTATATAATGCTCCAGTTTGTCACACTTTATATGAACACATCAAGATAGTAGGTAGCGAGATAGAAGATGGAGAAATAAGAAAGGAAAATGTGATCAGGGTGGCATACGCCAATCTGGGTTACCTTTTGGTACCATCGCGAAGTTAATCTGACCACTAAAGGTCAGGTTTACAAACCTTCGGTGTGAGCAATTCTGCTCTACGCCTGTGAAACATGGCCTTTTCGAGCTGATCATATCCATCAACTCTGTGTGTTCGATGATCCTTCATATTTTATCAGTAACTTAAGGAACAACATTTTCAGTTAATGAGTAGTCCTGCTTGGTTTACCTATATACTCAAACCTGATGATCCAGCGTATTGCCTAAGCCTACCTGCTGAGGAGACTTTCTAAAAAGAGATAAGCTAAGTTTGACACTGCAGACACCTTTAGATCGACCGAAACATTTGAACATGTAATACTGAAACAACTAAAATATACGTAATTCAGTTAGTAGAGCACCGAGTCGGAAACCTCGTTGGTCATTGGTTCGAATCCAGCCGTGGTTCACATTTTCCTCTCACTTTCAGTCATCACCCAGTATAAATACTAGTCTACAAAACAACAGCTATCTCAGATAGTCAAAAATGACAATCTATACAATACTCCTTCTCTCATCTTAATTCAGTCACATTTGGATTGGGATGAGAAGTCCTGACTAGACAACTAGTGTGAATACGACTGAGTGATAGTAACACATCACGAAGTCATATGGTAGTTGGGTGATTGAAGTGAAAATAGAATCTGATCAGGAGTCGGATCTCGCAGATCAGTTGGTAGTCATAATTGTTTATGTTGTATAGACATGATCGATTACAACTATATAGTTTCATCTTTCAGTTGATCATTTTCATTACATGTGACCGTATTCATTAGCTGTATGGTTGTTATTTGTGTACGCTGACTAATAAGGGAATTATCTAATGAAGATAAACATAACTCATTGTTGTTCAATGTTCAATATTGTGATTGATTATGGTTTTGACTAGATTCTTTTGATATCGCTTTTATCACTTGTAATAATTACGGCTTTTGATTGTTTTGTGTTTTCTCTTCTGCCTGCTACCTCATTGAGGATAATAAAAAAGCAGTACATATGCTGTAGATATTTCTGTAATCGGCGTCTACATGTGTTCTACATAGTCGGATCTTGACACCCAATCCAATAGATAATCTAAAATGAAAGGAATATTTTAGTTTAGTATTTACCTTTCTAATGAGATATAAATGTGATAATAATAGCTATGAAAGATGAAACATATGTTGGCATCCAGGATGCAAATGTACTTTTCCAATTTGTATGATCTCCCTTATTACATGAGGAAGAGTTAGTCAGCTGAGTAGCAGTTATACTGCCTGCATACCTTGGTCGCAAAGCCTTTGATACCAGTAAGGAGTCGCATAGTCAAAGAAATTGGTATAACTTCAAATCGACTCAGTTTACATCACTTGACAATGTTATGTAGACAGTATTCATCTGTTAATTCCTAACATATGAAAGATTCTAATCACACTTTACACTGCTCTCAGCAACTGGAACCAATAACTGAGGAATTCATGAGTTTGTACTATGTCCATCTGTAATGCCTTCCTATCCACTTAACTGCACTCCAACTTATGTTGTACATCTTGGTAGATGGTGGACCAACGCATGCATGACACATGTGTTTGAGCTGTGTCGGTTGACGAAGGTTCACAACTTCATCAATCGATTCATCTTTTTTGTCTCGTACTGAGAAGATTAACTCCATAACATTAATTAACTAACTACTACACTACCTGTTATGGTATATGTATTCAATAAAAATATAAATTTTATAACTGACGCTTCATTTTCGGTAAGACACCTTACTAGACTTGGGTTTCATGATTGTTTACATTCATCTACAATTACTACGGAAAATGATATTCTTCTAAATATTGGACTAGAAATCATTCAGTTGCATCAATAACCAATGTTACCAAGGCTGTCAACTGACTCCACTGCACTGTATTATCGAATCACTAAGCTTAATGATTGCACCGAAAAATAAAACTTTATCGATACATCAATTGGCTAGGATTTCAAGATCGAAGTAGTTGACCAGGTTCAGTTAAGCTATCCGAGCACATAACCTTGGCTAAATCAACATTAGTAGATAAGAAATGTAGAGAAAAGCTTGGGTATAGCTATGTACTCAGCTACACACAATGACACAACAGGGTAGGATTGAGCGATAGTATGAAAACGTAACTTAGTTGGCTGGAGGGAGAGATCGATAACAGTGCTCATTTATCAATTCATTTTACATATGAAAACAAAATCAATGATTCAATACATTTTCTTAATGTCTTAATGACAAGAAACAAAGATGGCTCTATACTGAGAAGTATATATGGAAAACTAACGTCTAAGGCACAGACAGTATACTCACTTTGTCAGCTTCGTACCGATGAAGTACAAACGCAATATAATCAGGCGCCTGGCTTTTAGAGTAAGATCGATTTGTTCCAAGGAGTTTCATTCAGGTCAGCTTTGTATATCATTCAGTAGTCGGCCAATGCTCAGTCCGAGATTAAAGGATAGCCTACCTAATCTTAGGTCTTCATCTTGCACATATCAGTTTAACTATTCCTGTGGAACTAGTTACATAGGGTGTACGATTAGGCAGGTACATCTCCAGATACAAGAGCATTTACCAGCTTGGTTAGGAAAGGGTGCAGTGAAAGCGGTGAAAAGTTCAGTCGTTGCGCATCTAGTCCACACAGGACATCACATAGATGCTAATAAAGCTTTCAATATCATTTATTGTGTTCCAAAAACGATACCACAATCCCTGCTCAACATATCGGAGGCTGTCGTAATAAGATTTATCAAGCCTGAACTCTGCATTCAGAAAGAACATGTATTCCAAGTGTTACTTCTCCCTTGGCCTTCAGCTAACTAAAGGCCATTCCTGCCATCTTATTCATTATGTTTTTGTTCACCGTCATATCATTCTTCTGTATAAGTATCATCCTAATATTCACTAATTTAAAAAAGAACTCGATTTCCTTGCAATCCCTAAATCTCACTCCACTTTGAAAATGTACCTCCTCTCCCTATCTTGGATTGATTTCACTCTGTACAACTGGATTTTATAATTGTAGAACTTGAACAGCAATTATTGAAATCAATATTCTTTGTTACAATTGTTGCTTTTTATAAACTTAATGGAAATCTTTACTGGTTTGGAATGTTTGTTTACCAAATCAATACAAAACATATGCAACAGAAATAAACAGAGTAAAGTGGAATTCAATCTGAAGGTTTGTGGAGATTTTTTATCAATTGATTTCAGGTTAGAATTCATCATGAAGTGGCATCAGTCGAAGGAACATTTGAAACCTGGGAGGACTGGACATCTATTTCTTCCTAGTATGGGACTTTTCAGCAGTGCACACTCATGACCCCATGAGGAGTCGAACCAGTGAAACCAACTAGGTCGAACATGAGGACAGTTATTCAACGACAGTATTGGATGTAAGTCGTGCTATATCGTGATCTGATAGAAATAGGAAGTATGCATCATTGGATTCATACCCAGTGGCTCAATAGTAACGTGCTCTCTACGGAACCTGAAGGTCCTTGACGGAGCCATGGGTGGGCATTGCTGAGGAGTTCCATACTAGGATGAAACAGCTGTTCAGTGTTCAAGTTTTACTTCTATATTTAAAATGATACCACTCACTGATCAATGATATCCAGTAATCGATTAGAGTTCTTTAATTTTCTCCTTTAGATTACGTATTCAAGCAGTGAATAAATTTGGTCCAAGTGAATACTCAGCAAATATTGAATTCACTACACTTGCTCCATTGCCTAGACCACCGGTATTTAGTCAATATACAAATTTATCATCGAATACTGTAAAGTTAGAATGGAATTTATCAGTTAATCCTATTGACAGTGATGGTGATACAGATTGTATTGATAAGATTAAAGGTGAAGATAAAGAAGATGAAGGGAACAATGAAAAACTACACGTGAATGATACAACCTCATCCTCTCCTCATCACCATGGCCAACAGCAAACAAAAATGAGAAAACAAAAGATGGATATAAAATCAGAAGAGAGCCAAATCACCTTCACATTACAAATAAGCCGAGAACCTGATTTAGAGTGAGTGAAAATAAACCTGCTTTATCATTATCTTCTTTGTACTCATTTACTTCTGGTATTATTTTGTTATTTATGTGTGTGTATTGATGAAATGGCTTATTTAGGTTTCTTTGTGATATTTATAATTCTCTGTTGCTATACAGGGTCGAATTGTTTGACCTCTGTTGGTAGATGAGCTCCTATGCGTGCATGCTTTGATACTGCCTGAATATTCATTATATTGTAGTCTGTTTGATGGTTTAGCAGTGGAATCGAGGGCTAGCAGGTTTGAAGCGATGGGTACTGGGTTTGAATCCCAGTGAGAACAACACCACTTCCCACTCGGGTGGTAGGTACATCCAGCTGACGAGTGGATACTAAATAGGACGAAATGCGCATCTTGAATTGCACTGCCAGCCATCAAATAGACTACAATAGCCTATTAATTTATTGTTGTCAGGGTTATGTTCAATGTGATTTGTATCATTTCTTATCCCCGTCGTGTTTTTTTTTCACTCACTGCCATCAGTTTCTTTTTAAACGCTTCTTATTATCTTTCACGCATTATTATTTTTTGACTATCTGAGTTAGCTATGGTTTGGGGGACTAGTATTGATACTGGGTGATGATTGGAGGTGGCACGAAAATTTGGACCGCGACCGGATTCTAACCAGTGACCACCGGATTTTCAGCCCGATGCTTTACTAACTAATCTGCGAGATCCGACTCCTGATCAGATTCTATTTTCACTTCAATCACCCAACTACCATATGACTTCGTGATGTGTTACTATCACTCGGTCGTATTCACACTAGTTGTCTAGTCAGGACTTCTCATCCCAATCCAAATGTGACTGAATTAAGATGAGAGAAGGAGTATTGTATAGATTGTCATTTTTGACTATCTGAGATAGCTGTTGTTTTGTAGACTAGTATTTATGCTAGATGATGATAATGATAACCAATGTGATGCTCTCAGATAATAAAGAAATGAATAAGCTCTCTTGCTCCTTAAGTTCTCTGAAGCTATAGCCATCCAACGTTTTAAACCTGATTTGTGTTTTTAAAAGGAATTCCTGAGTTAACCTCTGTCACCTTGGTTAACTTCTCTTGACCGTTATTTGATTACTTCATACAGACCTCGGTGCTAAGCTTTGATGACAATGTCTAGCATAACATTGGAACGTTTGCCAATTGAAACCGTAGCTGAGGGAACAGCACATTGGACGTCCAGTCTCAGCTGCAAATATTCACCATAACGTTTTGACCATTTTCAACTAACTGCGCTTACGTTGTATTTTTTGTCATATTTTGTTGAATAACTTATTTATCGTATGACTTAGTTTCTCAGTATTTCGGTAGCTGCCACTGTCGTTATTTTTATTCGAGAAACCTCAGTTGTTTTACGTATACAGTTGTGTTATGACTCGAAAATTGCTATGACCTCTAACGATGCACGGATATCGACTGTCAGTCACCAACATTCGTCAAGTTCCTCGTTGATTCTCGACCCGAGTGATTAGTATCGAAGACACAATGGAAGTGTAGAAACGTGCATTGGGGTCGAAAGACTGAAGACAAAAATAAAGGAAAATATATCTAGTCTACAGATAGTTTGCCGTTTAAAATAATACTGCTGATTGACTGATCCATTTTGATTGATCCCTCTTTAGACTAGGTTTTTCTCTCTATCCCCGTATAACCTCCCTCTTCGAACAAATGTTATTTGAGGTCAGACTGGACCGCACAGTCTTTTTCCTGACTGACTCAGAGGGAGTTTCTCCTTGTTTACTCGAGGATTAGTAGTCGTTTTGATATTTTTTTCGGCGGGCAGCTGCATGAGCATTAAAATTAGCTATCAAGTCGAGAGATTTACCTACCGATCGAGAATGTGATCTGCGATGGTATGTGAAGGATGATGTCATTGTGTGTGTGGCAGTCCTTGTGACCCACAGCATAACAGTCCTGCCATGGATGTTGTTTAGGTGGACAAGATTTCACGAAATAACATGGATCACAATGCCAGCAAAGCGATGAGAGTGTCTTCTTCGAGGGTCGGTTGGTATCGCATGAGTTACTGGACCGATGAACAAGTGATATAAGGTCAGGATGTGTGCAGCCAGAGGGTGATGCGGAGGAATAAAATGTCTGGCGAACTGTATTTACTTCAGAATCACCCTGGTGCACGGATTTGGCTAAACTCGTATCACGCTGTAGTTTGCCCAGTCGCTGATATTCTGCAAACATGTCATTTAGTGTCAATAAATAGTAATAACTGAGCTTAGGTTATAGTTTTTGCCATATTTTGTTTAATAACTTATTTATCGTATGACTTAGTCTCTCAGTATTTTGGCGGTTACCCCTGTTGTTTTCTTCATTCGAGAGATTTTAATTGCTTTACATATACAATTGTTACAGGGTGATGATAGAATGTGAAGTAAAAGTCTGGGAAGCAGCACGATTCTAACCAGCGACCTCCTAGTTGTTACTACTAGTTAGTTTCGCTCGAATTTTCAGGAAGGGTCGACCTTTACTCGATGCCTACTTCTGTTCATCTTGACTACTGATTTGTACTTTGTTTTCTTCCAGTGAATTAAAGTTGTAAACAGTTGACGACATACCGCTGGAATAAAAATGAATCCATTTTTATGGTGTTCCGATTGGTTTTCTTGCCACTTTTCATAATTCATATTGAGGAATTGGTGTATAAAAGTGAAATACCATAGCAGATGATAGTTTGAAGTCTGTAACATATACACCAAGCAACACAGCTGGCCAAAGTTTACAATGCTAACAACTTTATGTACAAACTGAATAGTGTTCAACTAGTTCCAAGGTATTATACATCACAGAATGAAATCAGTTGAAGAACCTTTGAAGATATAGAAGCACTCAACAACAGTTCGATCCTCGTTTGAAACTCCAAGTAGTGCTCACCTACGACAGTCAGATCTCTGGGTGAGGGTGGTAGTATTCAGTCATTGGGTTGGAAACTAACGATTCACATTTTCCTACTTCTATCAATTTGCCATATAGTACAACAATCATCCAAAGCCACTGGTGAGTATTTACTCTTACTCGCCCCTTGGTCAACTCCATAATTTAAAGTTTCTCACTGGAACTTTGAGAAAATCATCTCAAAGTTTCCACATATTACAGAAATATCTAACAACTTTTAATCGCAACTTAAACGTATTAACATTTCGAAATGTATACAATACATGAGTTAGATGAACTCTCATTCGGATAAAAGTAACTCTTCATTGTATGTAAGCCAAAGCTGTGCTTTTGAGTACTTGATACTTGATTAGCTACGGTATTCAGTATTGTCGTGGAGATTCTTCATAGGCGCTCAAAATTTTTGAGATTCATCCCAACTAATCGACATACTCAGAAGTTTAAAGGAGAGACATACGTGTAAATAACAAATTGGTTGAAGAAATAAAGTCAATACACAGTGGCCTTCTGCAAGGGCTTTGAAAAACGTAAAGCCGATACAACCATGTATATACAGTTGTATTTTGTGCATATTTTGACATCGTCTTACGGCTATTTTGATTTTCAAAGAATCGAACGATCATCAAGGTTGAAAATCTGAAGGTTATTTTTCCAGTGTTCATAACAGTCATATCAGTTTATAATGTTATAGCATTTATCGTGTCACACAATATATTGTTAAGCAGTATTACTCTATGGGAAATTGGTAGTTGAGGATAAACCATGATGTCGCTAATCTGCTTAGAGTGGGTTATAATTTATGTTGCCAATCAGGTGTTCCAATGAAGTTGGCACTTGTAATATCCGATACATTTTATATTTATTTGTTAAGGAGACTGTCTGAGATAGTCATGATTAGGTAGACTCAAGTTATTAGTGCTGCATGATTGATGGTGAAATGAAAACCTGGGATTCGAACCAGTGGTCCCGATGCTCTGTCGACTGAGACTCGTTAATGATCAATATGATACTCTCCAGTTCTATTTGGATTGTGACAAGAAAATGTGGCTAGAAAGTCAGTGTGGTTACGACCAACGGACAGTGAGGCGTCGCTCATCTGCACGGTAGGCGGACAAAACAATCAGTGATTGAAGAAAAGCTAACATCTAATCACTTACTGGGTCGCATAACCTGATCGGTTAAAGTCAAGATCATCTTGACTTTTCTCCTAAACATTGTCTCTGCTTGAGATAATCGAGTCCATACTGATGGTTTCGGTGTTAAACAATAAAGTAACAAAACCCTATCTAGAATTTCTCTAAACATACTTACTTGAATGTATGAGCAAATCACTTTGCTTAACCATTTGGTTGGGATTGATATGTGAAGCAACATGAATGCGCTGCAACAGCATAGATAAAAATTGAGATTCGAAAATCTCTTACCTCAGTGATTAGGGGGCTAAAAGTGTTGATTTCTGTTTTTGATCACTGCCTATCAATACTAATCAAATGTTGCCAACCTTTTTTCCTTTTCCCGCTAAGATAAACAAACACAAATGGCATGTTATGTTGTTGCTCCTTTCCTGATTAAAAAAATAACAACAACTTCGAAACAAACGAAACAAAGTATTGATATATGATACTAGAGTTCAATTCATCATCCCAGTGATGTTCTTTTTTATAGACATATCCAACAGATCTGCATGTAAATGCTATCAGACAAGGCCTATACGTCAATGGTCTATAGTTAGCTACATATGCATAGATTATTTGTCATATACACTTACATAGTAAGTCTGCTTTAATTTGGTGTAGACATTTTTTCATCTTTTCTTTTCCGCCTACAGATGATGTCATCATGACGAAATGGTCATATTTGACCTACTTTTCATGGTACCATACTACTGACTAAAAAACTCTTAAATTTTAGCTGTTGGTTGTATCTGGGTTATTATACTACTATAACTCATAAATCCTTCAATGATACTGCATCATTATTAGGGTTTAGTTTTAATAGTATACACTGTATGCTATTCTGTTTGAAAGTTGTTTGAAGTATAGATGGAGCACCATTTTGAATTAAACCATTGAAATGAAGAAAATTATAAGCATGACTGGTTTTGCAAAGTATTCATCTTATAACAATACATACCTGAATGTTACCATACTGATCGAAATCCTTACTTCTAAGTTCCTCTACTCGTTAGCTACTGAATGCATGTTGCATTCCACTTTCTGCAGGTGATATATAGAACTTCAAAATGTTCTGTCATTAAAGTGTTACCTTATCCCGGAAGTGGTTGTCATGTTATCTAGAGTTCTTTCTACTGGACTATTAACATACCTGTGTTATCATTATCTTTACTGTTTTTGTTCCATTTGGTGTCACATACTACTTTCTTTTTACTAACGATGAACAGTGGCTGGCATGCCTATTCACCCGGATGTCTCTGCTTCCCCAGTGAGCGATGGTACTCCTATTCAGACTTCGGATAGGCATCATTTGCTTCAGTGGTGGGGAACTACAAATAAGTTTTAGCATCATATCTCTTTTTTCTTTCGCTTTTCTATCACTTTCTAGATGGACAACAATATATGAAGGACAAGCGAATGTGCATAAAGTGAACCGTTTATGCGAATTCACAGTTTATCACTTTCGTGTTTGTGCTACTAATACCACTGGTTCTGGGTCTTATAGTACAATTCAAACAATACGTACTCAAAAATCATCACCTCCGGCAGTACGAGGTAAGTATGGAATTATTTCTAACTGTATATGAATGAAGTATGTTTGTGAAATCCAATGAAGTAGAAAAATAATTTTCTGACTTTTCGCGACTTCGTGGGAATCGCTTCTTCTGAGAATCCCTGGGTTTATAAGATAATAGTAAATGGTCGATAATTCATGCTCCGAAATAATCTTAGTTGATTACAAACTTTTTAATCCGATTGTCGATTAGGGTTGAGTGGACTGTGCTGCACTCCGCTCTTTTCTATCGTATGGCTATGAAATATGGCCATTAAAGGTAGAAGATATGAGTCGGCTTCAAATGTTTGACAACCGCTGCCTCCATAACACAGACCGTGTTTTCTGGTGTCACCATATGAGTAACGCAGAAGTCAGACGTAGATTTTTAGTGACATGAGTTACGTATGCCTAATCACCGTCTGCCTTGTCACACAATGTTGGCCGAAGTAGGTTCAGGCTGGAAAAAGTCTCGAAGCGGCCAGACTTAACATGGCATCAATTCATGAAGTCCGTGACTTCGTCTAAGCTATGTAGGGCGATGCAAACCAGCCAGTTAAGGTCCGCAAGACAAAAGGAACCAGTGGTTACAGACTTTAGATGATATGGCTGAAAACCGATGTCAGTGGCGTAGATATACACACACATTGGTGCATGATTTACCACTTACCTCTATGTATGATCTCAGCAGAACTTGGATTAAGCTGGGAGAAGGTTTAGGGTGACCAAACCAAGACGTAACATCAGTCAAAGAAGTCTGTGACTGTTGGGTTAAGCTGTGTAGGCAGGTATAAACTGTCTAGTTGAGATCCTCGAGATAATAAGAATCAAAAGTTGGAGACCGTTGATGGTATGGCTGAGTATCAATCATAATGGCGCTAATGTGTTTACTGTGTACTATTTTCATCTACATACTTACATATATGTTAGGCAAAAACACTGAGTATATGCATGAGCTACTAGAGATACCTTCAGTGGTAACTTGAGAACGCTTAGGATTCATCTGTCTCCTCCGAAATGCAGGTTGTTACTCTATAGTCGGTCTTCACTAGTGTTTTGTTTAGCAGTAGATAGTGAGTTATATGAGCCTTTTGATTGATTCACTTATCTAGGAAGTTGAATCAGCCTAAGGGAGTCAGTAACTGACGAAGTTTCTTTACGGATATAAAAGGTTCACTTGACCTTCGCCAACGCCTGTTATTTATGGTGCTGCCATGATATCCGATTACCTATTAAGAGTTGGGTGTACTGTACTGCAGTTCGGTCTCTTTTACTATATAGCTATCAACCATAGCCATTAAAGCCATAGTAGGATATAAGCAGGCTTCAGATGTTCGGCCACCGTTTTCCTATGTGGCGTAAGCCGTTTGTCGTGGTGTCACTACTTTATTAATGTAGAAGTCAGGTGTAAAATTTTTGGGGGGAGAGGAAAGTCAGTTGATAAGACTGCGAACCTTCATCGACTGAGATGGATAGGACGTGTATTACGCATACCTAGTCACCGTCTGCTCCGTTGCAGATTGCTATCTTATGTAGGTTCAGGGTAGAAAATGGTAAGAAGTAACCTGAAGTGGTCGAATGAATATTTAACACGATGACACACCTAGACTGGATAAGAGTAGCGATTGTCCTCTTCAGAACCGTGTACTTTACTGAGCCATGAAAATCGGAAGACGAAGACGGGCGTGTAACTGTAAGGAATTAACTTTATTCGTCAAAAATATATCATTTATAAACAGCTTTTAATGAACATAAAACCACTAGGCCAAAAGTCGAACAACTTATTTTGATTGGTCAACTATAGGAAAATATTGTCCAATGAGGTTTTTCCTGACCACATAGTGACATGAAGTAAAAGTTGAAACTCAAAGCTTCTGCTTTAGTGGCTGATGACTTAATATGTTGATTTTCATTTAGGCTGCTTTCTATTATAACTAGACTAAACTATGGTAGCAGTGCATGCAATCTTTGACTGCTGGTTTGAGCCGTGTAAGAGATTGTAGACTTTCCAATAGAAGTCGCTTTGACAATCGAACTCGATGCTATGAAGCTCTAGGTGAGAGATGCCTGAAAATTGATCTCAGTGATCATACCATCTAAATGCTTGTATATTTCTCTCAATATTGACCCTACTCAAATTTCTATCAAATACCTGTCAGCTGAAGACTGTATGGTAAGACTGATTAGTAGCCAGTGGTGGTGGGATCCAAAAGGCGCATTCCACCTTGCTTGAGGTTTTCCAGTTGAATTTATTATCTGCATCTTACTGAGTGTTGTTGTCCCATTGAGACGCATACCCGGCACCAATTGCTTCCAGTGCTAATGAAGTAACACTCAGTTCAAAGCTGTTATACTCAGCTGACGAATTCCAAACAGAACGAAATCTTGATCTGGGATTCCTTCATTAACCGCTATTCATTCTTAAAATGAAAATGAAATTACTAGTTTCATCTAGGTATTCTCACAGAAATTCATAGACTAACTATGATCGATCTGTGTCGATAATGGTGAATAAATAACTGAGAATATGAAGACTGTAATCCAAAATACCCCAAGGTCACCATTTGCAATTTTCAATTCATTTATCCTTTGTTTATGCTACTCATACATAATGAGAAATGAAAGTCTACATCTACTTCTCTTTCTTCTTCTTTTTTAAAATAAAAATTCATCCATTTAATATTTCATATTTCTGCAATAAACAAATTGTAATGAATACTTTTAATCTCAGTTGTTAAATACAAAGTTCATCTTATATAGTTTCAGAGTTAAAAATGATCTTACCATAATACAATTGATTATTTTGAATTGAGAGAACAAATAAAGTTGATAATTCCATATTCAATTTGTTTATTTGATATACACCATACAATGGTTATACATTTTATTTACTGGATGATGTTCTCAGAGTAAATTATTGCTCACCTAATCATATCAGTGTCGTCACACAAGTGTTCACATCTTATTCCTTGATTTTAATAGTAATAAAATAATTCCATAATCTATGGTATACGTGTTGTAACATCATTGCTACTACATTGTGTTGGATTGGGTGTGATTTCGATGAACAAAGATTCAGTAACCAATCTCTCTCTCTCTCTCTCCAACTTGAGTACAGTGGCTTTATCCCACCCTATTGTGTGTGTATAAATGCATGGATTTCAGAAGTCGAGTTCTCTTCTAGATTACAGATCCTATTCGAGTCTGTCATTCTATATTTAGCTAAATTTCTACATTCCGCTAATCTAATGGACACTGACTAGCTTGTTCAACCTATGTACTTGACGTCACAGTCATTGCATAGAATTTGGTAGGTTAAATTATTTTGGTTAATTTGATCTATCGGATCCTTAAGCCATTTAGCAAAGTTAATCTCTGAGTGAGTTTGTAGGTTTAAATGCCACCCTAATTGGAGCCTTGTTGAGAATCCTGTGTGTAGCGTATCTGATGTACCTTCCTTGTATGGTAGGTAACACAATGTCGGTTTCGAACTCCTTTCTATTCATATTGTCATTTTTATTTGTATTTGTATTACTGTTACTACTTCCTTTCTTATGATTTCATAGGAATTTTTGAATAGACGACTGTACAGGATAGTTACTAAATATTAACTCTTCTTTTATGTGTTTCAATTCCTGACTTAATTCCTTGAACTGACTGGTGAGTACTTTGGTTCTATCCTTTAAACATAGAGCTAAAAAAAACTCATCAATCAGTGCAAGGATGTAAATAAAAAAATATAGCACACAAAACAAGCGCTCATAGGTAATAATTATCCTCTACCGTTTATTAAGAAATTTGTACGAACACATAAGAAATGAAATAATAATAGTGTGAATAATAACGACAATACGAGTAGAAAGGAGTTCACAGCCTTCATTATGTGTTACCCTACAAAGAAGGAATATCAGAAACTTTACATAGAATTCTCAACAAGGCTGCAATTAGGGGTGGCATTTAAGCCTACAAACTCACTCAGAGATATGAACTTTGTAGGCTGGTTTAAGGATCTGATAGATTCAATTAGTCAAAATAATCTAACCTACCGAATTCTATGCAATAACTGCAAGATCTAAGATTTATTTCAACTACGGATTGTTTTGCCTAGCAATCATGTGAATAAATGATAAGTGGTAAGTCTCCGTTTCCTTCCCCCTTCACTCTCGTTCTGTCTCATTCAGCTTGATTAGGATTGGAATGAGAAGACTTGATTAAACAGTTGGTATGATTGTGATGATGGTGAGGAATGGATAACTAGTAATCAAGCATTTGAATTAACAGTCGATCAAAATTTTCAATGTTTGAAAAGAAAGTAAGACACGATCAACAACTGGTCTCGTAATCTATTCACAGGGCACAGAACTGGTAATACAGTAGGGGTTACTGGTTTTTAATCCTACCTTGGCTACTAAGGTTTCCCTTCAGACTCAACTATTATTTTAAGTTGGTATTCATCACGGAGTGAGATCAGTTGGAGAACCATTGGAAACCTGGAAGCACCGGATAGCTGTTGCGTTCTAGTATGGGTTTCTTCAGCAGTGCATACCCATGCCCTACCAGATTTGAACCCGGGACCTTCAGAATCCATGGATAGCATGTTACTATTGAGCCACTGGGTGGGAATCCAATGGTCCATATTTCCAACTTCTGTCAGTTTACGATATAGCGCGACCATCACCTAATGTCATCGTTGAGTATTTGTCCTCATGTCCATCAGAGATGCCCCGCTACCAGTCATGAATTCTCATTGGAACTTCAGGAATCACCTCTCGAAGCTAGTCACCAATGCGCACTAGATCGGTCCCTGACAGGGTCATGGGTGCCCAGTGCTGAGAAGTCCTATACTAGGACGAAACGGCTGTCCATTGCTCCAAGGTTTCTAGTGTTTCCCCAACTGATATCAGTCAATGGTGAATACCAACTTGAAATCAACAAACCCCAACAAACCCTCAATTTGAATCAACTATTATTACTGTTATTCATAATAATTGTTAGAAGATGACGATAGAATGATGGTCAACTGAAAAGGTGAACATGGATGAGATATTATAGGATGGTGGAGTGCTTTATGCTTATGAGAATGAATTGGTTGCACTCAGTTTATGTCTATATCCTTAAAAGTGAAGAAGATTGACAAATTTATGGCATCCGGTACTTATCATCAAATAAAGCTGTTGCTTATATCCAACGTAGGGAAATCAGGATGATTTTAAAAGCCATCCTAGCAACTGATGAGACAGCCAATTACATTCCTTTATTTTATTGGGATGTATTTTGCCAGGTGAAATACCGAAACCTGCTTGGTCACTTCTGCAGTTCCTAGGGTGGCCTTTAAATTCACTCCAAAATCATACAACTGAAAATCCACAACTGAAATGAAGTAAGTGTGAAGGTTACAAGACAGTCAATGACTTCTTACCAGTGTGTTTAGGACTGCCTTTCTGTCTGCACTGAATAATTCCATAACATCTAGATGAAATTATTAATGACAATGCTTCCCGGTTGATAGTTATGTTGGATTGAATTGTCATATTGGCTTCTGTGCGGATGCCTCAGTATTGCTTCAAGTTTCATTTCAGTTATGGTGGTGGCTAGCAGTGGAATCTTGGATGCGCGTCCTGTCCTATTTCGGACTCGGCAGCCATTTGTACTCCATCTCAGTAAGTGATGATGTTCCTACTAAGACTCGTCACCTCCAACTGACGAGTCGCAACTAGGACGAAATGCGCCTCCATGATCCCACTGCTAGCCATAATCAGTCATTCAGACTCAGACTATCTAAATTTGGAATATATTAGAAGTCTCTCACCACTTTCAGCTTGACAGTTGTATCTTGACTATCTGTCCTCTAATAGCTAACAAGTGGAATTAGGTGTAAGATGCGTCGACTTTTCACTTGATAACACCAAGGGTATAGTGATGGTGGCACCATTAACTAAACCATTTCTACCAAAAGGACAAATGTATCCATCTTTTCCTCCTTCATATACATTTATACGTATGCAAACAAGAATAGCATGGAAGGTCGTACATTGTGTATTATTTGAAGTTGCCACACTTTACAACAGCATAGAAGAGAGAGGAAAAAGAAGAGATAAAAATCTGGCCAGTAGTTGGGTCTCGTAGCTCACTTGGTATAGCACCAGGTCGGAAACCTTGTAGTCGCTTGTTCGAATCCCATCGCAGCTCAAATTTTCACTTCACCTTTAATCATCATGCTTTATGAATAAATAGATGTTAATAAAGTGTCAAAAGCTTTTAAGGGATGAAAAGCGTTGTATCTGCACCGTTGCAACTGATTTTCAATCGTATCACAAAGAGACCTGCACTCATTGTTTCCTGGCATATCGGATGCCTGAACCAGGCAACTTACACCCCCCTACATCATGAAGAGCAACAACCAGGGTCTTCATGAACTAATACCGTACCTTAATGTATCCACTGATAAGCTTTTTCAAAACTTATTTCACTGACACCGACAGAGAGAGAGAGATAGCAACAAAACTTTAAAGATTTTGAGGAAGATCATGATGAGTGAATACGTTTGCAAAAAACTAGGCTAAACTCTGAGTTGTATAACTCAGATTCTTTGACACACCAATAAAACCAACTGTTATTGACTTTATGAAACGCTGCTGTATCTTTTTCTCTGGTCCCCCCTAACCTTTTGTTTAACATTGTTTTACAATAGAAAACACTACCAGATGTTTTGCTTCATATACGTATACCAAATTACATATCTATATCATCAGTTAGTGTGAACTCATGGGTTATATTGACTGACTTACCTTCCTTGTCTAGAACTTCAACGTTTCACATCAGTTCTACCAGATGTCATGTAAATACTCACAGGGTCATCCGCCTTCAACCTGCTTCAGTAGTCATGTCTTTTGCAGTATAAATCAGCCTTCGATGATTGCCATCCCTATATGTAACTAACATCATACCTAATTAGGTGCCATCCCCATCCCCACCCCAATTTTGCCTTTTTTTTCTTTAAAAATTTGATTACTACTTTCACTTCGTACTTCTTAGTTGCTAAGAACTTCTGATTAATCAAAGCTCTATGCTCTTTTTGTGATATTTAAATGTTGTTCAGTAAATAGTTGCTTCTTGTTTATTCTTTATATAGGATTGAAAATTCTTGAATTAAGTCCAGATCGTTGTCAATTAGAATGGACTCCAGTGAATCAACTCGGCATGGATCCAATTGTCTATTTGTTACATTTACTTCCAGTTTCATGTAATCCTCAACAATCATCAAACTTGAATCAGGTAGTTATTTGAGTTCTTCTATTCTTTTACTTAATCTCTTTATAACACTTGTATTCTTTTTTCTTCCATATGTATACTTTTCGAAGTAATATTAACAATTTGAATCTTGAGTTCAAACTACGCTCTATCTACTTCTAGTTGATTGGTTGGGTGATACGATTCATTACATAAATGAAGAGTAAATGTCACCCTAGTAAATAAACATATCTACGGAGCAGTTGACTTACATTACATAGATATTTTGTACCTTTTTTCCAACTTTTTCGGTTTGTAATTTTCAAAGATGAGATAGCTTGAATCAATGTATGAATAATCTGGGTAAGCTACCGTATTACTTTGTCTGTTGATCTACTTTTCTATCATTTTTGTCTGATGAACTTTTTGTCTATTGTTTATTTATACTGGGTAATGATTGAAGGTGAAATGAAAATTTGAACTGGGGCCGGATTCGAACCAGCGACCACCGAGTTTCTAGCCCGATACTCTACTTCGTAGTTCAGTTGGTAGAGCGTCGACCCGTAAACCCGGTGACCGCTGGTTCGAGTCCGGCCCAGTTGAAATTTTCAGTTCACCTCCAATCATTGCCCAGTATAAATAAACAATAGACAAAAAGTTCATCAGACAAAAATGATAGAAAAGTAGATCAACAGACAAAGCAATGCGGTAGCTTGCACATACTATTCATGTTTACGCTTATGCATTCTTTGCTATGCTACTGGGTTAAATCAGTCAATCGTTAATTATTTTATTTGACACTTTTCTAGGATTTACATGTTACCCTTCTCAAGTTACAGTAGCTACGAACCTCCTTATGAAGGTTTTATGCTTTCTGGTATTCATACTGACTGATTGATTGAAGGTGAAATGAAGACTCGGACAGCGGTTGTATTCGAACCAGGGACCTCCGAGGTTTCCAGGCCGATGCTCTACCAACTAGTATTCATCATTTCGAGCTAAGCATACGTGACCTTATGTTACACATCGCCGAGTCGCAATCAATCCTTAGGTTGTTTATGGATTTGGAATATGCAAATGGGTTAGAAAGTACGGTTATGCTGTTATTCTGAAGAAATTCTCGGAGATACATAGAATTCCATTAATCTTAGATCCGTACATCCTCCTAGTTAAATTCATATCTTCAGGGATGAGAGAATCAGACGCATCATTTGTTTTCCATGACTCATTCCAAATGGTGGTATATTTGTATTTCTTGAGATGTCAGGAACCGATGGTTATAAATCATGGGTGGCTAGCTGTCCGACGCAGTCGCACAGATCCAATCATTTGTTATCATTTCCAAAATGTTGAACGTTTAATCTATACTCACTTGTTTGCCCTCATTTTTCTGATATCAGTTTTTTCGATTATTCCAAGTTTTTATGCATTTCCTTCTTATTGATGCTTACGATTTCCTGTTGAACGAATTGATCCGTTCGTATGGACATAGGTGCTCCTTGAATAGGTGAATTGTATTGTCTTTAGTTTCATTTTTACGCTTTTTTTGCTTGATTTTCGAATCCAAAACGCCCATTTCATTCTATTTGGGACTCGTCAGCTGAAATCTGCAAAGCTTTATTTTTGTTCTTCTCTTCTCGACTCCTCATGCCTGAATTATTTCAGAGGTATGTCAACTTGGGTCGATACTTTATTGTATCTAACTGTGGAATTTTAAGCCCACTAGAGGTTTTTAGTAAATCTGAGCAAGAACAGCTGATTGGCAGTGAAAGGATTTTCCATGCCGAGTAAATGATGAACTGCCGCCTCCTACACCTACCACCTGCTCATCACTTCAGCATCCTAAATTTAATTCTTAAAATGTATATCAAAGTAATTGGTGATTTATATCAGCTCCCAGGTTGTGGAGAAAACAGTTGTTCATCTCGGTCTCCTCAGATTTGTGCTGGATCTTCATAACTTGTTAAATTGTATTGCACAAAAATTCCTTCACCGGAGAGAAATGAAATAGGTAGTTAAAGATAATTTAGGTAGGTATTGCTCAGAATCAATTGCACTGATGTAAGTGCATTAACATCTTATCTTTATCTAAATGGTGTTATCATCCAACTTTGTTTTCTTCATCTTCTCTTGTTTTTGCCGCCTTATCTTTGCAACTGTTGATGTTGTAATATTTCGCAACTCTTCATCTTTCCTGAAGTTGAAAACAAAAATTGAAATGAAATCACCAAAGACATCCACATATATGTAGTCAATCACACTTGTCACACGAGGGTTAGTGTTTAGGTGGATGGACCGGTGTTTGATCCGCTGGTTGAATGTTGAATGGTTGTGTTTAATGACTCACCGTTGATGTTAATTGTGTCATACTGAACCGTTAACTAGTAATTGAGGTTCTTATCCGTCTTTGTCCTAAAGTGTTTTTGAAGATATATTGTTTCATGAGTATGTAATTGTACTTAAATGTATGTATTCAATAATTAACTACTCTCTATTTTATCCTTCTTATCAGGTGTATAGGGGAAATCAGTCAGCTTGTCGTATAACTGGTCTTAACCCTGGCTCTGAATATGTCTGTCGAGTTTGCGCCGTTCGTCTCTGTCAGCCTAACAAATTACCTGTTGTTATTAACGGTTCACCTGATAACGAACAATCCAAGGTAAAAACAAAATCTGAAGAAGCGTACTAACAGCCCCTCCCCCCCCCTCCTATTATTTATCTATTATTATTACTTTTATTTTATATCAGCCGAACTGAGGTTTAACATAGTGACTGAGGTCAGTTGGTTCAGGCGTTCCGTAGAGTTATACGCCTTTTTTACATCCCAACCCTTTCTTGTCAACCGTTAGTCTATCAGATCGAAAACCACTTTTCACTTGCTGAAATTTGGAAAAATATCATGCATAAGCAATATATGTATGACTTTGTTGTGCTATTAGCAAGCTAATTATTTACTACTTACCCTCCAAATAAAGAAATGAGAAGATAGGAGTCACAAAGGCATTCGTTATGTAGCTTCTTTAACTTGCCTGGCCTAATAAGGCTCATCATCATGTAAAACCCCTTGAAAGCTTCAATTTCTAGCATTTTGTGCAACTATTTTCTAATAATTGATTCCTAAGTTATAAATAATTTATACTTAATTCCATTCGAAGTATTTTTTTTGGGGGGGGGGGGCTAGGGATATCGTTTACGGCACCCCCCACTCGTTACCCGGCATACATAAAGTTTTACTTACTAGGTAATACATGGACTAAGTAACAATGATGATGCTGTGTCACTGAATATTTTATCTTCCTAATTCTTCTATATATATTCTGACATACTTAGTATCGCTTTTATTCAAGGAAATGTGACCCCAAGTGAGTATCACTTACACGTATCAGTGCATCAGCGTAAGGTTTGACAATCTCTATAAAATAGCCTTGAGCTATCGAAAGTTATGCATTGAATGTATTTGCAGTAATTTACTTTTTTCAATTTGTTTGAATCATTCAAATGCGTCCTCAAATTGCATAATGTACTCTCGCGTATTTTTAAAATGTTTTCACAATGAAACTACAAGAAAAGATCATTGTTGATGGTAATTAACTTTTTAGCACACAACAATACCACCATTCAACTATTTCTGAAATAAAGTTAGCACGAGGTGTATGCAGATTTTCGTGCTGATAGAGTCGACTTTGTTGCCTTTAAGGATCACTGTAGCCTAGCCGTTACTTTGTTCGATAGAAAATAACTATTCACTAGAGAGAAACCAATTGAGTGTTGTCTGGTACTAAATACTGACTGAACTCTATCCATAAGTTCACAGTGTGGTTATCAAGCTAAGAGATGCACCATCACACTGCATTTTGGTTTATATAAAGCGGTTGGAAGTATTCATCAGGATTATTAGAATTTGGATAGTACTTAGTACTAGGTAGAATGAAATAAGTCATTCTTTAGTGATCAACTAATGTATACACTTAAGTCCCATAGGAGGTCAGTCGCTGCTCGAACAGCTCAATTGTAAGGTCTCTGATGGGTGCCAACAACCTCCAAATCTTGGTTGAGTGAGCAGGACTTCCTGCTGATTGTCTCTAAATTACTGGACTGTTTTGCAGCCGCCAGCTTTTCACTGCTTCCTCTGTTAATTTACTTACCTCTCCATAATTTAAGGTATTTGCTTAGAAATTAGAAAGATTATTCAACTACCAACCAGCCGGTGCTGTCTAATGAGTTCATTGTTATCCGTAACACTTCGGGGATGACAAAACGATTCTTTATTTCTTGAGTGTATGAGCGTATGCAGAGGTGACATATTATTTAAGCAGTGAACATACTACTGACTCATTTATGAATACTTATATGTCAATACTTGGTTCCATTGCTGTTTTATAGTTTATTGATTCAAAAAAATAGTATGTGATGTCAAGAAGGAGATGTCAACTTAACAAAGAGTTGTCCGAATCGATAGGTGTATTGCTTATAGTCTGAAAGCTGAGTTGTTTAACTAATTCCCACCTACAGACAACAGATAATGACTGAAAATTGAATAGCAAAATTTAATTTGTAAGGAGATCTTGAGATTCTTCAAGGTTCCCAGATTACACCTTACTGTGATGAATACTGACAAACAAGAAAACATAATAAAAACACGTGTTCTTGATGATAAATTGTGAACATTGACTGTGAAGCACTGAAATTTCAAAATGGTTTACATTTAAATATCAATGCAAGCAACAACATCAGTGCCTTTCATTACTGCAGGAGATCATTCCAACTGATCGGTAACTGTCCTGTATTCAATATGATGGATACTGGATGGGATTAATAGAGAAAGAAGTATACGGCTAATGATTTTTTTAAACTAAACAAGGTTTACGTTGAGCATCTCACATTGTGTTTCTTATCGAATATCGTCTATTGTAGTGTCAAAGGTATTTGCTAAAAACAGTTGGGAGGCGAGAATAAATCATTTTGTCCGGTGTAATTAGTCAGTAATTATCATCAAAATCAACGTAGGACCAGACATTACTGCCTAACGATCCAAGTTGCAACACCTCATATCAGGACATTAAATAACAAGGCAATAAAATGGATGGTGAAGAAGGAAAAGAAAATCGATCAAAAGGAGTGCAAAGTAATAAACCAGAGGCAGGGAGAATGGGAAGATGAGGAGATTCAGCATAACGGTTAAGATGAGGATGATGTGTTTATACATTTGTGCCACTGACATTGATTATGAGCCATACTTCATAGAGTCTCCAACCACTGGTTTCTCTTGTTTCGCAGACCCCAACTGGCTATTCTGCATCTCCCTAGATGGCTCAGATGAACAGTCAACGACTTCATGAATTGATGCCATGTTTTAATCTGGCCTCCTCGGGCCTTTCTCCAACCTGAACCTACTTCGGTCAACACTGTGTGACGAGGCAGTCGGCGACTAGCCATACGTAACTCATGTCCCATCCATCTCAGTCGATTAAGGTTCACACCCATATCAACAGACAATCGGATATCGCGGCGGCATCACAGATGGCATAAGTTGCCAAAAGCCAATGGGGCTTTTTGTATCTATGCAGAGATTTCGTCGCCCACTAAACCACCAGCGCTAATCTTACTTCCCAGGTTAGTGAAGTGTTCAACGCACCCACCCACTTCACTTTCTACTATTAGCCGTGACATCGTTGAAGACCAGTTGTGGAGTAACAATTTGCATTTGGGTGGTGAGAAAAGTATCCCAAACATTTTCGAATTGCCACTCAAGGTGTCCAAACAGCAACTCTGCATCTTGTCTTCACTTAACAGAACTGTTTCGTTTGCGTATTCTAGGTGTAGCAAGGATTCCCCTGTGATTAGGTTAGTCCGTGTGTAGTCAGATAACAGGAGGGAGATATCCATAAAACTTTCTATGATAAAATTGAATAGAAATGGAGAGAGTGAGCGGTCTTTACGGACACCACTCAACGTACACAACTCACCCGACATCTCACCATAGACTCTAACACGCCCACAAGTGTTCGAGTAGAGAGCCTTCAATGAGGTGATATACTTACTCGGCACGTGTTTCAGTGAAAGACATTGCCATAGGACTTCTCGACCAATAGAGTGGAATGGCGCCTTCAGGTCGAGAAATACAGCTATTGTCGTGTGTTGGTAAGCGTATCTGTGTTCCAAAACCTGGCGCAGTGTGAATATATGGTCGATAAACCGGCGGCCAGGTCTAAAGCCTGCCTGGTTTTCTCGGGTTGGCTGTTCCCGAGTTCCATTCAGGCATCCAATGATTATAGAACCTAGAACTTTAGACACTATATTCGCCAGGCTGATTTCTCTGTGGTTAGTAGTGAAATATCCATTCTTTTAGGGAGATGTTACATATGTACTACGCTTTCTATGGTGATCAGATTGAACCTGGTGTCACAACATTTGATTAAACTACCTTCGTGTATATATAGATATAGTATCGACACATTGTTTATTTTTTAAATTATAACATAGGTGAATTCGTCAACAGATTCTTCTCAGTATCAAATCACTGAATTGCCTGGACCTTTTTCTCCAGGTCTAGTGTTTACAACACCTCGTCCCCATAAAGACAGTCGTTGTGATTCGACATTACCAAACTATCATTTGTTTCAACAACATTCTTCGTGTAAACAATCAAGTTTACTAAGGATTTTATCTTTACCATTCCGAACTATTCGACGTATGTATTCCTGCGGTGGATCATCGAACACCTCCGCCTACAGTACACATGATTCATCTAGCTCAATAACTCCAACTAAACATGATATGATTCATTCAAATCAAGTGATTGCTACAGGTACTTCAACAAGTAGTTCATTGGTGAATAATGCATCTGATAAACGTCGTACCGTCCTAGTCAGTGCAACATCATCTTCGTCATCATCAGTACTGATGGCAACTATTCCACGTAATCAATCGAAACAATCATCATCGAGAAGATCACATTCATCATGGTTTCGTTTCACTGATACTCAACTTGCCTGTTTATTACTTATTCTATTCAGTCTAGCAACACTCTTAGTAGCTATGAGTTTACAATATGTACTGAATATACACTTGAAGATATCCAATCATCCGAGTGCCTCATCATCAATCGATTCATCCTATGAAGTGAAGTTGAGAAATAATGAAGACAATAGTGACAGTTCGCTGTTTATCGCATCAACTGATAATGATTATGATCATTTTCGTGAATATCATCCGTAAGAGAGAGAAAATAATGGTAATAATAATAATGATAATAGTAATGGTGGTAACTACAATTCTTCCTTGTAATCATCAACATCATTATAATTATCTCTTCGTTGCAACTTCATTTCATTTGTTGGTGTGCATGTGTACATGTCTGTCTATTATTCTGTGCTTTCTTTCGCTTTATAATGTGTATAACTCTATTTTTGTTGTTTACTTTCGCCTCCTATTCTATCTCTTTTTGTCAGTGGTTTTTCTTTGCATATTCATTAAAATAACGAAAAAAACTGATGATTATAATGATGTAGTCGTGGTATTGGGTAACTATTCTTCTCCCTTATATGTCTTCTGTTTTGTTTATAACCATAATCATATGCGTGTGTACGTATATATGTGCAGTACGTTTGATTTGTGTACAACTTGGTGACTGATTATGTCCACAAGCAAACATACATTATTATAATCATTTATTTACTCGTCGTCCTGTTAAGGTTATGTAGGGAAGGTGTTGTAGTACAGTTGTATGTCTGTGTAATATTATTTGCATTTAAAATAATTTTTTATTCTCGCGTACATGAGAAACACACACAAATACAACACATCCACATAAAAATGTAAATTTTCTGATAAATAATATTGTTCTATGCCAGATGTTAGGCGTTATTGTTATCAATGTTGTTCGAACGCACACGCACATACAATTCCGCTCCTGTCGATGTGTATGTTGTTTTTGGTGTTGAGTTCAAGTTACATATTCGGTGAATCTACATACATGTAACACCAACTGTCTTTCTTATATTTCGTTGTTAGTTGGTGGTGTTCACCACTTATCGTCGCCACTTTTATTATTTTCTTATGTTGTTAACATTATTGTCTCTTTCTTCGGTCACATTTTTGATGTCTCTAGAAGTGAAACAAAAAATTAAATGTGAGGAATGCATGCTACTAATAGCATTGCTATTTTCATAATTACTACTTCTCTTAATAAATGGCTTCTATTAGTTATTATTGTTGTATACGACAAATTGTTAACCAAATAACGATACTGATGATGATGAATGGGACAGTGAGAGGGAAATAAAAAGAATCATATTGTTTTACAATTGCACATTTTCTTTTCCTATATAGTATTATATTCTAATTTTATTCCTCAACTTTAAAAAGTTATCCTTTTTCTTGAAAAGCACCGGTCGTAGTAACCATAGCAATAGTCTGTGTAATAAAACCTTCATTTAAAATAATGAATTATTGTACTAGTTAGTTTTGTCTACCTTACCTTCTTCTAGGCGTTATCATTTTGTCTAAAATATCTTTAAATAAAATCATGCATATTGTAATGCATAACATCTTAAAAAATGTGTTATGAGATGAAGATGGTGAACAGTTTGGTGGGAATAATTTTGTCCGATCAAAACCAACCACTGGTAAATAAAATAAGGCTAGTCGTCAGTGTAATGATTAACTGATCTGTTATCATACCTTTATGAATTTGATCAACATAACAGTTTCACATCTAACAGTTTCAGTTGATACTTTTGTATTTTCGTCTAGCTGTCGAATTGACAGTCTTTGCTTTGGTCAACATGCCACTTCTAAGCGCATATATAAAATATCGGCCCACTCATTTTTTGTTCATCTCACCAATCATTTTTATGTGACCTTGTGATTTATATTTGTCTGTCTACAATTGGCTGTTTGTCTTTCCAATAAAAATTCATATTTTGCCTTCCTGTCACTTGGTGTATGTGTCTATATATCTATCTACTCAACTTAAAAATATACTCTCCTGTTATATACCATTCAGGTTTTGCGAATGTGATTATTATGAACCAAATACTATTAAGTTTATACGCATGCTCTCTGTCACTCACACGTATAAAACATCGCAATCCTCTGTTGAAATTAAGCCTAATTATATATATGTTAGTAATTTGTTGTATAATTTCCCTGTTGTTGTCTGTTGCAGCATGAACTTGACGCCCATCCCCCGCTCACAAATGTCTGTGACCAGGACTTATGATTATTGTTATTATTTTAATGGTTAAGGTTTGATTTGTCTTTTTTTTTGTATGTTTCACATATACACATGTTTTCCTTTTAGTTGTATTCATCCATTTAAAATACTTGAAAAAGTGCATTCGTTAATCTTATTTATTTATTTATTTATTTATTTGAACTTATTTATCTCAGTTCATTTGTTTTGATTTCTTTTTGGTAAGTTTTGGGCTTCTGATTTGAATATTATAAATAAATAAATAAACCAAATATTCTGAATAAAATCGTATTCACCTTTTTATGTGTCTAACGTTGTTAATGCTCTGTGTATCAAACCTTGCTAGCATATGCATATGATAGTTTAATCTCTAGTTGGTATTCATCATAGGCTGACATCAGTTGGAGGAACACTGGAGACCTGAGAGGACTGTACAGCTGTTTCGTCGTAGTATGGAACTGCTCAGTAGTGCGCACCGCCAATACCACACAACCAGAGATTGAACTCAGGCCCTTTAGGTTTCGTGGCTAGCATGTTACCACTGAGTCTGAATCCAATGGTCCATACTTCTTAGTACTGTCAGTTTACAAGAGAATACTCAACGATGACACTGGATTATAGTCGCGCTATATCGTGAACTGACAGAAGTTGGAAATATGGACCATTGGCTTAATGGTAACGTGGTGGCCGCGGAACTTGAAAGTTCTCAGCTCGATACCTGGCGAGGTCGTGGATGCGCACTACTGAGGAGTCCCATACTACAACAAAATAGATGCACAGTGCTCTCACGTTTCTAATGTTCCTCCAACTGATGTCAGTTCATGATAAATACCAACTTGAAATCAATAAGTATCCATAAACCCCCAAATTGAGTTTAATCTCTGCCTAAACATGTTCATCAACGAAAATGCGATAATTTGTTCTAGTCAAAAGTTTTAATTATTGTTGTTCAAAGTGGGAAATTGAGCTAACCATGACTCATATACCGAGTGACTCTAAAGGCTATCCTAACAACTACTGAACCAACCAATCAGATTTCAGTATTTCACCCGAAAAGGCACATTTTGATGAGATATATCAGCAGTTATTGTGGGTGGTCTATAGAGTCATTCTTCATATACTTTAATTTGTAGTTATTCTGAAGTCTGTTAGTGCTATTAACAAACGTCCAACTGACCAAATATTCTAGAAACCAGTAGATCGATCGGTAAATTACACATTACTATTTTAAAGTATTGAGTGATGAATTCAAGTTTGAATGATAACACTGTCACATGTGTGCAGATGCATCCATTCACTAAGTCTCAGATTGGATGAATTGTTTGTTGTTAATGTAATAGCTGGTCATCATTTAAAGAATAACAAACAGTAGACTGAAATTCATTCTAATATTAAGCCAATCATACAAGGATGTGTATATATCAACTAAGGCGAATAAATTAAGCAAAAGGGAAATACAAATTTTAATTAATAATAATGACAATTAGTAGTCAGGTTTTTATAAAAAATCTAACCTTTACTTACCATGATTTTTATAGAAAAGAAGAGTTCATAATATGGAGGGAGATCAATAGATAGGCTTAGACTATAATATGTAAAATGAGCTCGTTCTTAAATACTCAGAAAAACTTGTTATGAGTTGAAATCAACTAGAGGATTAATGAGAAGAAGAAAGCGCTAGAACATTGTAGAATTTTTCGAAGCTGTCACGAGGAAGTCTATCTTTGGGATTCAGAATGGATGTAGACTGTGATAGCAGTGAATGACAGTTCCGCTCTGCTTTGAACTGACAGAAGTTAGAAAATATGAATAATTAGCTTTCAACTTCATAGTTGTTTGGTGATAGTGTGTTCAGTTGAATCAACTGTGCTCAATCTTATGTATAGTTATCAGACTGTACGGTTAAGATAGATAGACAAAATCAACGTACAACCTTCCACACAAGTGGATCGATTCAAGTTGCCACACTTCACAGTAGTACACAAAGAACAAAGGTTTATGTACGGGGTAGGGAGAAAACATTTTAAAACCAAAGTTATGGACAACATTCAAACATAAGATTTTCAGCTGTTTCACTAAAAGACCTCAAACATTGATTTTGATCCGCGGCAGGTAGTCTACACCTCACACAACTCAGACCAACAATCAGACTTTGTTGACCGGTTCCACGTGTTACTCTAGCCACTCTGAACCGCTTCCTTCCAAACTAATTGAACTTTTCCTAACATGGCACATAGAGGTGGGCGGTGGCTCCGGATGTGCAGTGTATGTCGAAGTCACCGCAGTCGATAATGGTTCACAACCTTACCTGTCTTACCTAGTACCCTTCGTTTAACTTCAACATTGCTCACGGTGATTCCACTATACGTGAGTAATACTACGAAGAGACCTATGATCAAAAACTTGTAACCACTTCATATCTTCTACCTTTAGCGGCCATATCTCACAGCCGTACAACAGGACATGAACTACAGCGTAGTACACCCGTGTTTTAATAGATAGTCGGACATCTTTCCAGGGATGACACAAACTGATAAATGTTAAATAGCCTTGTATTCAAGCTCAGATTTCGTCAGCAGCCAATCCGTTTGGGTTGATGCAACTTCCAAGTAAGTGAAGTGAATGATGCATTGATCACTTCCTATCCTTAGATTAGGAGTAGTTGCAGACCGGTCCTAGAATTCAGTCTTACATTTGAAAAGTGTGAAAGCACCGTTAAGTAGTCACTGACTGAGATGCAACAAATACCCGATATGACTTGGTCAGCATTGATTATCTGGGTATTTTCAGTGGATACTTTCGTAAACTATTCTTATATCAATTAGCCCCCTCCCCCACCCATAAAAATTTTGACAGTTTACAGAAGTTCATTTTACTCAGCACATGTCAGAACATAACCCCCTGTTTCATTACGGCCTAAGCAATTTTCAAATTATTTCTCAATACATGCAAAAATATCCAGCTGGTTGAAGGGAAGCAGATGCAATGAGATATGATATCGTGACACAGTGATTGAGAATCC